AAACGAGGTAATATTTCAAACCACGCCAGAAAATCTGTCTGTGCGACTGCTAAAACAAACGTTTACTGTTACGTCGCCCCTTCCCGAAGTGGGAACAGAGCTTTTTCAAGAAATGCTAAAGATTTTCTTGCTTCGTTGGTTGAGCTTGGCATGTTTTTTAACTTTGTGCATTGCGTATTGTTTAGTACTCACAATCGGCTACTCAGTTGCTAGTTGCGAACGATCTTTTTCAAAGTTGAAACAGATAAAAATGTATTTGAGATGATCGATGTCAAATTAGCGACTGTCAAATTTATCTATGATTAGCATCGAAAAGAAATTCCTGACGAGCGAACTGAAAGAGGCTGTCGTTCAGACAGACATTTATTGCCAGCAAAGTAGCGATTGGACATAGAAATAAGTTGCTTTTTTTAATAAATGATTTTGATCTTATACATGTGAGATTAGTTTGACCATTCATTCAATAAAACAAACGTTTCTATATTACTTGACATTCAATTTCATGTATAACATTATCTATAATCTGTTTATCCCCCGACTTATTTTTGATGTCGGTATGAGGGTCGGTAACAAAAATACTGACTAATTCTTTATTTGTTTAGCGTTGGCAAATTTGTTTGTTTTCATATCCATGTTAGATAATGAGTGCTCGAGTGCGAATTTAATGTCATATCAACTGATTTCATAATACACTGTTTCTATATATGAGTACAGTCAGTTTAAAGGGTGAATAAACAATGTTGTTTCAATTAACTTTTGGGACAAAGTTTGTGTAGCCGATATTAATAGAACAATATAAAATTTTTCAGCTATCTTTAGATTGTTTCCGCTCATGTACTCAAATGTGGAATCTTTCTGTTTTGAATATTTGTTCTGACGTCTTATCGCTTAATTATCGTGTAATTGATAACGTTAAATGTTTATTTTTAGTTTAGAAATTAAATAATTCTTTATTTTTGAAACATTTCTGTATTTAAACTTTGCAAATGTTCTTATTGTACGACGCTTTGTGTGATCAGAAGTTACCTCAAAATGTCGGTGGAGCTTGTGCATTTTCTGCAGTAGGTGTGGTTTAAATCCAACTTCTCCCAGCTTAATGACGCTTTAAAAAATTCAAACACAATTTAAATATAACTTACCAATTGCGGTTTATTATAGAAACACAACATCAGCAAATTTAGATTTATTCCGTTGGAGACTGGGGTGGAACCATACGACGGGGATGTAAATTTTCTATAAAAAGCAAATCGTACATAATATTGAATCATATTCTCGACACCAATCTTTTTAGTGTCGCGGGCTACTTTCACATTTAAAAAATTATTTCGGGCGCAAACGTTTTTACCGAACTTGATGAATAGCTAAGTTACGATTTACGTTAGAATTTAGATGAAACATAACAAAAAAAAGTTTATTCACATAAAATGTGATCGATTTAATGGCCTCGCTAAATCCCCTTTGTTCCAATTTTTAAATGATCATATTGTGCGCCAATGTCGCTTGATTTGCAACAACATTTTTGTGGGCCGTTTGGTAAAATTTGAATCACCAATAAAGTAACATTTCAAATTAATTTGAATAAATATTACCATTTACTGAATTCTATTAGATCTCAATGGATACGCAGTAACAAAATTTCAGAAGTTTTATTTTGAAGCAAAAATAACATAAGCACGATAGAAAAATACAAAAAGAAAAAAGACAGGGAACCCGGAATCGGCCATAAAGCTACTGTTCATATATTTGATTTTACGATAGCGATAAGGACAATCAAAGCCAATACGAGGGATAATATTCGGAATGCAATTAATTTGGAAATTTAGGCTGCCAATTTTTTCTATAATATTCCTCAGTGAATCGTCGCCAGTGATGGCATAATATCCTTTGAGTTTTTCAGAACGAGCAATTCTCCACTATAGGCCACACGACTTTACAGCGGCGGAAATTTTCATTTCGAGTCTGACTACAATAAAATGGAATCCATATTTATATATCTCTTGCAATAACGCCCGCGATGAGACTATAAAACCTACCTACTATAGATACCTACCGTAAAGCCTCGCATATAGCCGATCCACTAAAATCAGTCTTAATTAAACGGTTTTGATGAAAAAACGCATATAAGCCGACCCCAACAATCGTAACACGCCATACAGTCATGTCCAATTCGAATTTATTATTCGAATATCGCTACCTTTGAATATAGTTTTTAGTGTTTATTTTATAGTAATATCGAATATCGCACACACATCCTATAGCGCCGCCGTCCATTTTTATTGGAAGCATCTTGCAATTATTATATTTTATCGTAATCAAAGACAGTCTATTGTACCGGGACAATTAATTACCGGCAACATGAAACAATTTAAATCAGCGCTGACTTGAAGTACTTATAACTCGTCGAGGATGTTTTTGATTGAAAATATTTCACAATTATTATCCTATATTGTTATAGTCGAGATATCCTGGCGACCTCGGCAATAAATCTAAAAGCAAGTTGTGTCGTAATTAATTGTTCTCATCTTCAGTTGCGATAGTGACCGAGCATAACCGGAAATTTTCGCTTTTCTTGCAATTTACATCGTATGAAATAGCTCTTAAATACTATCTATCGCGGATTTTATTGTTAGCCTGGCGTCGTAAAGGATAATATCGATTAGTTTAAGTTTGCGGTATTGATTGATTTATAAAATGTCATTTCGTTTGAGTGTGATCAAAGTTATGCGTTACCAAAAAAGGTTGGGAAACGGTGCTGTATAAGGTTGAATTCAAATAAGATGTTTTACATCCATTCATAAAGTGTCCAGTACTTTCCTTGATTAATAATCGCCCATCATTAATTCCCAAGCGTAGGCCTGAGCGTAGGCCTGAGGTTTTCAGTTTCCCAAAATTGCAAGATAGATTACAATAAAAAAATAACATTTCGGGATGATTTAGTTGAAATAATAAATTCTCGTACTAAGGCTCAGCTTCTAATAACTCTGATACCTATAGGGAGTATATTATAAACGTGACAGCGACGATAAACCTTTATTCTGATATGTCACAGATGAATGGCAGGTGTGACCAAGTTGTCACGTTTCACGGTAAATCGAATTACAAACACAAAAAACGCGTATAAACATAATATAAAGCGAGTGGTAAAGAAAATATACAAAACGCGATTAAACCATGAAATATCAACAAGTTGTTGTTCCCGAAGCTTACTGCAAGAGATGCCATGTTAATAATAGACGTCAAACCTTAACGAATTATTTAAAAAATTATTCAGATTTTTTTTTCGTGTCCTATATTTCGCGATTACTGCTAAAAATATAATTAAAAAGGAAACTACGATTGAAATTAAAATCGCATTTTTTTATTGCTTTTCTTTATTATTGTGTTAATCCTAAATATGCCTATGTTTACTTTCACGCCCACGAGAAAATATCAGACATCCATATTAATAAAACTATTTACACATTATGTCACTGTAGTCTAATTATTCGTGTGGCTGCTGACAGTCTTGTGACCAGATTCCAATCTATGTTTGTATACCGATGTCGCAATCACTGCCCTCAAGTTGAACCCTCATTGTTAATTCCGTGTCAGGCACGGAGATGCAAATTAAATGACTTTATTGGAGACAAGTTATCAGCTGAATTGTGAGTTCACCCGAAGGTCTGGTGGTACATATCTCATTTTAAATCAAAATACAATTCAAATATACACATATATCTATTACGTAATTTCAATAACGATATTTTCTTTACGAACTACTGGCAACCGATCCGCCCAAGATTTAATTTTTTCAATAAGGGCAAGATTGTTCCATTCAATATGTCACATCATCATTGCAAGCACTCATTATGGAAAGTCGAAAAACTTTTCGATTGAAATAAAACAAATTTTGTTCGAATCGTAGAAATTCTGAATTATTCGCTACGACTGCAAGTTCAGTAAAACCAATTGTCTTGTGACGTTTGTTTGCCAATTTCGTATGACTATCATCTGAAGATTTATTTTCAGATTAGAACTATGAAACATTCATCGTATGAACTACCAAAAGTTGATACTAATCTTAAAAAAATGTACAAAGCAAGAAACTGGCATCGTAGAAAGCCTCATCGTAAACGCATAAAACTAAAGTTATAAGTTATTACATTTTTATCGTCGTCAATGAGTATTTTTTTTTTCAAGTATTCTCGTCGAAGAGTGAGAATTGTCAATGACTTACTCAAAATATGGGAAAAGCTGGTTTGAGTTTTGGACAACGTGAAAGAGATGTCCTGTTTTTCAAATTTATATCACGTCATTTATCGCTATAGTCGAGGTTGATCGAATTGCTTCCACAATTATCTTATCATCATGTTAATCTGCTGTTAAATTTATAGTTTGGCCGTTAGTACAGTTGATCACCATACACGTTTGGCACGATTTAAAAGAATAATCTTCGCTGGTAAATTTAACGAAAATGATTAAAGTTACTTAGTCAATATTTATATTTTGAAATTCGGCTGATGTCGCTAGTTGTTGAGTGTTACGCTTGGTATGGAAATCCGCACTTTACTCTATTTCAACACTTCGTGTGCGTCAAGTTCATATCAGATATTATAGACTAAAATGCCTTCAAGGCGAGTTCATGCTTATTTGCATCTTACTTTGACACGTATAAGCCTTTTTCCCAGATTATTATATCCTGAAATAGATGAGGTATCCGATACAGAACTTGCAAAAAGGTCGGACGATGTCACCGATACTACAATAAATAAACATAAAATCAAATCACGAAAAGCTAACACCACCGTAAGAATATGCTGAAATTCAAATTATATCATACTTTCCAGCACTTTTCCATTGAAAATGTTAGTACATCGCATTCATTTTCATTTTTAGATTCATTTCATTTTAAAATCCCTCATGATTTATATGACAAGGGAATTGAGTTGTGTTTCGAAATGGTGCTATAGTAAGTAACTTATAATCTATTTGTGACTTCAGATCTATTTCTAGGGCGCAAACTAAAGTTATATATATATTTCTATTTATAAATGCGCCGTAGGACTCGGGCGTAAACACAATGTGTCTACATTATAGAAAGGTCACAAAGATGTAGCATTGTGGTGCGATAGCAAAATTATCAACTCGGAATGAAGACTCATCTTTTTTAAAATGACAAGATGGACAAAAAGATGATTTTGCATATATTAGTTGTATTCGTTATAGTGAGTACAGATACCTTGATTTTTTATCAATTTCCTGTGAGTAATTTCATCCCAAAGTTTGCCTTTTTTAATTCTTATACATACCCTCATATGAAAATCGATACAATTCAATTAACATTCAGCTGAAATTTGTTTACATTACGTTGTAATCATAGTCATTTGATTTTCGTGCCCAAGTTTACAGCCAATTTAATTCAGAATGATGTTCGGTTTTACGAAACCCTCATGTTCATTTACATTAATGTCCAAAGTATGACCAAAATTGGTAAACAGAAAACCTGAATAGTTTATATAATAGATGGGTTGTAAGCATTCACTATATATACTGAAATTCAGATTAACCTATTACGGTATCGGGAATTTTTTCACACGATAACAACAAGAAGGAAAATATCAGCAAGAACAACAGTCTAATAATAAAAAGATCCATAGGTTCATTTCAATAATAAGTAAGTTGTTTACTTTAAATCATTGTTATGTAAAACACGAAGTAATGAGAGTCTGTAACAAAAATACTGACTAATTTTTTATTAGTTTTGCGTTGACGGATTTGTTTGTTTTCACATCTATGTTAGACAATGAGTGCCTGATATAATTTCCCATTTATATTTTGATTGTTTTAGCTCATGCACTCAAATCTTCCTGTTTTCAATATTTGTTCTGACGTCTACATCTCTTAATTATTTTGTAAATATTGACGTTAAGTGTTTATGTTTAATTTAAAAAACAATAATTTTTTAGTTTTGAAACATTTCTGTATTTAAACCATACAAATGTTCTTATTGGACGCTTCGTGCCATCACAAGTTACCTTGAAATGACTGTGAAAATTGTGCATTTTCTACAGCAGGTGTGGTTTGAATACAGTTTCTCCCAGCCTAATGACATTGAATGAATACACAATTGAAATATATCTTATCTATTGTGGATTATTATATAAATACAGCATCAGCAAATTTAGTTTTTTTTTCGTTGGAGACTGGTACCGAACCATCCAACGGAAAGAATTTTTTTATAAAACGAAAAATCGTACGTAATATTGAATCATATTCTCGTTGTCAACATTCACGGAGAAAGTATTTGACAACAGTGTTTCAGTGGAATATTGATTTGAATCCGGAAAAATCTGATTTTTTCATGATGATTGCGAGATTAATTAAAGCAATATTTCTATTATTTTCTATTATTTTACCATACGGTTCAAGGTTAGTAAACTTAAAACTAAGTTTAAGATAGTGGAATGTAAAAAAATTTACTAATTATCATGTAAAATACCGTATATGTATGTAATATGTATAATTCACATTCAGAGTGGACTCAACGTCTCCACCGAACTCATCGTGGGGACGAAGAAAAAGATCAATTATATTAGGTAATATTAGGTTTATTGCTGCCGGCTTTATTTAACTTGAATCAGTCAAGCATTTGAATCCAATCATCATTATATGGCCTTATATATATATATATATATTGCAAATACAACTTTCCTTAATTTTACAGATGAAGATCCGTTCTTTGATTTTGAATAGTGACTGAAATCGCTGTTCACTCCCGGAAAATATACAACGTTCTTGCTACATGAAAAATATGACGATACGTTATTTAATTTTATGACAACGATTATTTTATCTGATATAAACAAATTGTTATCCTACACTTTTTATAACATCCAGAAACCCCACAAGAACTTTCTGACAGTTGTGATAACTTTTCGACAAACTGAAAATGATAGCTTATAATGCGTATATAGTGTATTTAAGATTTACAAATATTTGCCGTTTCGTTTTTTATGTTTTAAATTATGTTTAGATTGTTTTATGCTCATGTACTCAAATATAGAATATTTCTGTTTTAAATATTTGCATTGGCGTCTTTATCTCTTAGTTATCGTGTAATTGATGACATTAAATGTTTATTTTTAGTTTAAAAAGGAAAATAGTCAGTCAGTAGCTTATTTTTCGCCAAAATGAAAATGCACTCACAGTGAACATAAACTTAAAAAAAGTTGAAAATGACATTTCATGGTGGAAGGTGACGCAAAAAAACAAAGTTGGTTATCGAGCAGCGACACCTGTGATAAGAGTCTAACTTTGATACAAGTTTAATAGAAATAAGACCAACAATATATAAATTAATATATCAAATATCAAGTCCAAAAAACACATTTGTTACAGAAAAGAGACTCTGGCACCGTCAAATACGAGGGGGGGGGGGGGGTAACCACGGGCAGAAAACAGCATAGCAACGACCAAAGTGAATATCACCTTGACACAGTGACAGCAGTCTGGGTACAGTCATACTGGAAATGGAAAAGCCATTCGGGAACGGCGTTTAGGTACCAGTTTTTGAGGGTGCACGTTCTGGTGGTGTACCTAACAAAACAGTTATTAGGTAATACATTTGGAATTATGAGTAACGTCTGAATTGTTAACAGTTTCTTAATATGAAACCAGTTTCTACTGCACTTCAATTCGGCACTGTGACATGGGACTTAATTCCTCAGTTTGAAACATTTCTATATTTAAACCATGCAAATGTTCTTATTAAACGCTTCGTGCCATCAGAAGTTACCCTGAAAATTCTGTGAAGCTTGTGCATTTTCTACAGTAGGTGTGGTTTAAATCCTCCCAGCTTAATGACATTGAATCAAACACAATTTAAATATAACTTATCAATGCGGTTTATTATAAGAATACAACATCAGCAAATTTAGATTTTTTTTCCGTCGGAGACTGGTGGCGAACCATATGACGGGGATGCGATTTTCTATAAACAGCAAATCGTACATAAAATTGAATCATATTCTCGGCGCCAACACTCACGACAGAAGTATTTAGAATAATCATTTGAATCTTAAAAATTCTAATTTTTTCATAATGATTGCGGGATTAGTTAAAGCAATTTTTCTATTGTTTTGTTTGATATCTAGTATCGTCTTAATCTCAGCTTCAGAGCCTGAAATAGGCCGGAGTTCAAGGTTAGTAAAATTAAAAGTTAGTTCAAGATAGTGGAATGTAAAGAAAATTTTAAATTATTATGTACAATTTTATAATTCACTTTCAGAATAGACTCAACGCCTCCATCGTGGTGGCCCACGGACGGACGAAGGAAAGGATCAATTATAATAGGTAAGACCGCAATATTAAGTTATTTGCTGCCCGCTTTATTCAACTTATATCAGCGAAGCATTTGAATCAAATCATCATTACATTGCATTGGAAATATAGATAAATTACAAAAAAAAATTTTAATTTAACAGATGAAGATCCGTTCTTTGATTTTGAATAGTGACTGAAAGCGGTGTTCACTCTCGGGAAAATATACAACGTTCTTGGTGCATAGAAAATAGGACGATACGTTATTTAATTGCATGACGACGAATATTTTATCTAATATATAACAAATTGTTATTCTACACTTTTTCTAACATCCAAAAACACCACAAGAACTTTTTTGACAATTGTGACAATTTTTTTGATACGTGCTAGCATATATTGCGTATACTGTATTTAAGATGTACAAATATTTCCGTTTGTCATTTCATTTCCATGCAATATTTCTATACTTGTGTGAAATAATTTTATATTGCAACATGTTTATAAACTGTATCTATGCCTCAATTCACAATTTTGTTTGTTCGATGGTGTGGTATTTAAGGGTCATAGCAGTGCTGTTATCTCATTATGTGCGGATCAGAGCCGGTAATGTGTGTTGATGCTTTGCAAACCATGTTAAAATCCGACGGATTCTATTCTTGTTTAGTCGTTACGAGACCTTATATAAAAAGTATTCTCTGACAGTAATGAATTTAATTTGTTACAAACAGCACCACCAGTCTAGAGTGGACAAAATATTATTCATTTTTTCTATATATATTTATATACAAATATAAATTTTCAGGTTCTGTCTTTATTTTAGACATTCGAATATTAATTTATTTCCGTTTGAAGCGGTGAACAACCAAAATTCTTAAAAATTCGTATAATATTGCGCTGTTTTCAAAGTAAAAATAAAGTCAACAGAGTGTCTAAATATTAAAACGGTTAGTGTTCTGTGTTTTCAATCATATATGTGAATGGTTGCATTCAAATCAACATCCAATCATATAGTGTTCACTACTCTCGTTGATTAGTAATAGCCCATCATTAATCCCCGAGCGTGGGCCTGGACGGTTTTCAGTTTCCCAAAAGTACAAGAGGGTATACAATAAAAAAAATAACGCCACTGAAAAGCTTTCTTATATAAATCAGGCATTCTAAAAAAGAAAATACAAAACCCTCCCTGTTTTGAATTTTTAATATTCGAAGAGTATTAATGAAAGAAGTAAAGTTGTGAATCTTTGTCTAAACAACTGGTTGATTATCATAGCGTTTTCGATGTAATTAAAATTAAATTGTTTCTATAATCCTTTGTTTATTTAATGAAAACATTTCGGACTGATTTGGTTGAAGTAATAAATTCTCTTACTACGGCTCAGCCTCTAATAACTCTGATACCTCAAGAGAGTATATTATAAACGTGACAGCGAGGATAAACCTTTTATCTGATATGTCACAGATGAACTATCAGATGAATGGCAGGTGTGACCAAATCGTCACGTTTCACGGACAATCTAAATACAAAAATACAGAGTGCGTATAAACAATATATAAAGCGAGTGGTAAACAAACTATACAAAACGCGATTAAACCATGAAATATCAACAAGTTGTTGTTCCCGAAGCTTACTGCATGAGACGCAATGTTAACAATGGACGTTCAGGACGTCAAGGTTTGACGTAAAATGATCAATTAAAAATTTAGGCAGATTTATTTTTGGTGTCTTATATTCAGCAATTACTGATAAAAATATAATTATGAAAAAAACCACGATTAAAATATAAATTTTTTTCGATCACTTTCTTTATTATTGTGTTAAGCCTATTCCTATGTTTACTTTCATGCCCACGAGAAAATATTAGACATCTATATTAATACAAAATTTCACACGTGGTGTCAAAATAGATTGTTCCTACGAATATGTTACACTACCATTGCAAAAGTGTTTAAACAAGACATTTCAGTTGAAATAAAACAAACTTTGTTCAAATCGTAGAAATTCTGAATCATTCGCGACGACTGCACGATTAGTAAAACCAATTGTCTGTGTTGTTTTATTCCACGCCCGTACAACTATCATCTGAAGATTGATTATCAGATTAAAACAGCTAAAACATTTATTGCATGATTCCTGAAAATTGATACTAAGCTTAAAAAATTTCCAAAGCGAGAAACTGGCATTGTAGAAAGCCTCGTCGTAAACGAGAAGCATAAAACTAAAATTTATCACATTTGTATTTGTCGTCATGAAGTATATTTTTTTCCAAGTATTCTCGTCGAAGAATGAGAATTGTCAATGTATAACTTAAATAATTAAATGTAATAACATTTTTATTTAAAAAGTGCTAAAAAGTAAGATATGTATTTGAATTTCAGCATATTATTACGTTTGTTGTTAGCTTCTCGTGGTTTGATTTTATGTTTCCTTATAGTTGTGGTGACATCGTCCGGATTTTTTTGCAAGTTATGTGTCGGCTACCTCATACATTTCGGGATATAATAATCTTGGAAAAAGACTTATACGTGTCAAAGTAAGATGCCATTAAGCATGGACTTGTCTCGAAGGCAATTCAGTTCATAATATTTGATATGAACTTGACGCACACGAAGTTTTGGAATAGCGTGAAATGAGGATTTTCATACCAAGTAGTAAGTACGGACCTCATTTAATGTTCGTTGTTCTAGTTCAATGCACAGCACACGATTTCATCCATTTTCGAAATTTTAAAGAAATTAGCGACATCAGACGAATTTTAAAATATATTTGTTGACTAAATATAATCATTTCATTAAATTTATCAGAGAAATTTATTTATTTGCATCGTGCCAAACGTGTATGATGATCAACTGTGCTAACGGCCGAACTATAAAATTAACAGGATTTGTTTCATTCTAGAACCATTAATGGTTTACATCACAAGGGAATTGAGTTTTGTTTTTAACTGGTTGTATAGTTAGTAACGTATATCTGTGGCTCCAGATCTTTTTCTGTGGCACCAGCTAAAGTCCCATCTCTCTATTTATAAATGCGCCGTAGGACTAGAGAGAGAGAGAGAGAGATTTTATTTACATAAAACAATGTTAAAAAAGGGCAATAGTACCAATTTTTATAGAAATACAGTGCAGTTAATAATTAAACATTGAATCGTGTTGGTCAGTATGCAAGACCTTTACAGGTCACCGAGGCTCCTGACCATTTTATTTACTCTGTGATCAAACTGTCAGTATGGATTATTTCAATATGAAATTATAAAATAAAGACAAAAATGAGTCGGCTGATAAATATAAAAAAAAAATCCCCCTATTCGACATATTAAATCAGATTTATTGTATAGTTCAGAGGGCATGTGTTAAAATGTATACATATTATACCATACTTTGATCAAGTACAATACTGATCACTAGGGCGTAAACAAAATCATAGAAAGGTCACAGAGATGTAGCATCATAGTGCGATAACAAAATTATTAACTCGGATATAAACTTTTGGATGTGCATTTGCAATAAAAATTAAAATCCGTTTAGAAATATATAAAAAAGTCTCATCCTTTTCTGAATGACAAGATGAATAAAAAGCCCATTTTGTACATAGTAATAGTAGGCCAACACAGTTATCTTGCTAGGCATTCGAGGAGATCAATTTTCAAATTTTCATTACTCTAAGATAGGCGAAGTCACTGGAAGGGTATTGTCATGATTATATTTTTTAATTTTATACTTGGCGCGATATTTCACCTCGAATTTTTCTGTTCTTTCTGTTTTGCGAAACGCTCATGTTCATATGACCAAAATTGCTAAACATAAAATCTAAATAGTTTATATAATAGATAAATTGTAAACTTTCACTATACCAAAATGCAAATTAACATTTAATGGTATCGGAAACTCCGGCGTTCAGTAAAAAATAAATAATGAGCTCGACTGTTATGTTTTGTCGCATGTATCTGCTCATAATCAAATTCATTTTTTTGAAAAAAATGAGTATAAAACGTTACTTGCTTCATACTTATTATTTTTAACGGTTCTCTGTTAATGCCCATTTCTCCGCGCCCCATTCATTCAGCGAAGTCTTCATATCTGTAATTAATAATCGTTAATCGTGTCAATAGGAAAAATTTCAAATCCGATGCGATTGTTAAAATCGTGTCGATTAGCCTAACTGTGTTTTAAACAAGTCCATTCAAGTCTTCAGAGAACTCCCCATGATGATGCCAAAATAATAGCTTTCATCTCTTATTCAACATTGTTACATTGCATTTGCTGTGGCTCGTACCATTGAAGAAACCCAGTTGCTTCAAATTGTTTAATTGTGCTGTGGATCGTGTGCAATGTAATGGCGGCTAGAAAACGATACTAAGTATTTGAACAATGCAGTGTGAAGGAAGAAGATTCTACAACAGCACCTTGCAGAATAGAAAAATGAGGCAATCTGGCCCAAAGCCTCGAAGTAAAGCTCATCAATCAAAGTGTACGTTTCAAATTAATACGAAATATGCGGATGTATGAAAGATTTCAAACAAAGTTGCGTAAATAGAAACATTACTGTCCAATTCTTTATTGTTTGATTTTGAGATTCCTCCAATAAATGGCCATAATTGTAACAGAAACCTGTTTTATAAATTACCTAAAGACTAAAACGCTTTTATCCAAAATAAAGTTATGTTAGTTAACCCTACGATTAGCACGATTGTTTTTTCCAATATTCGTAACACGATGATTATTTTAAAAATCTAACAGTCGCCATTTCTACCAATCAGGCATGCTCATGCATCCAAAACGTTCATTTGATTGGATATTCTGCTTTTAAATATAACTATACCAACTCAGGGTCTTATCAAAAACGATGAGGCAATTACAGCATGACACACAACTAATAATTTCTTTATAAAACATTGAAACACGGTTAATTTCGATTTGCAGTCGAACATATATGCCTATCAATATCCTGTTTTTGCAACCTTTGCTTCTTACCATTTGCATGTAAATTTTTCTACATTGAATACAAACACTTATGGAATCCGATAGAACTGCTGAGCTGCAATACTGGTATAGACTTACCGTGGGACACGCCCCTTCCCAACAGAAAATTTGCTTCATAATGAAGAGTAAGACTACTTTACTAATGCGATAGTTAGCTGCCTGATTGCACTGTATTTATACGTAGGCTTACCATACGTCCCGCTTTAGGCGAGACAGTCCTGCTTTTTAGCGTCTTGTCCCGCCGTCCCGACATGTCAGCCAAAAGTCTCGCTTTGGGTAGGTAAATGCGTTTGTTTCGTTGTTTCTCGCTAACATTGTTAGAAAACGTATCGCATGTAAAACCAATACTATTTAGTCTAAATTCGAATTATTTGTACCGGTATCGTTAACGTCAATTCCTTTCCATTTTTCGAACTGAACCCGATATTTGGAAAGAGAATATGCGCATTAAATGTCGATGACAATATGGTCAATGAAGACAGCCGGGATAGCTTTAAATAAACAATAAATAAACATAAAATCAAACCACGAAAAGCTAACACCATCGTAAGAATATGCTGAACTTCAAATTATATCATACTTTCCAGCACTTTTCAATTGAAAATGTCAGTACATCGCATTCATTTTCATTTTTAGATTCATTTCATTCTAAACCCCCTAATGATTTATATGACAAGGAAATTGAGTTGTGTTTTGAACTGGTAGTTATACTGCTATAGTTAGTAACTTATAATCTATTTGTGACTTCAGATCTATTTCTAGGGCGCAAGCTAAAGTTATATATATATTTCTATTTATAAATGCGCCGTAGGACTCGGGCTTAACAATGTGTCTACATTATAGAAAGGTCACAGAGATGTAGCATTGTGGTGCGATAGCAAAATTATCAACTCGGAATCAAGACTCATCTTTTTTAAAATGACAAGATGGACAAAAAGATGATTTTGCATATATTAGTTGTATTAGTTATAGTGAGTACAGATACCTTGATTTTTTTATCAATTTCCTGTGAGTTATTTCACCCCAAAGTTTGCCTTTTTTAATTCTTAGACATACCTTCATATGAAATAGAGACAATTCAATTAAAATTCAGCTGAAATTTGTTTACATTGCGTTGTATCATAGTCATTTGACTTTCGTGCCCATGTTTACAGCCAATTTAAATCAGAATGATGATAAGTTTTACGAAACCCTCATGTTCATTTACATTAATGTCCAAAGTACGACCAAAAATGGTAAACAGAAAAACCTGAATAGTTTATATAATAGATGGGTTGTACTATATATATATATATATATATATATACCAAAATTTAGATTAGTATTATATGATATCGGGAATTTTTTCATACGATCACAACAAGAATGAAAATATCAACAAGAACAACAGTCTAATAATAAAACGATCCATAGGTCCATTTCGTGTCCAATAATAAGTAAGTTGTTTACTTTAAATCGTTGTTATGTAAACAACGAAGTAATGAGAGTCTGTAACAAAAATACTGACTAATTTTTTATTAGTTTTGCGTTGACGGATTTGTTTGTTTTCACATTTATGTTAGACAATGAGTGCCTGATATAATTTCCCATTTATATTTTGATTGTTTTAGCTCATGTACTCAAATCTTCCTGTTTTCAATATTTGTTCTGACGTCTACATCTCTTAATTATATTGTAATTAGTGACGTTAAATGTTTATGTTTAATTTAAAAAACAATAATTTTCTAGTTTTGAAACATTTTTATATTTAAACCATGCAAATGTTCTTATTGGACGCTTCGTGCCATCACACGTTACCTTGAAATGACTGTGAAAATTGTGCATTTTCTACAGTAGGTGTGGTTTGAATACAATTTCTCTCTGCCTAATGACATTGAATGAATACACAATTGAAATATATCTTATCTATTGTGGATTATTATATAAATACAGCATCAGCAAATTTAGTTTTTTTTTCGTTGGAGACTGGTACCGAACCATACGACGGGAAAAAAATTTTTATAAAACGAAAAATAGTACGTAATATTGAATCATATTCTCGTTGTCAACATTCACGGAGAAAGTATTTGACAAAAGTGTTTCAGTGGAATATTGATTTGAATCCGGAAAAATCTGATTTTTCCATGATGATTGCGAGATTAATTAAAGCAATATTTCTATTATTTTGTTTGCTATCTACCATCGTGTTAATCTCAGCCCAAACACCATACGATTCAAGGTTGGTAAACTTAAAACTTAGTTTAAGATAGTGGAATGTAAAAAAATTTACTAATTATCATGTAAAATACCGTATATGTATGTAATATGTATAATTCACATTCAGAGTGGACTCAACGTCTCCACCGAACTCATCGTGGGGACGAAGAAAAAGATCAATTATATTAGGTAATATTAGGTTTATTGCTGCCGGCTTTATTTAACTTGAATCAGTCAAGCATTTGAATCAAGTCATCATTATATGGCCTTATATATATATATATATATTGCAAATACAACTTTCCTCAATTTTACAGATGAAGATCCGTTCTTTGATTTTGAATAGTGACTGAAATCGCTGTTCACTCCCGGAAAATATACAACGTTCTTGCTACATGAAAAATACGACGATACGTTATTTAATTTTATGACAACGATTATTTTATCTGATATAAACAAATTTGTATCCTACACTATTTATAACATCCAGAAACCCCACAAGAACTTTCTGACAGTTGTGATAACTTTTCGACAAACTGAAAATGATAGCTTATAATGCGTATATAGTGTATTTAAGATCTACAAATATTTGCCGTTTCGTTTTTTTATATTATTTCTATATTTGTGCGAAATAATTTTGCATTGCACCATGTTTATAAATTAAACCTATATCTCGACGCACAATTTGCTTTCTTTGTGGGTATGATATTTGTGCTCATGAGAGTGCTGTTCTCGCATGATGCGTAGATCAGTGTCGGTAATGTGTATTGATGCTTTGCAATCCATGTTAAATTTTGACTGATTTTGTTATCGTTTGTCCGTTGCGAGTCTTTATATAATAAATACACTCTGACAACAATGAATTAATTTGTCACATACAGCGCCACCATCCTAGAGTGGGCAAAATATTATTCATTTTCCTTGTACTAATGTAAATTTTCTGAGTCTGTGTTTATCCTGGACATTTGAACATCAATTTAGTTTTACATAGATTTAGTTCAAGTAAATTATGTTTAGATTGTTTTATGCTCATGTACTCAAATATAAAATATTTCTGTTTTAAATATTTGCATTGGCGTCTTTATCTCTTAGTTATCGTGTAACTGATGACATTAAATGTTTATTTTTAGTTCAAAAAGGAAAATAGTCAGTCAGTAGCTTATTTTTCGCCAAAATGAATATGCACTCACAGTGAACATAAACTTAAAAAAAGTTGAAAATGACATTTCATGGTGGAAGGTGACGCAAAAAACCAAAGTTGGTTATCGATCAGCGATACCTGTGATAAGAGTCTAACTTTGATACAAGTTTAATAGAAATAAGACGAACAATATATAAATTAATATATCAAATATCAAGTCCAAAAAACACATTTGTTACAGAAAAGAAACTCTGGGCACCGTCCAGTACGAGAGGGGTAACCATGGGCAGCAAACAGCATAGCAACGACCAAAGTGAATATCACCTTGGCACAGTGACAGCAGGCTGGGTACAGTCATACTGGAAAAGCCATTCGGGAACGGCGTTTAGGTACCAGTTTTTGAGGGTACACGTTCTGGTGGTGTACCTAACAAGACAGGTATTAGGTAATACATTTGGAACTATGAGTAACGTCTGAATTGTTAGCAGTTTCTAAATATGAAACCAGTTTCTACTGCACTTCAATTCGGCACTGTGACATGGGACTTAATTCTTCAGTTTGAAACATTTCTATATTTAAACCATGCAGATGTTCTTATTGGACGCTTCGTGCCATCAGAAGATACCTTGAAATTTCTGTGAAGGTTGTGCATTTTCTACAGTAGGTGTGGTTTAAATCCTCCCAGCTTAATGACATTGAATCAAACACAATTTAAATATAACTTATCAATGCGGTTTATTATAAAAATACAACATCAGCACATTTAGATTTTTTTCCGTCGGAGACTTGTGGCGAACCATATGACGGGGATGCGGTTTTCTATAAACAGCAAATCGTACATAAAATTGAAGCATATTCTCGGCGCCAACACTCACGACGGAGGTATTCAAAATAATCATTTGAATCCTAAAAATTCTAATTTTTTCATAATGATTGCGGGATTAGTTAAAGCAATTTTTCTATTGTTTTGTTCGATATCTAGTATCGTCTTAATCTCAGCCTCAGAGCCTGAAATAGGCCGGAGTTCAAGGTTAGTAAAATTAAAAGTTAGTTCAAGATAGTGGAATGTAAAGAAAATTTCAAATTAATATGTACAATTTTATAATTCACTTTCAGAATAGACTCAACGTCTCCATCGTGGTGGCCCACGGATGGACGAAGGAAAGGATCAATTATATTCGGTAAGACCGCAATATTAAGTTCTTTGCTGCCCGCTTTATTCAACTTATATCAGCGAAGCATTTGAATCAAATCATCATTACATTGCATTGGAAATATAGATAAATTACAAAAACAAATTCTTAATTTTACAGATGAAGATCCGTTCTTTGATTTTGAATAGTGACTGAAAGCGGTGTTCACTCTCGGGAAAATATACAACGTTCTTGGTGCATGGAAAATAGGACGATACGTTATTTAATTGCATGACGACGATTATTTTATCTGATATATAACAAGTTGTTATTCTACACTTTTTCTAACATCCAAAAACACCACAAGAACTTTTTTGACAATTGTGACAATTTTTTTGATACGTGCTAGCATATATTGCGTATACTGTATCTAAGATGTACAAATATTTCCGTTTGTCATTTCGTTTCCATGCAATATTTCTATACGTGTGTGAAATAATTTTATATTGAACATGTTTATAAACTGTATCTATGCTTCAATTCACAATTTTGTTTGTTCGAGGGTGTGGTATTTAAGGATCATAGCAGTGCTGTTCTCTCATCATGTGTGGATCAATGCCGGTAATGTGTGTTGATGCTTTGCAATCCATGTTAAAATCCGACGAATTCTATTATTGTTTAGTCGTTACGAGACCTTATATAAAAAGTATTCTCTGACAGTAATGAATTCAATTTGTTACAAACAGCACCACCAGTCTAGAGTGGACAAAATATTATTCTTTTTTTCTATATATATTTATTTACAAATATAAATTTTCAGGTTCTGTCTTTATTTTAGACATTTGAATATCAATTTATTTCCGTTTGAAGCGGCGAACAACCAAAATTCTTAAAAATTTGTATAATATTGCGCTGTTTTCAAAGTAAACATAAAGTCAACAGAGTGTCTAAATATTAAACGGTTAGTGTTCTGTGTTTTCAAGCATATCTGTGGAAGGTTGCATTCAAATCAGATGTTTTACATCTAATCATATAGTGTCCCCTACTCTCGTTGATTAGTAATAGCCCATCATTAATCCCCGAGCGTGGCCCTGGACGGTTTTCAGTTTCCCAAAATTACAAGAGGGTATACAATAAAAAAAAAAATAACGCCACTAAAAAGCTTTCTTATATAAATCATGCATTCTAAAAAAAAAATACAAAACCTTTCCTGTTTTGAATTTTTAATATTCGAAGAATATTAATGAAAGAAGTAAAGTTGTGAATCTTTGTCTAAACAACTGTTTGATTATCATATCGTTTTCAATGTAATTAAAATCAAATCGTTTCTATTATCCTTTGTTTATTTAATGAAAACATTTCGAACTGATTTGGTTGAAGTAATAAATTCTCGTAGTACGGCTCAGCCTCTAATAACTCTGATACCTCAAGAGAGTTTATTATAAACGTGACAGCGAGGATAAACCTTTTATCTGATATGTCACAGATGAACTATCAGATGAATGGCAGGTGTGACCAAATCGTCACGTTTCACGGACAATCTAAATACAAAAATACAGAGTGCGTATAAACAATATATAAAGCGAGTGGTAAACAAACTATACAAAACGCGATTAAACCATGAAATATCAACAAGTTGTTGTTCCTAAAGCTTACTGCATGAGACGCAATGTTAACAAAGGACGTTCAGGACGTCAAGGTTTGACGTAAAATGATCAATTAAAAATTTAGGCAGATTTATTTTTGGTGTCTTATATTCAGCAATTACTGATAAAAATATAATTATGAAAAAAAACACGATTAAAATATAAATCTTTTTCCGATCACTTTCTTTATTATTGTGTTAAGCCTATTTCTATGTTTACTTTCATGCCCACGAGAAAATATCAGACATCTATATTAATACAAAATTTCACACATGGTGTCAAAATAGATTGTTCCTACGAATATGTTACACTACCATTGCAAAAGTGTTTAAACAAGACATTTCAGTTGAAATAAAACAAACTTTGTTCAAATCGTAGAAATTCTGAATCATTCGCGACGACTGCACGATTAGTAAAACCAATTGTCTGTGTTGTTTTATTTCCACGCCCGTACAACTATCATCTGAAGATTGATTATCAGATTAAAACAGCTAAAACATTTATTGCATGACTCCTGAAAGTTGATACTAATCTTAAAAAATTTCCAAAGCGACAAACTGGCATTGTAGAAAGCCTCGTCGTAAACGAGAAGCATAAAACTAAAATTTATCACATTTGTATTTGTCGTCATGACGTATATTTTTTTTCAAGTATTCTCGTCGAAGAATGAGAATTGTCAATGTATATACTTAAATAATTAAATGTAAATAACATTTTTTATTTGAAAAATTGCTAAAAAGTAAGATATTGTTATTTGAATTTCAGCATATTATTACGTTTTGTTGTTAGCTTCTCGTGGTTTGATTTTATGTTTCCTTATAGTTGTGGTGACATCGTCCGGATTTTTTTGCAAGTTATGTGTCGGCTACCTCATACATTTCGGGATATAATAATCTTGGAAAAAGACTTATACGTGTCAAAGTAAGATGCCATTAAGCATGGACTTGTCTCGAAGGCAATTTAGTTCATAATATTTGATATGAACTTGACGCACACGAAGTTTTGGAATAGCGTGAAATGAGGATTTTCATACCAAGTACGGACCTCATTTAATGTTCGTTGTTCTAGTTCAATGCACAGCACACGATTTCATCCATTTTCTAAATTTCAAACAAATCCCCTAACAATTAGCGACATCAGCCGAAGTTTAAAATATATATATTGACTAAATATAATCATTTCGTTAAATTTACCAGAGAAATTTATTCATTTGAATCGTGCCAAACGTGTATGATCGTAGTAGTATATATTTACGGTATGATGATCAACTGTGCCAACGGCCGAACTATAAAATTAACAGGATTTATTTCATTCTAGAACCATTAATGGTTTACATGACAAGCGAATTGAGTTTTGTGTTTAACTGGTGCTACAGTTAGTAACGTATAATCTATCTGAGGCTCCAGATCTTTTTCTATGGCGCAAGCTAAAGTCCGATCTCCCCTTTTTTAAATGCGCCGTAGGACTAGAGAGAGAGAGAGATTTTATTTACATAAAACAATGTTAAAGAAGGGCAATAGTACAAATTTTTATAGAAATACAGTGCAGTGAATATTTAAACATTGAATTGTGTTGGTCAGTATGCAAGACCTTTACAGGTCACCGAGGATCCTGACCATTTTATTTACGCTGTGATCAAACTGTCAGTATGGATTATTACAATATGAAATTATAAAATAAAGACAAAAATGAGTCGGCTGATAAATATAAAAAAAAAATCCCCCCTATTCGACACTTTGAATCAGATTTATTGTATAGTTCAGAGGGCATGTGTTAAAATGTATACATATTAAACTATACTTTGATCAAGTACAATACTGATCACTAGGGCGTAAACAAAATCATAGAAAGGTCACAGAGATGTAGCATCATAGTGCGGAATTAACTCGGAATTAAATTTTTGGATGTGCATTTGCAATAACAATTAAAATCTGTTTAGAAATATATAAAAAAGTCTCATCCTTTTCTGAATGACAAGATGAATAAAAAGCCCATTTTGTACATAGTAATAGTAGGCCAACACAGTTATCTTGCTAGGCATTCGAGGAGATCAATTTTCAAATTTTCATTACTCTAAGATAGCCGAAGTCACTGGAAGGGTATTGTCATGATTATATTTTTTAATTTTATACTTGGCGCGATATTTCACCTCGAATTTTTCTGTTCTTTCTGTTTTGCGAAACGCTCATGTTCATATGACCAAAATTGCTAAACATAAAATCTAAATAGTTTATATAATAGATAAATTGTAAACTTTCACTATACCAAAATGCAAATTAACATTTAATGGTATCGGAAACTCCGGCGTTCAGTAAAAAATAAATAATGAGCTCGACTGTTATGTTTTGTCGCATGTATCTGCTCATAATCAAATTCATTTTTTTGAGAAAAATGAGTATAAAACGTTACTTGCTTCATACTTATTATTTTTAACGGTTCTCTGTTAATGCCCATTTCTCCGCGCCCCATTCATTCAGCGAAGTCTTCATATCTGTAATTAATGGTTTCTAATCGTTAATCGTGTCAATAGGAAAAATTTCAAATCCGATGCGATTGTTAAAATCGCGTCGATTAGCCTAACTGTGTTTTAAACAAGTCCATTCAAGTCTTCAGAGAACTCCCATGATGATGCCAAAATAATAGCTTTCATCTCTTATTCAACATTGTTACATTGCATTTGCTGTGGCTCGTACCATTGAAGAAACCCAGTTGCTTCAAATTGTTTAATTGTGCTGTGGATCGTGTGCAATGTAATGGCGGCTAGAAAACGATACTAAGTATTTGAACAATGCAGTGTGAAGGAAGAAGATTCTACAACAGCACCTTGCAGAATAGAAAAATGAGGCAATCTGGCCCAAAGCCTCGAAGTAAAGCTCATCAATCACAGTGTACGTTTCAAATTAATACGAAATATGCGGATGTATGAAAGATTTCAAACAAAGTTGCGTAAATAGAAACATTACTGTCCAATTCTTTATTGTTTGATTTTGAGATTCCTCCAATAAATGGCCATAATTGTAACAGAAACCTGTTTTATAAATTACCTAAAGACTAAAACGCTTTTATCCAAACTAAAGTTATCTTAGTTAACCCTAAGATTAGCACGATTGTTTTTTCCAATATTCGTAACACGATGATTATTTTAAAATCTAACAGTCGCCATTTCTACCAATCAGGCATGCTCATGCATCCAAAACGTCCATTTGATTGGATATTCTGCTTTTAAATATAACTATACCAACTCGGGTCTTATCAAAAACGATGAGGCAATTACAGCATGACACACAACTAATAATTTCTTTATAAAACATTGAAACACGGTTAATTTCGATTTGCAGTCGAACATATATGCCTATCAATATCCTGTTTTGCAACCTTTGCTTCTTACCATTTGCATGTAAATTTTTCTACATTGAATACAAACACTTATGGAATCCGATAGAACTGCTGAGCTGCAATACTGGTATAGACTTACCGTGGGACACGCCCCTTCCCAACAGAAAATTTGCTTCATAATGAAGAGTAAGACTACTTTACTAATGCGATAGTTAGCTGCCTGATTGCACTGTATTTATACGTAGGCTTACCATACGTCCCGCTTTAGGCGAGACAGTCCTGCTTTTTAGCGTCTTGTCCCGCCGTCCCGACATGTCAGCCAAAAGTCTCGCTTTGGGTAGGTAAATGCGTTTGTTTCGTTGTTTCTCGCTAACATTGTTAGAAAACGTATCGCATGTAAAACCAATACTATTTAGTCTAAATTCGAATTATTTGTACCGGTATCGTTAACGTCAATTCCTTTCCATTTTTCGAACTGAACCCGATATTTGGAAAGAGAATATGCGCATTAAATGTCGATGACAATATGGTCAATGAAGACAGCCGGGATAGCTTTAAATAAACAATAAATAAACATAAAATCAAACCACGAAAAGCTAACACCACCGTAAGAATATGCTGAACTTCAAATTATATCATACTTTCCAGCACTTTTCAATTGAAAATGTCAGTACATCGCATTCATTTTCATTTTTAGATTCATTTCATTCTAAACCCCCTAATGGTTTATATGACAAGGAAATTGAGTTGTGTTTTGAACTGGTAGTTATACTGCTATAGTTAGTAACTTATAATCTATTTGTGACTTCAGATCTATTTCTAGGGCGCAAGCTAAAGTTATATATATATTTCTATTTATAAATGCGCCGTAGGACTCGGGCTTAACAATGTGTCTACATTATAGAAAGGTCACAGAGATGTAGCATTGTGGTGCGATAGCAAAATTATCAACTCGGAATCAAGACTCATCTTTTTTAAAATGACAAGATGGACAAAAAGATGATTTTGCATATATTAGTTGTATTAGTTATAGTGAGTACAGATACCTTGATTTTTTTATCAATTTCCTGTGAGTTATTTCACCCCAAAGTTTGCCTTTTTTAATTCTTAGACATACCTTCATATGAAAATAGAGACAATTCAATTAAAATTCAGCTGAAATTTGTTTACATTGCGTTGTATCATAGTCATTTGACTTTCGTGCCCATGTTTACAGCCAATTTAAATCAGAATGATGATAAGTTTTACGAAACCCTCATGTTCATTTACATTAATGTCCAAAGTACGACCAAAAATGGTAAACAGAAAACCTGAATAGTTTATATAATAGATGGGTTGTACTATATATATATATATACCAAAATTTAGATTAGCATTATATGATATCGGGAATTTTTTCATACGATCACAACAAGAAGGAAAATATCAACAAGAACAACAGTCTATAATAAAACGATCCATAGGTCCATTTCGTGCCCAATAATAAGTAAGTTGTTTACTTTAAATCATTGTTATGTAAACAACGAAGTAATGAGAGTCTGTGACAAAAATACTGACTAATTTTTTATTAGTTTTGCGTTGACGGATTTGTTTGTTTTCACATTTATGTTAGACAATGAGTGCCTGATATAATTTCCCATTTATATTTTGATTGTTTTAGCTCATGCACTCAAATCTTCCTGTTTTCAATATTTGTTCTGACGTCTACATCTCTTAATTATATTGTAATTAGTGACGTTAAATGTTTATGTTTAATTTAAAAAACAATAAATTTTTAGTTTTGAAACATTTTTATATTTAAACCATGCAAATGTTCTTATTGGACGCTTCGTGCCATCACACGTTACCTTGAAATGACTGTGAAAATTGTGCATTTTCTACAGTAGGTGTGGTTTGAATACAATTTCTCCCTGCCTAATGACATTGAATGAATACACAATTGAAATATATCTTATCTATTGTGGATTATTATATAAATACAGCATCAGCAAATTTAGTTTTTTTTTTTTTTGGAGACTGGTACCGAACCATCCGACGGAGAGAATTTTTTTATAAAACGAAAAATCGTACGTAATATTGAATCATATTCTCGTTGTCAACATTCACGGAAAAAGGATTTGACAAAAGTGTTTCAGTGGAATATTCATTTGAATCCGGAAAAATCTGATTTTTTCATGATGATTGCGAGATTAGTTAAAGTAATATTTCTATTATTTTGCTTGCTATCTACCATCGTGTTGATCTCAGCCTATGGGCCCCGCGAGTCAAGGTTAGTAAACTTAAAACTTAGTTTAAGATAGCGCAATGTAAAGAAAATTTTCAAATTATCATGTAAAATAACGTATATGTATTTAATATGTATAATTCACATTTAGAGTGGACTCAACGTCTCCACCGAACTCATCGTGGGGACGAAGAAAAAGATCAATTATATTAGGTAATATTAGGTTTATTGCTGCCGGCTTTATTTAACTTGAATCAGTCAAGCATTTGAATCCAATAATCATTATATGGCCTTATATTTATATATATATATTGCAAAAACAACTTTCCTTAATTTTACAGATGAAGATCCGTTCTTCGATTTTGAATAGTGACTGAAATCGCTGTTCACTCCCGGAAAATATACAACGTTCTTGCTACATGAAAAATATGACAATACGATATTTAATTTTATGACAACGATTATTTTATCTGATATAAACAAATTTACACTATTTATAACATCCAGAAACCCCACAAGAACTTTCTGACAGTTGTGACAACTTTTTTGACGAACTAAAAATGTTAGCTCATAATGCTTATATAGTGTATTTAAGATCTACAAATATTTGCCGTTTCGTTTTTGTATATTATTTCTACATTTGTGCGAAATAGTTTTGCATTTATAAATTAAACCTATATCTCGACGCACAATTTGTTTTCTTTGTGGGTATGATATTTGTGCTCATGAGAGTGCTGTTCTCGCATGATGCGTAGATCAGTGTCGGTAATGTGTATTGATGCTTTGCAATCCATGTTAAATTTTGACTGATTTTGTTATCGTTTGTCCGTTGCGAGTCTTTATATAATAAATACACTCTGACAACAATGAATTAATTTGTCACATACAGCGCCACCATCCTAGAGTGGGCAAAATATTATTCATTTTCCTTGTACTAATGTAAATTTTCTGAGTCTGTGTTTATCCTGGAAATTTGAACATCAATTTAGTTTTACATAGATTTAGTTCAAGTAAATTATGTTTAGATTGTTTTATGCTCATGTACTCAAATATAGAATCTTTCTGTTTTAAATATTTGCCTTGGCGTATTTATCTCTTAATCATCGTGTAATTGATGACGTTAAATGTTTATTTTTAGTTTAAAAAGGAAAATAGTCAGTCAGTAGTTTATTTTTCACCAAAATGAAAATGCACTCACAGTGAACATAAAAAAAGTTGAAAATGACATTTCATGGTGAAAGGTGACGCGAAAAACCAAAGTTGGTTATTGATCAGCGATACCTGTGATAGAAGTCTAACTTTGATACAAGTTTAATAGAAATAAGACGAACAATATATAAATTAATATATCAAATATCAAGTCCAAAAACCAAATTTGTTACAGAAAAGAGACTCTGGGCACCGTCAAGTACGAGAGGGGTAACCATGGGCAGCAAACAGCATAGCAACGACCAAAGGGAATATCACCTTGGCACAGTGACAGCAGGCTGGGTACAGTCATACTGGAAAAGCCATTCGGGAACGGCGTTTAGGTACCAGTTTTTGAGGGTACACGTTCTGGTGGTGTACCTAACAAGACAGTTATTAGGTAATACATTTGGAATTATGAGTAACGTCTGAATTGTTAACAGTTTCTTAATATGAAACCAGTTTCTACTGCACTTCAATTCGGCACTGTGACATGGGACTTAATTCTTCAGTTTGAAACATTTCTATATTTAAACCATGCAAATGGTCTTATTAGACGCTTCGTGCCATCAGAGGTTACCTTGAAAATTCTGTGAAGCTTGTGCATTTTCTACAGTAGGTGTGGTTTAAATCCTCCCAGCTTAATGACATTGAATCAAACACAATATAAATATAACTTATCAATGCGGTTCATTATAAAAATACAACATCAGCAAATTTAGATTTTTTTCCGTCGGAGACTGGTGGCGAACCATATGACGGGGATGCGGTTTTCTATAAACAGCAAATCGTACATAAAATTGAATCATATTCTCGGCGCCAACACTCACGACAGAAGTATTTAGAATAATCATTTGAATCTTAAAAATTCTAATTTTTTCATGATGATTGCGGGATTAGTTAAAGCAATTTTTCTATTGTTTTGTTTGATATCTAGTATCGTCCTAATCTCAGCCTCAGAGCCTGAAATAGGCCGGAGTTCAAGGTTAGTAAAATTGAAAGTTAGTTCAAGATAGTGGAATGTAAAGAAAATTTTAAATTATTATGTACAATTTTATAATTCACTTTCAGAATAGACTCAACGCCTCCATCGTGGTGGCCCACGGACGTACGAAGGAAAAGATCAATTATATTAGGTAAGACCGCGATATTAAGTTATTTGCTGCCCGCTTTATTCAACTTATATCAGCGAAGCATTTGAATCAAATCATCATTACATTGCATTGGAAATATAGATAAATTACAAAAAAAATTTTTAATTTAACAGATGAAGATCCGTTCTTTGATTTTGAATAGTGACTGAAAGCGGTGTTCACTCTCGGGAAAATATACAACGTTCTTGGTGCATAGAAAATAGGACGATACGTTATTTAATTGCATGACGACGATTATTTTATCTAATATATAACAAATTGTTATTCTACACTTTTTCTAACATCCAAAAACACCACAAGAACTTTTTTGACAATTGTGACAATTTTTTTGATACGTGCTAGCATATATTGCGTATACTGTATTTAAGATGTACAAATATTTCCGTTTGTCATTTCATTTCCATGCAATATTTCTATACTTGTGTGAAATAATTTTATATTGCAACATGTTTATAAACTGTATCTATGCCTCAGTAAGGTAAAAATAAAAAATAAAAATAAAAAAGTAAAAATAAAGTCAACAGAGTGTCTAAATATTAAAACGGTTAGTGTTCTGTGTTTTCAATCATATATGTGAATGGTTGCATTCAAATCAACATCCAATCATATAGTGTTCACTACTCTCGTTGATTAGTAATAGCCCATCATTAATCCCCGAGCGTGGGCCTGGACGGTTTTCAGTTTCCCAAAATTACAAGAGAGATTGCAATAAAAAATAACGCCACTGAAAAGCGATCTTATAGAAATCAGGCATTCTAAAAAAAGAAAATACAAAACCCTCCCTGTTTTGAATTTTTAATATTCGAAGAGTATTAATGAAAGAAGTAAAGTTGTGAATCTTTGTCTAAACAACTGTTTAATTATCATATCGTTTTCGATGTAATTAAAATTAAATCGTTTCTACAATCCTTTGTTTATTTAATGAAAATATTTCGGACTGATTTGGTTGAAGTAATAAATTCTCGTACTACGGCTCAGCTTCTAATAACTCTGATACCTCAAGAGAGTATATTATAAACGTGACAGCGAGGATAAACCCTTTATCTGATATGTCACAGATGAATCAATCAAATGAATGGCAGGTGTGACCAAATCCTCACGTTTCACGGACAATCTAAATACAAAAATACAGAATGCGTATAAACAATATATAAAGCGAGTGGTAAACAAAATATACAAAACGCGATTAAATCATGAAATATCAACAAGTTGTTGTTCCTAAAGCTTACTGCATGAGACGCAATGTTAACAATAGACGTCCAGGACGTCAGGGTTTGACGTAAAATGATCAATTAAAAATTTAGGCAGATATTCAGTAATTACTGATAAAAATATAATTATGAAGAAAGCTATGATTGAAATATAAATCTTTTTTCAATTCCTTTTCTTTATTATTGTGTTAAGCCTATTCCTATGTTTATTTTCACGCCCACGAGAAAATATTAGACCTCTATATCAGGGTTCGGCAAACTTTCCTCGTTCGCGGGCCAGAATTAAATGTTGCAAATCATTGGCGGGCCGCACATATTTTTAGAAAGTTAAAAACCGAAGGAATAGCCAATGAATCACATTTTTCGCACAGATTTCAGTTAAATTTCAAGCAGTGCGCGAAGACTGATCATTTGAATATTTTCTGCGTCATCAAACCATTTGCACTCAGCATCAACATTTTTACTTTCTGTTGCCATTTGTCTAATTATAATCAATTGTAGATTCAATTGTAATTCAACTGTGAATTACCGCGGGCCGTAGTTTGTCGACAAATTTCCACGCCCGTACAACTATCATTTGAAGATTGATTATCAGATTAAAACACCTGAAACATTTATCGCATGACTCCTGAAAGTTGATACTAACCTTAAAAAATTTACAAAGCGAGAAACTGGCATTGTAGAAAGCCTCGTCGTAAAAGAGAAGCATAAAACTAAAATTAAAAGTTATTACATTTTTATTCGTCGTCATGAAGTATATTTTGTTTCAAGTATTCTCGTCGAAGAATAAGAATTGCCAATGCATAACTTAACAAGAGAGCTATGCTCAAATATATGGACACGTAGTGGCAATAATTTTGATGACGTCATAGCAAAAAAAAAGTAATAACCTTCTGGAGAAAATTTTTATCTTCAACCACTGAAAATTTCAAAGTAATTGGTCCAGTATTCGAAGAGAAAAGCGATTTTTTAAAAATGATGGAGACAAATAACAATAACAACAAAATTTTGAAACGATCGTTATGTCCACTAAACGTGTCCAAATATGAGAAAAGCTGGTGTTGTGTTTTGGACAACGTCAAAAAGATATGACCTGTTTATCAAATTTATATCATGTCATTTACCGCTATACTCGTGGTCGGTCGATCGGCTTCCACAATTATCTTATCATCATGTTAATCTCCTAAAATGAAAGTGAATGCGATGTACTAACATTTTTATTTAAAAAGTGCTAAAAAGTAAGATATGTATTTGAATTTCAGCATATTATTACGTTTGTTGTTAGCTTTTCGTGGTTTGATTTTATGTTTCCTTATAGTTGTGGTGACATCGACCGATTTTTTTGCAAGTTATGTGTCGGCTACGGCATTCATTTTGGGATATAATAATCTGGGAAAAAGACTTATACGAGTCAAAGTAAAATGCAAATAAGCATGAACTCGTTTCGAAAGCAATTTAGTTCATAATATTTGATATGAACTTGACGCACACGAAGTTTTGGAATAGCGTGAAATGAGAATTTTCATACCAAGTACGGACCTTATTGAATGTTCGTTGTTCCAGTTCAATGAACAGCACACGATTTCATCCATTTTCGAAATTTTAAACAAATTACCCAACAATTACCGACATCAGACGAATTTTAAAATATTTTGTTGACTAAATATAATCATTTCGTTAAATTTATCAAAGAAATTTATTTATTTGCATCGTGCCAAACGTGTATGATGATCAACTGTGCTAACGGCCGAACTATAAAATTAACAGGATTTGTTTCATTCTAGAACCATTAATGGTTTAAATCACAAGGGAATTGAGTTTTGTTTTTAACTGGTGCTATAGTTAGTAACGTATATCTGTGGCTCCAGATCTTTTTCTGTGGCGCAATCTAAAGTCCTATCTCTCTATTTATAAATGCGCCATAGGACTAGAGAGAGAGAGAGAGATTTTATTTACATAAAACAATGTTAAAAAAGGGCAATAGTACAAATTTTTGTAGAAATACAGTGCAGTGAATATTTAAACATTGAATTGTGTTGGTCAGTATGCAAGACCTTTACAGGTCACCGAGGATCCTGACCATTTTATTTACGCTGTGATCAAACTGTCAGTATGGATTATTACAGTATGAAATTATAAAATAAAGACAAAAATGAGTCGGTTGATAAATATAAAACAAAAAATTACCCCTATTCGACACTTTAAATCAGATTTATTGCATAGTTCAGAGGGCATGTGTTAAAATGTATACATATTATACTATACTTTGATCAAGTACAATACTGATCACTGGGGCGTAAACAAAATCATAGAAAGGTCACAGAGATGCAGCATCATAGTGTGATAGCAAAATTATTAACTCGGAATTAAATTTTTGGGTGTGGATTTGCAATAACAATTAAAATCTGTTAAAATTTAAAAAAAGTCTCCTCCTTTTCTAAATGACAAGATGAATAAAATGAGCATTTTGTACATAGTAATAGTAGGCCTACACAGTTATCTTGCTGGGCATTCGAGGAAATCAATTTAAAATTTTCATTACTCCCAGATGGGCGAAGTCACTGGAAGGGTATTGCCATGATTATTTTTTTTAATTTTATACTTGGCGCGATATTTTACCTCAAATTTTTCTGTTCTTTCTGTTTGAGTATAATGAAGTATTGAGTATAAAACGTTACTTACTTCATACTTATTATTTTTAACGGTTCTCTGTTAATGCCCATTTCTCCGCACCGCATTCATTCAGCGAAGTCTTCATATCTGTAATTAATGATTTCTAATCGTTAATAGTGCCAATAGGAAAAAATTCAAATCCGATGCGATTGTTAAAATTTGTGTGTTTTAAACAAGTCCATTCAAGTTTTCAGAGAACTCCCATGATGATGCAAAAATAATAGCTTTCATCTCTTATTCAACATTGTTACATTGCATTTGCTGTGGCTCGTACCATCGAAGAAACCCAGTTGCTTCAAATTGTTTAATTGTGCTGTGGATCGTGTGCAGTGTAATGGCGGCTAGAAAACGATACTAAGTATATGAACAATGCAGTGTGAAGGAAGAAGATTCTACAACAGCACCTTGCAGAATAGAAAAATGAGACAATCTGGCCCAAAGCCTCGAAGTAAAGCTCATCAATCACAGTGTACGTTTCAAATTAATACGAAATATGCGGATGTATGAAAGATTTCAAACAAAATTGCGTAAATAGAAACATTACTGTCCAATTCTTTATCGTTTGATTTTGAAATTCCTCAAATGAATTGCTATAATTGTAACAGAAACCTGTTTTAAAATTACCTAAAGACTAAAACGCTTTTATCCAAAATAAAGTTATGTTAGTTAATCCTACGTTTAGCACGATTGTTTTTTTCAATATTCGTAACACGATGATTATTTCAAAAATCTAACATTTCTACCAATCAGGCATGCTCATGCATCCAAAACGTCCATTTGATTGGATATTCTGCTTTTAAATATAACTATACCAACTCAGGGTTTTATCACAAACGATGAGGCAATTACAGAATGACACACAACTAATGATTTCTTTAAAAAACATTGAAACACGGTTAATTTCGATTTGCAGTCGAACACATAGGCCTATCAATATCCTGTCCTTGCAACCTTTGCTTCTTACCATTTGCATGTAAATTTTTCTACATTGAATACAAAGACTTATGGAATCCGATGGAATTGCTGAGCTGCAATACTGGTATAGACTGACCGTCAGACACGCCCCTTCCCAACAGAAAATTTGCTTCATAATGAAGAGTAAGACTACTTTACTAATGCGATAGTTAGCTGCCTGATTGCACTGTATTTATACGTAGGCTTACCATACGTCCCGCTTTAAGCGGCTGCGAGACAGTCCTGCTTTTTAGCGTCTTGTCCCGCCGTCCCGACATGTCAGCCAAAAGTCCCGCTTTGGCGTTCAGCCATCCAGCATAATACACGAACGTGTTCTCGCTACTGTTGTTTCTGTGTAGCGCAGCACTGTCCCACTTACTGAAGGTAAATGCGTTTGTTTCGTTGTTTCTCGCTAACATTGTTAGAAAACATATCGCATGTAAAACCAATACTAATTAGTCTAAACTCGAATTATTCGTAGTGGTATCGTTAACGTCAATTTCTTTCCATTTTTCGAACTGAACCCGATATTTGGACAGAGAATACGCGCATTAAATCTCGATGACAATATGGTCAATGAAGACAGCCGGGATAGCTTTAAATGTAGGCCTATGTAGTAAAATCGGGAAATGTAAAGTTATGCAGCTAAGGGGTCGTTGTATTTATAAGCTCCCACTTTGAAGTCACAAAAATATGGTAACCCTATTTATACCAAATCTTTGAGCAATGTAAGAAAATTAAATTGTAAAAATCCTCGTTCTCTACGATAAGAATTTTTGAAAGTCTTCTGTTATCAGAAACGTAATGTCAAATTGGTCAGTCAATCAGGATTAGAAAATATCATTAGCGTTTATCGCCCATACAAATCAGTATTTTTTTTTATTTATCCCGTTTTAACTAAGATACATCTTACTCAGAATCAGAAATTTTCACGAACGTCACCATGACACAAAAAGGACGCAGTCTAGAAATTACGAAATTGGTCTTGCCTTTAAATGATGTTTGAACGTAGTAGCATCTATTTACGTTTTAAAGCATGAGATAATAATAAGGATATGGTATGAAATGATACATGACGATTATAACAGCTCAGCCACCATACGACATGCTCGTTAGAGCGATTGGAACAAATAGATTGTACAGGTACTTTATTTTTGATGACGCTGAGTTTCTTCCAAAGTCTCGAAATGATTGTCCAAAGAAGTTTATTGTTGAGTCAAAAGTTGTCAAACAGAAATCCGGCAATATACAGTGCTATTACACAGGAGGGACCAATTATACTATGAGAAACAAGGAAAACAGAAATATTAGATGTAAATCAAAACTAAGCCTAATTAATAATACTAATCCCCCTTTGATTGGTTAGGATACAAATTTACACGTCCTACCTCCAAGTGGCTCACGCCGAAAGAGATCGCGCCAATGTCAAAATGGTTAAGGTTCAATACCCAAAGTTACCGTTGCCAGTTTAGTTACTAGGTAAAACAAAAGGAGCGGTCACTGTTTACAATCATGGCCGTTACAACAATAGTTACCGTATTTGTCTCCGATTACTGGACTGGGATGATGGAGAAAGACGCCACAGACTCTTGTAAACAATCCGTCGAGATTCTAGCATGCGAATATGCGCGGTGATATATCAGGTGCTTAGCACGATATGCCAATACTCGAGACTAGACTTTGCAATTTCACATTTGATAGAACCATATAAATTTCTACACCGGCTCTAACAAAAATCTATCAAACATCCATCTGACCAAACTACTGTGGTTTCGTGTCGAAATGATATTTTTCCCACTGGGGATTCCCCTGCGCAATTGTCTTTATAGTGAGATGTTTTTTTATGTAGTCTATGTCTGTTCCGCCAAATTGCAATCGACAAAAAAAGCTTTCTTTGATGTACACAATGTAATTTACCTAAAATTTAGTCAGATCATTGAAATTAATTAATTTTTTTATCATTGTTAAACAGTGTAGCCTCAAATTATCTCAGTTATTCTGTTGACGACGACAAAAGAACCCAACACCCCAATCCATGATTTGTGCATAGACTGCTATGGAACATTCAATCCATTTACCTAGCTTGTTTTTTAGTATAAAAAATTTGTCACTGTGTTACTTTTGCAACGTAATTGAACTAGGCCTACAGCATCATCATTTTTCGGCAGCGAGTGTTCTTTAATCCATATATCTGTAGGAAAAGCACATACACGTCTCACATTTAAATTTGAATTTATAAGATATTGCCCGATGTCACATCGTGTTTTTTTTTTGTGTTTTGACTGTTTTGGGGGGACGGGCACGTACTTGTACGTATTTAACTTTAATATTAAGTTATGCCCGTCCTCCAGGTCCTCTGTATTTTGTTTGCCCTTTGTTGTTGTTTTGTTTGTATCAGAGTGACCAAATAAAATTGATTGATTGATTGATGATTGACCACCATGGAAAAGAATATTATTGATTATTTCAAGAAAGTCCTGCTTAACAAAAATGGACATCTTTGCATGAATTCTTTCAAGGGTCATTTAGCTGAATTAAGTCAAAAAGAACGTAAATATGTAAAGGTAAATATTTAAAATTACTGATTTATTGTAGCTTATATGTATTCAGATATTTTTGATGCAAATTGTGGAATTGAAGTGACTAGACTCATCAAAATAACTTGGACTCGTACTAATCGCTGATGCTATAGCAGTATAGGGTGGCTTAATTATATAATTTTTTTTAAAAAAGTTATCGTTACTGTTCACTCCCATTTAATAAACTGATCAATTTGGCAGTGGCAATCATCATAAATTTATTAATATGGTGTGGCAAGTAATTTTTATTTATTTATTTTTTATTAACTACCAGTATGTAATTTTTCATGTTCCCTTTACTTAATAACTTCTATATGGTTGTGTGTGTGGGTGCGTGTGAGCGTGTGTGAAATATTTCAATTATTTTAGGTGAGTGAACACGTACCACATCTTCTTGGCAAAACCTTCCATCTTATATACATTCTGTACGTTTTAAACCTTATCTAAGGTTTTGTTCGCTCTCCTAATTTCATAATCAGTTTTTATTTATTTATTTTTACCATTCATCTTATTGTTTTGCCGATTATGGAGTCGAAATAAACTTATACTTATACCTACCCACTTTGCGGCCACGACCTATTTGCGACCATCAACTTCATCGATTAAATTAATGATGAAAAAATTAACGAACCCCGACGATATTTCTCACGTGTTATCCACTTATCCCTCGTAGTCCTGCGAAATTACATTAAAATGCAGCCACAAACAAAAAACTTACAACCGAAAACCCGACCGAAAAAAAAAAACGGACAATTTTTCCATGTCGCCAACTACCCATTGTTCCTTTAAAAAAGCTTGAAAATCCATACAAATATGAGAGATAAAGAGATGAAACTTGTGTTTCTTTTAACCATCTTTAAAGTTTCGCGTTTCTATATTTAAAAGAGGGAGAATAGGGGGGTGCGCATTTCCAATACGTCGATAATATCTTTGTCTACCAGTTTGCGCCGTGTTTTTGTCTGTTTGATTGCTATGATGCGGTGCTTTGTTTATAATTTGACGAGTTTTGTTCGAAATAATCGTGTTCTTAAAATATATGATGGTCAGAAATGCAATTAGAAGCCTATTTTTTCACGCATGGCTACGTATGCCCTAGTTTCGGCGCAGCAGAAACGATGTTCAAGGCTTGAAATCCGTGGTTGCACACTGGTCGTTCGGTCGCAAATACGTCTTCAGAGTGTCGTACTTTGGCGGTTTGTATAGCTTCAACCCCTGGTTGTAGAAAGTTAATTCGAGGTTTAACGTGTAGAATAAATGCCAATGCACCCACGGTAAAAAAATTAACGGGTTAGAAATATTGGTTTTTGTTTTATAGCAGTTTGAATGAAATCGTCCGAAGACTGGCTACACCACCCTAGTGGGATGGGATTTACATATTTATCCCAGGGAGATATAAGCTGATGAGATGGCTTAATCATATGGGGAACCACATCCTCTTCTCCAGTTACCAGTCCATGTCGGACACCGCTGTGTGAAATTTGAGTCAGTGATTGACTTGACTTGAATAAACTGTGGCTTGACCTCACCCTGTGGGGTTGAGGAACTTTTACTCAACACTGGTATATGCAGTGCGATATGTTGATTTAATTTATTTGTATGAGTAAACAGTATTTTAATTAACTTAAATAACTTTTTCAGAAAGTTGGACTTGAAAAATTGATTTCAAAATATCCAGATTTGTTTCTTTTATGTGATGAGGAAATTTATAGCATCCAGGAAGATGAGAAAAAGGAAGATTCCGATGTTTTTAAAAAAATTAGTGACGAACACAACATAAAAGGTGTCATGAATTCCAAAGGAAAAAAATCATCAGTTAATTTGGATAGTGCAAGTGTGTGAAATTACATTTTTTAATTTCTTTTGATTATTATTACAGTAACGCTCACTTCAAACATTCTGAAGCTTTCCTTCTCAGAATATTCTTAGATTCAGATATTGTTTTCAAGCGATTGTTCATACCATAATATTACCATTATTATTTTAAGTCTTTGAATAGATCAATCAGATTAATTTTTTATTTTAGGTTAAACCAAATTAAAATTAGTGTTTTATATTTTGTGATTCGATTTTGCTTAATTCTGTAATCAATATATTTTTACAAATTTCGTGGAATAAGATTTCTTCGACTCTTCTGCAAATGATAAGATGTAATTTAAATTTTATTTCGTCGGCTAATTTGAGGACCAATTTTTTTTATTTCTCTACAAATATTTTAAAGATGGATTCCATACTCAGTTTCTAGTGAATCATTGCTAAAAAATTATCTAATTAATATTTTTCAATTTCAAGTTACTTCATTTAAATTAATCGATTTATCTTTGATGAAAAAATTTTTGAAGATGATTAATGCTCAAGTGCGCAATTTGCTTGTATTATACTAAATTGGGAATTATTTTCTTACAAACTATCAATTATTGTATGAAAATATTGCAATTTTATTTTACAGAGGATGATCCATGTACAGTTTGTTCCGATCCTATTGAAATATTTGCAATTGGTGAATGTCGACATCCTATTTGTTACAGGTTAGCTCAGTTCTTATAATTTAATTTTTGTCAAAACATTTTGTCAGGGTTGTGTAGTCATGGAAATTTACAATCGATTCCCACTCCCTGCTCTGAGTTCAAAAAATACTGATTGATGGAAATTTTAACTCAAGCTTCTGCACCAAACTCTAGTAAAAATAAAATTTTTAACATGCATCTTTGATAGACTAATAAGAATGGAGACTGCTTTTTTTTCGGTTCGTTTACAAAATTTTGAATTTGAGACTTGGATTATCACCATTCAAAGTCTGAAATCCTGACTTTCATCTTTTGGAAATTACTTTGACTTCGGAGAGTTTAAAATTCGATTCGATTTCAATGGAAGCATGCCAAACTTCGAATTGTTGCCCTGCATTTTATTTATATTGCCACATTCACTTATTTGAAGAGCATTTTTTATTATTTCTCAAAATGCTGTTATTTTAAAGATTTTAATGATCAATTTGTCAAGTTTCTAAAGCTTTTCCTTTTTACAGATGCAGTACTAAATTACGGGTGTTATGTGAAGATAAGAACTGCCCAGTATGCAGACAAACACTGGACCTGGTAAGGCATAGAAACTGACTAAAGATAGAAGTCGGCGATATTTGAGTCACTCAATCGTTTAATTTAGCTTTAAAAAGATTTTTCATTTCTGATTACCATGGAAAATATAGAAACGAAAAATTTTGATTTTAATCTTTCATTATAGAAATCATTTGATTTCAAAGTCAATTTTGTTTCTTCAAATTACTCTGTTAAAATGATCTGTTTAGATCTTACTCATTGTGTATGTTATGGAAAATGATTGAGTTTCGGCCATTTCTGAATGAATCTGACTTTATAATATATCGCCAGATGAGAACAGAACAGGCCTAAATCACAATTTTGAGTTTTGAGAAAAATGCAAAAAACAATTTGGAATTTTTTTATTTTTGAATTTCTAGATATTCACACTTAGTAGGGACCTGAGCTCTGGTTATTTTAATGTGGATGTGAATTTCTTTGTAATCAATATTTTTTGGCACTTCAGCTTCAATTCCTTCCTGCTTTTTTAACCCCATCATGGACTTTGGCCCATTTTGTTCTCAACAACTTCTGAATTTTTTTGTATGGGATGCAAGGTAAAACAAGGTGACATAGGCCTAAGTTGCACTGAAGAAATTTTTAGGGATGTAAGTTTCGAACATTTCATTTCTGATGTTCATGCCTATCGTATTGGAACTTGGGACTATCTTTTTTCAGTATTTTGGGGTTTTGAGCCATGCTCTACAAGGTGGTGGTGGTCTTGAAATTCTGAATTTCATAATATTAAAAATTTTAGCTGGACTTAGGCCTATTCTGTTCTTAACTTCTACAGTCCTAAGTCCAGCTAAAATTTTTATTATTGCGAAATTCAGGATTTCAAGACCACCACCTTGTAGAGCATGGCTCAAAACCTCAAAATTTTGAAAAAAGTGAATTTTGCAAAAATGTGACTTAGGCCCCTTCTGTTCTCATCCGGCGATATTGTTACAGAATTCTCGACTACCAAGATCAATGTTTTTCTGTCCTATCAAAATTTCTCTCAAAAAAATTTTTTTAGGTTGTATTTTCTAAGAATTTGCTTCCATTAAATGAGCATAAGGTTGACGATTATATCAAGGATAAAAAATATGGGATTGCATTTGAAAACATCAAAGTCTGTGAACAAAAGAGGTTTGAATTATTTGAAAATCTTTTTTTTTTGCAAAGACTCGCATTGAAAAATTGACTGTGATTCTCGCTATGGTAGTGTCAAATTTATAGTGGATAACATTGTTAAATTGAAGATGAAGCAAAGCAATAAAATTAAATTTTGTATGTAGTTCGAAACTATTCAGTGCCTACGAAACATTGCTAAATTAACCGAATTATATTTTCCTATGCTATTTATATTCTGTTATAATCTACAGTGCTCTTTTGCGACATGTCTGCAATAAATGTCCGAATGCCATTTTCGATAATTTTCCTGGATTAGAAGCTCATGCTCGTGATAAACATCAACTGTATTATTGTGAAATATGTGTAAGACAATGTAAGGTATGTTAAAGTGTTCTTTATTTAATTAGCAAATGAAACGACGAGTGATATTGATTTCAAAAGTTTTTTCTTACTAAAATACATTGTTATTCAAACATAATTTCTTTGATATGACTTTCACCCTGTACGAGGCTATGCAAAAGCAGCCATTGAAAATGGAAGAAGCTGATTTTTTGAAATTACCAGAATTGTTTGCATAATTTATTTTAAGATATTGGATAAATTCGTTTTATAGCTCTCCCATTAAGTACCGTACCATAATGAATCTGGGTATCAAACAAGGAAATAAGCTATACAAAATGTTTTGCCGTTGAGCAACTATAGGAAAAAAGCAGATTTTACATTCGTTTTCAGATATTTACTGAAGAGCGAAAAACATATTCCAAGTCGGAATTAAAGAAACATATTGAAGATGGTGATGAAACTGGGTCAGCAAGGGGTGGCCATCCATTGTGTAGGTAAGCATGTATATTCTGTTTTTATTTTAGTAAAATATAAATATTAGGCTGTAGTGTCAGCATGTTTATATTGGAGTCAGAGCCATAGTTGTATATTTAATCTCTCAAAGCCAAAATTTTTTTCACCACAAATTTATGAGTCAAATATGGTAAATTCCCTTCAATGCAACACTATATAGATGTAAATGGTGTGACTTGTGAGTAAGCTTTCTGAAGCTGTCATGTATCTGGACAGCTAAAAAACTATGGTAAAATCTATAAACTATATGTCTTTCGTTTTAGATTTTGTGATTATCGTTATTTGGATAATGATGAATTATTACGTCATCTTCGACTTCATCATTGTTCATGTATTATATGTGATGAAGTTAATGAAGAACATAAGAATTATGAGTTTTATGCGTAAGTTAACACTGTATAGATTTTCTATTATAAAAATGCATGTCCTGAATATAATACTGGACTTTTTAAAGCAAGGTCTTAAAAGTGTGTTCTCAGTTGTCTACAAATAAATATAAGTTTATTTCGACTCCGTAATCAGCATAGGTGATAAAATATTTGATAGAAATAAAACAAATAAAAATAGATTATAGAATCAGGAAAGCAAACAAAAGTAAGGTTAAAAACAAACAAAGTTTAAATAAAAAGACTTTTAAGAAGTGGTGCATGTTCACTTAACCAAAAAAATAATTTTAAATTATACATATTCAATTTTTTAGAGATTTGTGAAAATGATTTGTCTTGATGTTACAGCAAAAGCTTTCATAATTGATTTTCTATGATGCAAATATTTATTAAAAGGAGTGTATCCATGTTTAGTGTCATTCTATAAGTAAATATGCCTAAAGTGAAAGTAACCTTGAATAGCAATATATATCATTCAACCATTCCTGTAATACATTTATGTCATTATAGGCTGCCTGAGATTATATTAGATATTATTTACTTTTGAAGGTGTGTTGTTCCACACATACTTAATTGTGTTCTGCTTTTTGTATGCTCTATTTATTATCAGCTCAATTTTATGCTTCTGAACACACTCTCACATTTTATGATAGTTCAGGCATGACATTATGTCTAGCCTATTCCATTGTTTAAATTATTATAATACAGGTGAAAGAATAGTTCCACATCTGTAGATACAATATACTCGGTTAGGAAACCCCTTGTATTGTGTACAGAAGTCAATGATACTCTAGTTTCACATGATTACGCAATGTTATGTCTTTTATTTAGGCTCATATAAAATGTTAAGCTTATACACGCATAACTGAGATTGTAATAAACATTTGGCTTATAGCGCATAACTTTAATCACACTCAAACGAAATGGCATTATACTACGTAACTTGCCGGTAATTCAAACAGATTCAACTCGAATCATGATAAGAGCGAAGCAGCACTCTGTATGCTACGACAGTGATAACAGTCTGCAATTGGTTGTCACACACATGTCTCATATGCAAATTTGTATAAATTTACCGTTTTAGAGCCGTTTTCAAGGGGTTGGCTTATATGCGAGATCTGCTTCTAGCGAGGATGGCACCAACTTTCCTGCTAATGCTCATTATTTCTATTTAGAGACAAGAACTCGCTTTTTGAACATCAGCGTGAAAATCATTTTCCATGTGAACATCCTGACTGCATGGAATTAGATCGCATTCCTGTCTATAGAGATGAAATAGATTTACAGGTAATTTCCTATTTTGCTAAATTAGTTTATTACAGTAGTTTAAAGGCGTTTCTATGTTATTATGTTTTCTTTATATTGCCAGGGTCATAATTTGCAGAAGCATAGTGGACAGAAAAGTAAATTGGAAAAGAAAGCAGAGCAAAGAATTAGTGTTCCATTTATGTATGAAAGAAAAAAGGGTGAAGATCATTTTACTTTTCTTATTACAGGCATATCCAGCTAAGCACATATTCATCGTTGTTGTACCTGTTGAGGTGTTTGTTGTTGTGAATAAATTGTACAAGTAATGGACCAAATAATATAAAACTTTAAGTACTAGAAGATTACAACGAAAATTACTAGGTGCCTTATACTTCCATTTAGTCTCACTCTCAAATTTTCTTCTGGTCTGATAGGGCCTAAAATATCACACCAAAAATTACCGGTTTGTCTTATATTGCACATCTATTTGGCATTCTGCCAGATTATTCTTTCACTCTTCTCAGCAAACTTAGTGGTCAGCTGAGGCCTGGCTGGTAGTCATGTGAATAAATTCAGTGGTTGAATGAGAAATCACATATTTTAAGCCTTTGACCTTTAACATATATTTGAACATTGTTTTTGGTGGTAACTATCCATACTACCATTTTCAATGCACTCTATAAAGGTATTAGCAGTTAGTTGTTACATGAGTGAATTCAACAATCATTTTCTAAAAATGACCCAAAGATATCTCGAGAGCATTATAAAACTTTTTACTGATTAATCAGTCAAAATCCATTTCCATACGTCACCTTACCATTCTTCCACCAATGATAAATTCTATTTTAATCATATCTTAATTTGCGAAGCTATAATGATCATGTTCCCAGCACTTAGCTTAATATGTATGTTTAATGAATTAATATGAATAATTTGTAAATTTTTTAGATAAACAAAAAAAGATATTAAAAGTTGAACCTGATCCTGCTGGTGGAATACATATTACAGGTAACTTTCTACAATGTTAAATCACGAAATGTTAAATCTTTATTGAAATTTTTGAGAATTCATTTTGAAAAGGCAGTTACAATCAAGTTTTTCATCTTTCGGTGAGCCTTATTTGAGTCTTAATCTTTTGATAATTAGCGCAGCTAAATTTCAAGACTTTATTTGTTTGTTATTTCAATGAATTCTCATGGACAAGAAATGTTATGGATGAATATTGATTTGTACATGAGTTAGGTCAGTGCTTCACAAATTTTTTTTTTTTCCAATCTATTTGGGAAAGTTTGCTTAGCATGATTGAAAATAAGATAACGTAGCTTCTTATAAAGAAATTCCAATTCATTAATACAAAATCAAAACAAAACAAATAGGTATATGATTTATTTATTTATTTTTTTTAAAATCTTTGAAAAGTTTTGACACCGACTCTTTCGACATTTATTCATGATCTATATTTAGGTTTTTTTTTAATGCTTTTATTAATAAGCAATCATTTTATTTACATAATACTAAATTCAAATCTTACGTACCAGCAGTCAATGTCAATTTATAAAACTACACCCTATATATAACAACATTAACTGTTATTTGATAAAGTAATAGAACTCCACTGAAATCTGCTACCAATCACTAAATTTGCTACGAAGGAAATTATTGTACTGTGCTTTGAAAATTGCGTCATGATGTACAGTTGGAGAAAGTTAAATAATCTCAGCAGGCAAATAATACTCTCCAAGTTTGATCCGCGGCTTATTATGTGATAAACATGTCATGTGTCCATTTCCTCATTTTGGGTATTAAAATTAGATTCGAAACCAATATGTCTACTTTGTTGCTCATATTGCTTGGAAGTATTAGGTGAGTGAGACCTTAGAAGCACAGCATTGTAAAATTATAAGCTTTTCTACTCAACTTTTATACTCAATTCACATTTCAGGATTTATAGCTCGACGTATAGAGAAGGAATACTCATTTATAGAAAGAGATGACAAACCTTCGAGATTTGAAGAAAATGTTTTCTTCGATTTGGAAGCTTGTGGTCTCGAACCTAATGATGATATAAGAAAGCATTTTAAAAATTTCGATAGGTAATCATGAATAGTCAATATTTCATCTAGACTTGAAACTGAGGCATCTGAAAACTGACTTATTCCTCTAGTATTGACAATAATTGTTTTTTTTATGGTAAATCAAATACATAGGTAAAATGTTATATAAGAGGCAGAGCGTTTTTTACCTAAGGATTTGAATTTATTCTCCTTCCATCCGTTGTAAAGATTACAGCCACCCGACGATGGTAATTATGCTTTTCCCTAGGTCAAATAAGATGTTCAGTTGTCATTGTTTCTCCTCTTATTTGGATAATTCATATTTACCTACATAATTGTGTCACGAATTACAGAAAGATCAACCAAAATTAGCAGTAGCGATTCAGATTGAAATACCTGTATTCTTTATCTTTTTTATTCAAATTAATTGTTTACAGGGTTAGTGCTTATGCAATGCCAGTTACTAATCCAAATATTAAGTCCAAATGGAGAGCTCTTGAGGTAGAAAAAATTGATGATGATGATGTAGAATATGAAGATAATTTAGCAGATGCTTCTGTGTAAGTATGATTTTTGATTTATTTCAGTATGGGGATGGGAAAACCCAGTAGTAATTTTTTTGAATGCATCTAATATAATCTAAATATTATCATCTTCTGTCTGTGTATCTTCAATGAGTTTGAATATGAAAATACAGAAAAGTGAAATGACATTTATTTTTTTTTTATTGTTGCTTGCTCCAAACGAGGCTCTTTACGAGCAGCCAATGATATGTAAGGAGGTATTGAAATCTTTACTTTTTGTCATTGCTCACCTAATTATTTACACCCTGGGTGAGGTGATGGGTATAGGTTTTTAAATCTACGATGCCAAGTCGAACACTTTTAATTACTGAGCGATCTCCATTGATTTTCTGGTACTCCTGAAGTTTGCGCACCAAAATGTCGCATAACCTGAACCTTAACCTGGTACACAACCTGAGTTCAGGTTGTACGTCATCTTGGTGCGCATACTTCAGGAGGTCTGATTTTCTTTTTCAAATCAACTGATGCCATTTTTAGTTAATCGCTAAAAATGATAATTTTCAAAATAAATTATTCCTAAAATCACGTAAGAATTTAAAATAGAATTAATTTCAGATTTATTTTACATCAGTTGTAAAACTTGTTAGGCATGTCAAAAAATAAGCAATCATAGTAAATAAATAAATAATATAATTTCCGACTTGAATAAACTTGAATCCTATTATTTGAAAACTCTTTTTTGACAGTGTGAAACAAATACCAGAAGAATCTTTTAATGAATTTCCATCATTGGCATCTAAATTTCCTGCTCAATCTTCAACATCTACTTTATCAGGGTAAATTGTTTTGTTCCAATAATCTGTAATAGATTAAGAACAAGACAGCAATGCTCAAATACGAGTATATGAAAACGGTCGTCATATGACTAATCGTACTACATTAGTGTGACCTATCCGACCTACACAGAAATCTGTTATCTGATCATTAAAATGCTTATGATTCAATTCTGGCTGTCACCACCGAAGCTATTCACAACAAGGTCGTCGAAACATGGCAGATAGAAAGCCATGCAGTGGTGTAATATGTTTAAACATTAGGATAAAATATCGAACCAGTGTTTCTTTTTATAAAAACAGAAGCATAAATAGCGTTCTGGCAACTACTGCCAACTTCAAGTACTGAAGGAAAAGAACTTTTCAGAACGACAACAAGAACAATAGCTACACCCAGTGTCCAATAATTTCAGACATCTGATTTTCAGAATTAGCTTTAGAATATGAATGAAATGCAGTATCCGTCAAATCTCATATCTTGTTTTTGGATGCGTTCTCTAAATTGAATAAATTAAAATAACAACTATAAAACTGAAGTTGTAAAATGTTTATGTTGGTAATTGCTATTATTATAAATCTCACCAATTTTATATAATTCTCTTATTTACCAAAACTTTTCTCCACTGTAATCCAATCAGAAAAATATTTTGTCTGAGTTGGAATGTCCTTAATTTTAAAACAATTTCAAAATTTTTTATATTAGTTTTTCTTCCTATGCCCACAATGTTATACAATTAGATCTAGAGCATTATCTTCATCAATCTAGCAAATATAGTTTATTGCACTCGTAACAAATCTTATTTTTGTTTCAGCTGGGCTAGTGTGACTCAAAGGAATCCTCCTATCAAACAACCAGCTAAGACTGTAACGAATGCGATGGTGTTTCCGAGTCCACCTCCATCACCTAAATCTAGTTATGGTATGTATTGGTATATGCAGGGTTGTCTAAAACAAATCAAATTGATTTGAACATCAATTTATAATTCAATAATTTCAATATTTTACATTTGCGCTATGAAGAAAAAATTGTTATATCGTAGTTCTTATTTGGAAAATTTTATTTTCGTCTTTATTTACGTTCTGATAATCTTTAAAATATTGACAAATGATTAAATAAGTATTTATCTTAACATTCCTGTATTTCCAAATTTTTCTTAGATTTATTTATTTTAAACTAAGTATGCAGTTCCATAGTCATAAATATACTATACTTCATTCTAAAATATTGTTAATCATTCATGCTCTAATAGTCATTGTTGATCAATTTCCTTTTCATTATGTAAATACATGATTCTCTGCTTTTGCGAGCTAACAATTTATTGCAATGACAATAAAATATGATTCAAATTTTTTGTTGTTATACTCGATATTGCTACCGTGTTTCCCTGAAAATAAGACTGGGTCTTATTTCAATATTCTTCCGAAAAATAACACTAGGGCTTATTTTCGGGGGATTTCTTATATTTTCATTCATCAAAAACAAAATTACGAAGAAGAGAATTACGAGATTTTCAAATATACAAAATATGAAAACCGATATCCATTTACACGTTTTTATTCAAAATTTATCAGTCAAGATTACCAATCCTTCAAAGCGTGTAGGAGAGATTTCTTGCTATCGACTAGGTCAAAAAAAAATTTCACGTTATTGACTAGGTCTTATTTTCAGGGAAACTCGGTATGTATGTTATTTACGGCTTTTGATAATATGAAAATGTTTTTTTTATTCAGGTTTAAAAATATTTCTTTCTTATTTTCCATAGATATTGGATACGTTCACAAAAATTTGAGACCCGATTTTGGATTTATTCAAAAAGATAGATACAATGATTTATTTACCGAAAATGTGTATTTCAATATTGAAGCATATCAGATTGGAATGAATGAACCACTTACTAATGACTTAACAAAAGTATTGAGCATAGGTGAAAAGGTATGCAGGAAAATTGTGATAAATGTTAGGAACACGTTTGCCATTGCACTTTTGTTTACCCTGCACAGGGGTAACATGTCCGAATCCTGTGGTCAGTGGCCTGCCTAGAGGGGAGCCAAAGGGTCAGCCGCCCAGGGCAGAACGTTATAGGTGTGAGTTTGTTGCTTAGTTCGATGGTTTGAATAATAATATTACAAACATTTCACCCCTTATTCGACCTTCAATTTATTTATTCTCACGTATAACAATTAACAACATCTATACCGTAATTTGTTTATTTCCCAAATAGCATTATCAGAAACTCGCCCCGGGCATCAGATTCTCGCCCCGGGCAGCAAAAAAGTTTGGCACACCACTGCCTGTGGTGGATAATGGTGTGCGATTGCTGGACTCCACCACAGTGTGTTTCTTCATGTAACTGCTAGTCGGTTGCAGCTTCCTCAACCATTAAGTCCATGTAACTGAAACAAACAATTGTAAAACTATTGTAAATCTTCATTGACTCATAACCGGACGAGAGGTCGTAGTTCGTCATATTATTAGGTTGTGTTATCACTTCTTCTCTTCTAATACTGAACATGAAAATCCTAATCCTAAGTATTCAGATATGTTTCATATGCTTTTTTTGATTATCAAATGATCTATGAAGTCAGAAAGTCCAGCATTTTTCAAATGGTTTCATGTTTCTCTCACATTCTTATCAAGAATAATTTCTTAAAACTATTTTTCATAATATATTTGTTGTGTTATATGGGCTCAAGTTCAACATTGTTTTTATCCAAATTTTTTTAATTCTTTTTTTAGGTTTGTTATACGCTTAAAAGTGGACCCAGTTTTGCTGGTGTAAAAGCTAAATACAGAGCACTCCATGTTTGGAAGTGAGTATAACTAGTACTAGTTTATCGCATCTCCCTCCACTTTAAAATGTATATTTTCAGTAGGCCTATGCGAAAAAATGAACTGATTACTGATTGTGATAAATTTTATGGTTTCAAAGGGTTCACCTAGACACTTGGTATATCGGGTGATGATACTTTGTGCAATATTATATGTCGTAAAGGTATTTTCTCAGCATTAATGGCTTGCTCATAAGAATAGGTAATTTTTTCATTCTAGGTTTTCAGTTAACAATATTGGAGGAGCAATGAGTCCCGTGTCCTCTGACCAATTCAAAGTAATTCCAAATAAAAATGTACTAAATCGAAAGCAAAAAGTGAAAAATATCGAAGGTGAGGATAGGATTTACATATTTATCCCGGGGAGGAAAATGAAAGTCTATACGACGGCTTTATCATATGGCGAACTACGGCCCTCATCAGATTACCAGTCCATGTCTGGTATGGGATTATTTGTTTTCGGAAGCATGGACCCAATTAATATTAAACTATGTGTGAGGTTGAGTGACTCTCACATGAACTATCATCTTAACTTTTCAATTATTGATTGGTACTATTCGCTGTTTGTGTTGTATTTTTATTTTGGTATGGCTCAAATTTGTTTATATCTTTTTATGAGGTGTTTTCTCTATGAAAAAGGCTTGGCACAATCAGTCACTGACTTTGTTAGAAGCTATTATGTTGGAAATGACCGTAATCTTTTCGGTCTGGTATTGCATATCCCCATCCTTCGAGTGAGATGATGAATATTGGATTATCTGCAACACCAACATATTGAGATTCTATAGGAAATATATTATAACATGGAAAATATCTGAGTGGATAAATCAGATGGAACAATAATATTATTTTCATTGAAGAATTACTGACAGAGACCTTGAGTAAATGGTTGTTATTATAAAGCTAAGGGTTGTCTTGTAAAAGTGTACATGTGTGTGAGTAGGATTTGATGTTTTCTCAAATTTTTATATAATGTTTTGTCAGAACCAATGTATCAAGGAATAACATCTGGACAATTTGGAGCTTTGGCAGAAATTAGCAAAAATTCTGATGAATCACTAAATTCAAGAGGTGATTTAATCATAATAATGTTTGAATTAAAACTAGCCCATCAAGGCTTGTAATTCGTGAAAAATAATGATGGACATTATTCTGTTGCATTTTCGTTATATCATGGAATATTTGAAGCCTTCACCCCATTTGTAAAATTCTTGTTCATGCGCATCAGCAATTCATGATTTTTCCAAGCTTAGATAGCCAAATTCTATTTTAATTTCTTTGATTTTCCAAGCTTAGATTTCTTTGCCAGCACAAACTTTTTCAACAGACAATCCAAACCAAACATGTTGAAAATCATATTATGATATAGTCAGAGAAAACCTGACAAGACTTGAAATTAGATTTATCACCCTCACAAGAAATTTATTTTCATTTTAAAAATTTATTAAATTACTGATTTTCGGAAGAATTTATAATATTGCATATAATTTATGTGATTCAATTCAAACTGATGTCATATGTTTAAACCAAGCTTAGACTTGTATAACTTTGGCAACCATAACTAACAAAGAATAATGTCTGTCTTAACTTTTCTGTACTACAGCCATATCTCCATGAATGTATCATAATATGATACAAAATAAATTTTCTTATTGAATAGGATCCATTTTGGAACATATTTTATATCAAAAAGTAGTATTTCAGAATGTGATCTTCTTGTTTTTTACAGAAATGAGCCTTTCTCAAGATTCTACCACATCAAAAGAAAATCTAAAAGTTCACAAGCTAACTGACATCATCAGTAACATCAAAACAATACAACCTATTACAAAAGAACAATTGCGAGTTCCAGTGCCATCTGCAAGAAAACAATTCGATTCAAGTTCAGTTGATGTCAACCATAATAAAAGAATCAATGGTATGATTGAGTATACGGTAATAGATTCAATAAAAATCATTGCGAAATCAGCACGATTGAAGAATCTATAGTGTATTTATTGGTCATGCTACCTTTTGCAAACTTAATAAGTTGGTACTGGAGCTATAGATTCGGGAGTCTAACAGGAGTGTAGCATGTTTTCACCGGAGTCAGAGCCGGGTTCGAATTTGCAAACTTTCAAACCCAAAGTCAGAATCGAAATTCTGAATTTCTCAGAATTGCAGACTTTCAATGGTGGTAAGATAAGGTAAAACTTGAAAGGAAATAATTTACCGGTCTATGAAGAAGGCTTGCATAATCCGAAGCTTTCATTATCAACATTTTTTCTTTCGGGTTGGAAATGGAGTCGGAGTATTTTACAACCCAGCCTTGGTTGTATAATATGGGGGAAACAAAAGATTTCAGTCAATTTTTATGCTGTAAATGTTTCTCAATTCGAGTATCGTAATCATTATGCTCAATAAATATTGTCACAGTTTGGTAGTTCACAAATAGGTATTCACATTAATCTCTAAGAGAAGTAAAGTGATAATATCATTTTTAAGTTTAATACAAATCCATTTATTTCCGGCAAATAAAAAACGGTATTTTATTACCTAACATTGCAATGAAATGTTTTATTAAAGAACACTGTTTTAGAGTTTTATGATTTTATATAGGTGCAACAGTTCCAAGTGATGGTGATCATTCCACACCATTGAAACCTGGAGTGAACATAAAAGATCATGTATTTAAACATTTTCCAAATATTAATCACAGTAGTCCTGTTACCATCAATCAGTTGCATCAAAGTAGACTCGGACAAGGTTTGTTTAGAATTTTTAAATATCTTTTATGGATTTTATAGCATTTACTTTTGTAAAAAATTTACTTCCATGTCAAAAACTAGCTGCTAACACATTTAGTGCATATTTTAGCATTGACTCCAGTATCTAATGGAACATCGGATGATGAGATGATTCTGCAGAAATCTGTAAGTTTGGTTTTCATAAACATTATTACAGTGAAGAATTATTATTACATTATTACAGTTACCTGGAACAATGTTTCGCAACCTATAGGTCACGACCCGAAACTGTGTCACCTGATAAATATCTTGGGTCGCTTGTTTTTTCAACAAGGTTGGGAAACACTGACCATTTGAAAAATGACTCTAGAGTCTTAGTTAACCTAATGCTTTTTCTAATTTCTGACGGAAATTTTGACTCACCACAATCATAAAACCAAAATTCAGCCCAGACCTCGACATTACACCAAAGTTTAATCATTCTGGGGAAGATTTGCTGGACCCTTGCTACAGGGCGGGATGGTTCGTGGAATTTCTGATTGCCTGTGAATACCCCATTCGAGTTCGTGCATCCAAATTATTTATTTATTTAGCTTTTCCCATGTTTTATGTGGTATTGTGACCGAACAATAAACCAAATGTAACCTTTGAGGAGGGGGTTGACATGGGTGTGACTCATGCTGATAATTAATCTTTTTATAAATGATTGAATAGCGTACAACAAGTGAGGTGTACAGTAGTGCAGATGATGACGACTCTGAAGATGAGTTAAATGATGACGACAGCACTGATGAATCTGATGATGACATTGATGAACTTCATCCATATCATAATATATTCATGCAAACATTAGGTTCGTATAAGTTTCGAGATTTTAAAAGTTTATCTTATACATATATTAGCAAAAAAATTAATTTTCACAGTCTACATAAAGGATAATACCTTTTGATGGGATTAGGTTAGTAGGAACCGTAAGTAGTGTTGAGCACAAGTCTCTGAAATCTTCAAAACACTGATTATTAGTATTATTTTTCATGGTGTTTTTGAGGTGGGGTTGATAACTGGATTTAGTCAATCATACATGTCATAGTTTGCATGCCAATATTGTTATGTTTATACACACCTAATATTTTCCTTCATACTAAGTATGTTGGAAATATACTCATATAGGACTCTGCTAATTGAAAGTCTTTCTCCTATGGAGATATAATATATTTATTATAAATAATTTAGTCGACCAGTGACAAATATTCATATATTGGTGTATTTTCAATCTGATTTTATGTTGTTTCCAGCTGTCTGTCTTAAAAACAAAGGAATATACAAGATTCTAAAACAGCAGATGTTAATGGAAATGTTAAAGAAAGGACAATATATCACTCCCCTTGATTTGCAGTTTCTTGAATTTAGAAAAGAAGATAATACTGTTTATATATTGTAAGTATGTGCAGTTTCAAATAGATATAGCTTTACCACTTTATCAAATCATGCTTAATGTATGGCGTCTCAACAATGCTGTCTTCCACACTTGTCCCACTGTTCTGAGTTAGGGTTGATATATATTGGGGAACAAATGATCAAAAGTAAGCTAATGAAGTGGGATTTATGCCATGTTCTGGGTTTGCATAGATTATAATACTCTGAATAGAACGATAAAGTAAGCGTATCAAGTGAGATTCATACAAGTGCAACATAACATTTTTAAGACACCCTTTTAATAAACACTTGAAATTTTAAGCAAGGTTTCTATATTGTGTTGTTTCAGATTCATTGTAGTTAATATCGGTTTACTTGTGTAAAATTTTGGTGCTTGTAATAAAAACGGTTGCCAGTATATAGGAGGGAATTTTACATGGGACTACTAAATAAGAAAAAAAAGGATTAGTGTACCTATTTCATTTTGTGTTTGTACACTGGTTTCTTAATTCTAGGAAAACTTTTATAGGTAAGTTTATAAGAAAAGTGTCCCCAAGAGAAACTTCTATTTTTCCATACAGTTTGAAAGATCTTCTCTTGGGCCATATTTTACAAGGTTCATTTTAAGTGAATCATAACTCTTATTTGTTGTCATGTTTAGGTTCTGTAACCCTGGTGGAGAAAGCAAAGCTGAATACATTAAATTGAATGGATTTTATCCATTGGAGAGTTCGTGGGCCAGTGAACTGAAGGCATTTGGATTGGTAAGCAAAGTATCGAAGGATTTATATCACATCAAGAATTCAAGCCATTACATCACGTAAGTTAAATTTAAACATTTATATCCAATATTCTCTACTCTGAAACGACGATTCAGCAATTGGCTTACTTACCATGCTAAGCATGTGACTACCAGTTGGCCATGGTTTTCTTCATCATCGAGTCTGTGCATCTCAAATCAATAACTGGGGACTATTCTTATACCCTACATGGACTGGTAACCAGTCGCGAGTTTGGATTTTTACCAAAGGAACATTCCCTGCTTCAATATGAATATTAAGTATTTGAAAGGAAATTTTTTGTCAATATTATAAAAATATATTTTCAAAACCTTGAAATTTGTAGAAAAAAATCCCTGTGGTTAGTTTTATCCCTTGTTTCTTCTTTACAGGGTATCAAGAAATAAGCATGAGAAAACGTCAAAAGTTACTATGCACTACAGATCCTCTCAACCAAATAACAAGGCAATGTGAAATGACTGTAGCGTTCTTATCATATGAAACATGAATCAATCCCATATTTTCTGACATGAAGCATTGTCTATCTGCATCCCCCAATGGAGTATGCTTGTCACTATTAGCAAGCGTGAATCTAGTTACCACTGAACATTTTATTTATTACCTTGCTGATCTTTTTAATTTTTTGCGCATAATAAAAAACTTTTTCCGTCTTTCAAATTTCTCAGTATAGAAATCACCTAGGCCACTCAATGAATACACTTGGTTTACAGACTTATCCGACTACAAGCCAGTTTGAGGTATAAATTTTCAGTTGCCTTGGGAGTTGTGTAGAAATAATGATATATAAATACACAAAGATTTATTTACAACGGTAGCGACATATACAGCTAACTTGCAACACCATAACTATGCCCAAATAAGCCTGAATAAATCCACATGTATTCATATATTGATATTTTCAAACAACTTCCAAGGCGAATTGTAATGCATAGTCGTAACTCGAACCAACTTGTGGTCCGAAAGTCTGCAAAATTTATGTAAGAGTCTTTTCTGTATGACCTTTATGTACAAACTCTTGAGTCATTCATTTTACTACCACTCATTGACTTTAATTAATATTTCAGCATGACTAGTTACATTGCCATGTGGATATAAAACCGTTATGGGCATTCTTTCGCCAAAAGCAATCGTAGTATGGCTTAAATACAAGCAATTGGTGTGCACGTGTCACTTGTTGTTGCAAAATGTTGCACCGCTGACCAATTTACCTTTTTCAAATCTGCTTCTAAAAAGTTTCGTTGTAAATCACTTCAACCACTCTGTATTTTCCAATTCAATTTCTTTCTAGTTTCATTTGCAACTATGAATACAATAAATCATGCACAAAAAGTCATTCATTTGAGTTGCAGGTAAAACCTTGACCAGAGTTTAGAACCATTTCCTATGCCAGAGACCTTGAACCACTGACCCTTTGTCACCCACGTTTTTTTGATAACCCTCGAAGTCACGATCTGCAAAAATCGTACTGACATTTTGGTGCCTTAACCAAAGAATAAATTGAATGCTACAATGGAGTCGGATGTTAGTGACGGTAATGCGTTTGAAAAATGTGCAGATAAAAAAATATAAGATTCTCAGACTGGAATTTCATTCTAAACTCTATCGAATCTGTGAATAGTTTTGCCATAGCATGATTTTGGTAATTTAGGAGCATATGCTAATCAGCATCAGAAATTGCCCCATCTTGATGATATAAGCGCTGTGTGCGTCAACAGAGGATTCTAAAACTCCCAGAGAATATGCAGCAACAAGTTTCTCATTGATGCGGACATTCATTAAACATCTAGGACAGTGGTTCCCAAACTTTTTAGAGTTGCGACCCACTATTCATTACCACAGCTTATGGCGACCCATTTAACTTTAATAAAACATTGATGGAGGAAACAAATTAGCAATGGCTAATCATCGCAAAACTACATTGTTTCCTCGAAAATGGGACCTGGCTTGAAAAAAAGACCTAATTCGAATTTTTAAAATGATGTTAATTAAACCCTACCAATAAAATAAATTTAAAATGTGTGGGAGAGGAAAGGTTCAATTACCTGAGGTAATGTGAAGATCACACCACTATTCAAGATTGTGTGATATCACAATTATGATATTTGTCACTTGATTTTTGTATGGGAATAAAACAATGGATCTCGGTTTTCATATAATGTTCATCAAAAAATCTCGTGATTTTCTACAATGTAATTTTATTTTTGATAAAAATAATTCTTTTGATAAAAAAAATTCACATGGTCATTCTTTGTGTATTGTTCTTCTGAGAAGATCGTGAAAAGGAAACTTTCAGAGATTAGAATTTAATTTTTTTTTTTGAAGATTTACGTATTCGAGTCGGCACCGATCCTAATACCCAGTACAATTAATCAAAGCTTTTCACGACCCACTAAGATTCCTTTTGCAACCCACCAGTGGGTCCCGACCCATAGTTTGGGAACCGCTGATCTAGGAGCCAGTCTTCTTTTTCAAAACAAAATTGTTCAAAAAAGATTAGCCATCCCTGTTCCATGCACATGTAGCCTCAAGTGTTGGTAGATACAAAGCTGGGGATTGACAAAGCCTTTGTTATATTGCTAGTGGGGGATTATTTAGTACTATAGGACAGTCCATACCAAAAGATGATGATAAACGGCAAATAACCTCTGTGGTCTGTAAATGGCATCACCATGGCGAAATAATTTCAATATGTCTTCTGTATACTATTACAGAGAAAGACTACCCAACGCAATAGCAAACTTCAGTCAAGTTGCAAGAAATAGGATTTACATATTTATCACGGGAGAGAGGAAACTAATAAGAAAGCTTAATCATTATGACAAACTATAGCCTCTTGTCATAACGATTAGCATGTTGCGCCACACAGCAGAGTCTAGTAGAATTGCAGTGGTTAAAGTGCGGTACTCTTCCCTGGTTCCATTAACAGGGCTCTCAAGACGACAGTTTTCACATATTTCTGTATCTCGACTCAAACAAGGCCCAACAAATCATAATTAAAGACGCATAGGCATAAACCTCTAATCATGCTCACAACAAAATTTGACTGACATTTATTCAAGAAAATTTATTTCCGCTTTTCCCTATATCAAAATAGCACACCATATTCCGCAAGCGTACAATAGGATCTATAATAATAAGGACAGGCATGTTGCAATTAACAATGAATCTCATAACGAAACCATGAGTAACCACAAGTTGTTAATTAAATGTGTCACCTAACTTCTTTTAGAAACAACATTATGGTTATGGCCTGAGATAAGAGAGACTGCATTTACATCAAGGTGGACGTGACTACACAATTAATTATTTATTTAAAATTAATATCTTGGTCATATCAATGGCGAAAAATACAATATTTTATGGACCATGCGGCGCATTGTCAAGAAATCGCTTAGACTGGAATTTTATTCATACATGACACAATTATTTATTTAAAGTTAATATCAATGACAAAAAATACAGCATTTGATGGACCAGGAGGCAGATTGTCAATCACTCACGATTGGGTTTTCTACCCATATGAGGCGCATCGGTCTATAAGACGCAACAGCTTTTGATGAATGATCCTATGAATCCTATTTACCTATGGATTTGAAGAAATTTCACAATCTAATTAGATATAGGTTACTATTGTCACTAAATTTTAGGCTCATTTTGAAAGAATACTTACCAGGAGACCACAGTGATTTTTGTTGAACAAACTGAGTAAATGCCAAATTGTTCAGTATTTTGAACAGATAAGATAATTTAAATTGAATGATTGGTTTTGAACTATCATGTTGGAAAATCAAAAGTATCTGTAATAATTCTGTGTTTGAATGGGATAAGATTAAAAAAAATATGAAGGACAATAATTACTATACGAGCGACTACAACATACTTAAGCAGCGTTCAAAAACGTTTCAAAATATTTTATCTGTCTTTGAAACTATTTGTTTTGTATTTCTTAGAAACCTAGCTGTTTTATTCTTATAACATTAAAACTTCTACTAGAAATGGGTAATAAAATGCCCGGTTATATTGCAAAGATATATATTGAATCATCAATGTTATCGTGGTTAGGGCTGGTCATTTTAAGCGAATCTGTTCAGACACAAACTTCAAATCGTCGCCATTTTGTTTCTTTTTTGGGTGAATGCCTCAATTTTTTTTTTATGTCATTTTTTTCAAATTCTGACATGACTCTTTTCCTCCAAGTGAGTTATTAATGAAATACGAGTGTGGTGTGGAGTGAATTGTGCGTAGCAATACCTAAGGATCTATTAAAGATTGAACAAATAACGGATCCGGAGTTTATACGTGGGAGGAATGAAAAGATCCAAAATAAGCAAAGAGAGATTTATTAAAAATGAGTTGGGAACCAGTACTTTTCATTTCAAGTCTTTGAAGCCTATACTATTTTAGTAAAGTAAAATATTTTCAAATATGAGGAGAAATCTACAAACCCATTCGAAGATAAAAAAAAACTTGGTTTGACAGAATTCCAGATCCGAAAAGTGTTTTCAACTAACTACATTTCTTACATACAGCACCGTTTAAACTTAAAACAATCCTGAACATCTACAATATTTTTACCCCAAATATAATAAAAAAATCACATGACAAATTTACTAAAATTTTGATATAAATCCCTTTGGAGTAAATTGTCAGAAATTGCCTACTCCAAAGTTGTGTCTAAATACGATTGATTGCACATGTCAGTGAAATCTTTCTTTATCAGCATCGAATATGATTAGCAGCTTTATTTTGAAAGGAATATCATCTAAGATGCTGCTTTATTTTTCTTCGTAGACTTCTTGACTGATTTTGCACGATTCCTCTTTCCTTTGACGATTTTTTTGTTATCCCTAGACTTCATGTAGCCACGTTTCTTAGATTTCGTCTGAAAACAAAAGATCCCTTCTAAATTTTTCATCCAATAATATTAAGCAAGGAAGACAGTGGATGGTTCAAAAGTACAGTCTGCCCAAAAAGCATAAGTATTTTAAAGTAAACTGTTCGTAGACTAGAAGTATTGCTGTTTGAGTCAAATTGTATTCGAAATGAATAAATATTAAAATACCTTCTTTGAAATGTACTTGGCTTTATAATGTTTATGAGTCAGTGGACGAGACATCTTTTCACGATTTGCTGGTTTCTTAACCCTTCAAAAACAGACAATGATGTTAATACATTTTTCAACAATCTACCCTTTAAAAAGTGCATAAACTGACAGTGTCAGCAGGCAATACCACAGAGGCACAAGAGAGCAATTGCTCACATATATGCGGGCCCAAATTACTAACTGCAGTATCAGTAGCCTATGCAAATCAAGTCTCACTGCAATAGTAACTGACATAGATACTGGTTAAGACTGCAACTGAGCAGTAAGCACTGCCTTTGTCAGAAAGATGTTCTAATTGGTATGACATATTGCCGCATGGTGGAAAAATGTAAAAAGCCACACGACTCAGAAAAAAAATTGAAACAAAATGAAAGTAAAATCTTTTTATCAGCTTCAAATTTAAAAATCTTGGCCCATAGCATCAAGAAAAGCAATTTTCTTCCGACAAAACAAACTGGCAAAATGATACATATTTCCACTTCATGTCAAATAGGAAAATGATAATGAATCAGTTATATCCAACACTCCTCTGGCAATTCTATTACTCCATTTCATTGTCACAAATTCAAAAATATCAACAGAAAAAAATTCTTATTTTAGGTTTCATCTTTATGACACACTTTATGTCTTCACTCTGAATAAGGCTCTATCTAAGCAACCACAGATATGATATTCCGTTTCCCCAATATAACTCGAATATTAATTATAAAACAAACATTCAAATTTAGTTCATGAAGTCTATACTCAAAAACCCAAATATCAAAAAATGGTAAAAATCTTGCAGTCTTTTCTTGTTTGTACATATTCGTTAATCATAAGTAATAAAGATGTTTCATGGAGATTGAGAATACACAAGAACATTTATTTGGAAAAATTACCTATAAATTCTAACAAGCCAATGTTCTGATGTATATGCTTCTTCCAAGTGTTTAAGTTTGATATTCTTGTTTCCAATTTCAACATTCCTTGTTCTATCATATCCTGCGGGATTGCGAAAATCCAGCTGAACATCACCAAACCTAGAAAACGAGAAGATAATTGCTTCATTTATTAATCAAGAAAAACAAAATGTATTTTTGCAATAAGTAAAAATAGGTGTAAAAAATAGCATTTATATTTTGACTCCAAAATACATTTTTTAAACAAACGGATTGATTAAGTGATTTGACTCGATTCAACTAAGGTGATCCGGCAAAAATCATGTTACAGTCGGTTCATTTCAACTAAGGAAGAAAATATTAACTTGTATTTAGTGTAGTTCAACTAATATTGTTTATTTATTTAGTACTATTTTATTACACATTTATGAACAGATTATAGTCTATTCAAACTTTGCAAACAGGCCCCAGGGTGCGAGTTGCTTACAGGTTACCATTAGCTAAAGATTCATTAAGGATTGAACAAATATCGAAATGAAAACAAAGTTCATATACACAGAGAAAGAGAAATAACGAGTTACAAATAAAGCAAATCGAGAAATGCATCAAAAAAGGTCGCATAATTACTAATAATAGGACTCAATATGGGTCTGTACTTTTAGTGGCTACAAGTCACAAAGAGCAGAAGACTTCACTCTACTTGGATTGACATTCCAAATTGTTGGGATCGATTTAAAACCAATCGAAATAATCAAATTGATATCTTGGTTCCAACATGGTAAAACTTTCTAATGCAAAAAAAATTCCACAGTACCTGTAATAACTCATTTTATACATCAGACAATTAAGAAGGGTCTTCGAACCACCTTTATCAACTCGGAATTCACCCTGAGGGGTGAAATAGTTCGACTCTTTGATATCTTTTGGATGTTCACCTTCAGCAATACGAACCTTCAAGGTAAAATTACAATTTATGTAAACATGTTTCTCAACTACAGGTAATGCAATTTAAAACCAACTCATAAAATCCTGAAATATTTGTTTGTAAATTTTGGAGCATGGTCTAGCGGTTATTAAAGCATTATATGAACAATAATGGCATCGCAGATTGAATTTTAGTGTTCAAATCCCATGCCCACCACCTCACTCAGGGTGTAATAAATATGGTGGGCAATAACGTATAATGTCGTGTAAAAAATGAATAAACTTCATTTCAGAAATATCTTCCTATGTTGTTAAAACGAATTTTGGTGCTCCAGAAGTGTGTGTACCAATATGGAGGTAACTAATTTTGTTCGCCTACTTCACATCAAGTTGTGTAAAGGGACTGAAACCTATAGACAGGGGGTATATTCACCTTAACACAGACAGTCCCGAACTCGTAATAGAACTAAAATAAGGAAAATCGGAATAAAATTATGACCTAACCCTGGTACACACTACGAGAGTACAAAAATTTTTATTCAAAAATTTGGTTTGCAGATAGAACTCACCATCCATAAGAACTTATTGATATCATCGCCAGAATATCCAATAACTCCACCAAAAATAACAAGAACATAATCGACATCCAACGCTCTCATAATTTCTATAGCTTTATCTTCTGTTGACGACATAGCCTTGCCAACCTGAAAATTTTGACAACACAATTGAAATATGTACAAATTTCAGCATATTGTGCTACCATTTGATAGCATGTTTGATTTTAAGGATAGCTACACAAAAAGTTTATTGCCATTCAATTGCAATGTTCACATAAAGACTTTTACACTAATCCATACCAATGCTATGTGACTGTTGTTCCAAGTATTGTTATCTACAAGAGTTGTTCTATTCGCCATTCCTGCAATCTGATATCCATAATCCCACCATGACATAACTCTAGCCTTTTCGTGTGTATTTTGACGCAGCCAATAATAAGCTTCACGAAAATCATCCAAAATGTTTCTCGACCTATGAAAAAAGTTCATAAATAAGTTTTATCCCGAATTTTACTATAATCCAGACCGGAACAGGCAACTACAAGAAAAGGAACTCGAATTGTAAAAACAACAATTTTTAGAATGGTTGTACTTCTTTTCACAATTCTAGACTTTATTACATAATATAGTCATAAAGTCCTAAAAAATAAAAATAAATTCATAATCAGTGTCAAATCAGATTATATATATTTGAAAACAATGAAATAAAAAAGCTTAGGAAGCATACTTTAATGCCAAATAAACTCACCCATCATTATTATAGGAAGCCAACACAACACTGGGTGATGAATAAGCATTTCCCGTAACCCATGTACAATGAACAACAAACATCATGAGCATCATTAACATCAGCATGATCACAAACATCTAAATGGAAAGCATGAAAAAATGTCAATTCTCTTTTCTGCATTTCTTTTCTTATTGATATGGAATAGAATAGGATTTTTATATTTCTCCTGGGGAAAAACAAAGGCCATAAGATGGCTTTATCCTATGGCAAACCAAGTCCTCTTGTCTGGTTACCAGTACATGTTGCGTATAGGAATATTTACCAGTCATTTTTCTCATATGTGAGGAACTTTATTGTGGAGGAAGACGTAACCCCACTTATTCAAACCTGCAAACTGACGAAGGATGATCAATATTCCAATTTCACAAAAGCAATACACATCTTACAACACTTGTACTTGTTCAATAATGAAATTAACTCCTAATTGATAAATACAACTTGAGTAACCACATTCGAATTTAAATGAGGATAAAAAGATTTTATGAAGGGATAAGTAGTTTGGCTCCCAATTGAGAATATCTAAACAATCTAACTAGACTGAAAAGTCAACAAGAGTATTACAGACAGCTCATGGGGAAATCTTTACACTAACTAGAATTAAATGAGGGCAAGAGAATTACAACATGAAATCTGATACCAACCATAGACAACAGACTTAAGTGAAGCTACTTATGATAGTAAAATCCAATATACTTAAAAACTCCTGAGGCGATAGACTATTAGGTAATTTCTTAAACTTCAGTATCACAGTCGCTTCAATATTTAAGCAAAGTACAGTAACTAGAGCCATATTTTTTTCTCAATTTCATATTATGTTATACAGATACCTAACAGTTTAAATAGAACATTTATTTCTCTGATATCATATTTATGAGGTATAAGTTAGTACTAAAAACTGTATATAATATTTACACCAAGAACATCCTGAAAAGAATGAAGATTAAATGTAAATCGACATTTGAGATATGAATTTTCCTAGTTGGCAGCTTATTAAGACTGATGTTAACAAGACCCTTGACCCTAGAAAAAATTTTGCAAAGTTTTTGACCCTCATTTTGAGAGAGTTTGAGGGTTGGCACTTACAAACTGGTAGACCTGTTCAAAACCATCAATTTTATAAAAATATTCAACCACATGACGCTTACTGGTACTGATAGCTACTTTCATCATAGCCTAAAGCAGTCCCAGGGGTATTTTTTGAACATTGCGAGTTGCGACAAAACTAAAGATTCTCGGAAGGCGTAAGAACAATTACGGTAGGTTATTTGGTTTACAACTAATTTTGGAAACACAACTGAAAACTGACAAATAACAAAAGTATGAAAACGACGCATTGTTTGATATATGTCTGAGCGAAAAAATGGTCTGGGCGGCTGAACAAATTGCAATTAATATGTCAATGTAACCTTATGGCTGATTAGTAATTGCTATGGAAATAACAAAGAAATCCATCTTTGAGGGAAACCTACTTTACTGTTTGTTACCAAACTCGCCAGTCAATCATAGTAAAATGCATGTTACTTGTGTATGTTTTTCCTTTCACATCTTATTACTAACCTTCAAATTTGAGCCCAATGTATTGTCTTCATCTTTTTTTGACTTGGATGAAGAAGTTCCAGTAGTTCCTGCAGAAGTTGAAGATTTTTTCTTAGGTTTTCCTGCTTTATCATACAATTTCCCTTCCTGAGTTTCCTCATCAATTTCACCATCACCCGCTTCTTTACCATTCGAAATCTTGTAAAAAAAAATAAGTCAACTGAAAAATTTTTAATAAATAATAGACCTATTTGATCTTCAAATTTCTCGTCTGAAATTATTGAATTAATACATCAATCTCAAAACATGTAACATATTTGATATTTTAAATCCAAGTTTAAAATTGGAAATGAATTGAAGATAACAAAATAATGTTACATCTACTTTACAATATTGGTCATGTGTACATATGAATTGTATTGCTACATTCTTTTTGGGAAAAATAGCTCATTTGTGCAACTAATGAAACAATCAATTTCAAATTTTCAGTACTTGAAAAAAAGAAATTGCAAGAGTGATATTACTATTATTTTTCCGTTCAATCCCAATTCGTATTCATATATATAGGGGCATTGCTCACTTGTTTCCATAAATGATTGTCATACCACAATCAATAAAATATAAGATTATTTTATAGTGAGATTCAAATTAAAAATGAACTTACAGATCTCCTTTTCTCTGATTTTTCATTAGTCTCGACGTCATCCTAAATTTGAAACAATAAATTTGTACAAATACTTATTATCATAATGCATGCAATCAAAAAAAAAATGAAAAATTATTAAAATGCAAATTTTGTGTTTTGTTGAAAACAATTATGAATATTACAATATTTATATATTGTATTTTTAAAGGTATTTTTAAATTGACCTAAAATTACACTAACAATGGTGCATGATACAGCGTATGCATGTCAAATTTGGCACATCATAAGTTCGAACGCACATCACTTCACCTCCTTTGAAGCCTAATATTTCCATTACGTTCATCAAAAGCGTCCACAAAGCAGTAGTTTTACAGGACATTTTATTGTTTTAGTCAATAGTTATTTGTTGAAAAAGGTGTGTTTATTGAAGTCTGTTGTAATGTATCTTACCGAAGTTTGTTTACAATCCCAATTCCCAACAAATTATTCAACTGTGTTGCAGCACGCGACAAGAATATTTTAAAAACTTTGTCATGTACCAGCATTTGAGTTGTGCACCCCGGATCTAATACACTATTAATTCGAATCATTACTCCATATCCTGATTTTCAAAGTGTTTAAAATAACCTTGAAAGTGTACCTAAGATCTACTAAAAATAAATACCTACTTTCAAAAATATTGAGAATGTATTGGAAAATGCAACACCCGCCAACATACAAACACATGGAGTTAACGTCAGCATAAGTCGAACCATCACACCAGCAAAATAGGCCGCAAAAATGGCGTAGAGTATAACTGCGAAAAGGAAAAAAATATTATCTTATTATTCTGAATCAGACCTGACAGGTGCTGCTGAGCTGAGTTAAATATTTGGTTGTAGACCGTGCATGCAATAAAAAGCACAGACAGCTAAGTTGGATATTTATAAAAATAGTTCAAACACTGGTGTATAATAATGAATATTGTAATAATGTAAATAAATTCAAAACAAATAATCATAAAGTAAAGAGGTGGATGGAAATTGATGACTGTGAAGTGTAATAATGGATCATGTCAAAACATGCCTCCATTTGGCTGAAGATTGATTCAATTCATGATGGGTAAAAATGTCTGCTCCTCAGAAGTATTAATATTTTGATTTAATTGAATTTTTGAAAATAAAAATTATTTGAAATAAAAAAAAAATTCCAGGCAGCCAATTTCTATAGCAAAGCTTCTGATTTGAAATTACTTGAATACCTGAACCAATAGATTGATTGAACCAATATGATAATATCTAAGCACAAAGGCTACATCATATGAATAGATGGGAATGTCTTATCTGCTTGAGCATCTACTTCATTGTGTATTTCTCAAACGATTTGCCAATAAACCACAGTTTATTATATTACTAATGTGCGTTGATATACCATATTTAACAAATAAAAAAAAAATTACCCTAAATAAGCTACATGAACTAACTTTAAAGACAGATAGTTTGGAACTGAACGTTTATTTTTAGTTTTTTAAAAATGCATTAGTTAAGCTAAAAATAGCAAAATAACTGTTTTTTTTGTAATTACACTAGTTTAAAACTTTATAGAGAAGTAGCAGTAAAATGGTTTTCTACTCAAATATCAGAAACGAAGATAAATTGCATGACCAATCGGGTTGATAAAAAAAAATGTAAAAAGAAAAGTGCACTCACTGAAAACCCGTTCATCATTGATTTTCTTGATGCAAAACCACAATCCAGCAGGGAAAGCACAGACGAGAATGTGTAAATCAAAGAAAAACGACGACCAAGTTGTAGGTTGATGTTCAGACACTGATGCGATAATTGGAATGTGTATTTTAGCATAACCTGTGTCCCATAATGAATAGAATCTACCGCTCCACGGTGCAATGATACCTGTAATATGGGCAAGAGAACAATGCTCAAATATATAGACATGAAGGCCAAAACAAAGTAGCATCAAATCTTAGTATCGATGGTATGATGGATCATGAGATCGTTGAAATTCAGTCCTGAAACTATGGCATTTTTTAATTTTTGATGATGTCATCAGTCATCACACACAAAAACGAATTCCATGGAGACAACAGAAATTTTTGAAATAAATAAAAGCAAAAGGCCTTCTGGCGAAAAATACAATCTTTTTATCACAGGAAATTTTAAAGCAATTGGTTCAGTAGTTGATGAGAAAAGTGATTTTTTATAACGATAAGAAGAAAATTACTAACAACAACAACTTAATAACAAAACGATACACATGTTCCCTTGGTGTCCAATAATATAATGCAAGATATTTAATATTCGCTGGTTTATCATGTTTCCCTTCTTTCTCAAGTAAACTATAAAACAGACTGACTGAATGGAAAACGCTGAAATGAATATTATTTTTTTCAATATATTGAACAAAAGCAAGTCATGATTGTTTAATGCCAACGATGAAACAACCGTTTACTCCATTCAATTCTATCAGCTAGTGATAGAAATGCACAATGACATTGATGATCCACTAAACACTATGTGCCGGTAATATCTAACCTGCGTATGTCAGTACGACTACTGTTAAAAACACCACTCCAGCCGATGCCGTCACAGCAAAGAAAAATAATGAACGAAATTGTTGTTTTGTCATTTTCGAACGAATGTAGTCGAGGAAACAATAAGCTTGCAACAAGACAAATACACCTAAATAAACAGAGTTACAATTTTTATTTTCGAAATCAAAGCTACTTAACACTAAGCATCGATACTTTGTGAGTCCTTTGTAAAAAACGGAAATGTAGATAGCAATTAGGAAGCATTCCACTTCTACCTGCAGCATTTTAAAATGTCATTGATTTTAATTGGTTACAAAGGTATGAAATATTAATGCATGTTCCCCATAAGAAAAGCTTTAGATTTGATAACATTTCAAACAAATCAAAAAATAGAAAACATCTTACAAACCCTGGCATCTTAGTACACAATCATCAATCCAAAATACTGTGTTCAAAATCATAACAATTTTAAACTCTTCAAGTAAGTAGCGTACATTTAGCTATAGTAAATCAGATCTTTCGAACAGCAAACATAACTTAGTATACTTTGATACTGCTAAATTGACTTTAAATGGTAATAATGATTATTGAAATTACGTTAGTAAGTTATCATTATGAATCCATTTGCATTTTAAAGCTTTACTACAAAATTTCAGCTCATAGTAAAATAACTTGGAAAACTTACATGGAAAATAACTTGGAAAATGTACAAACCTGCAGATGCCATGTGTTCACTGGTACGAATTGGTTGAAAACCAACGAATGGAACTTGCATAGACAGCAGTAGACCAAGAATAAAAAATGTTGTGTAAGCTGAAACAGTGTATAAAATATCAGATTGGAATAAAAGAAAATATAAGTCCCGATAATTTACAGACTAAAGTTTAACTTTTCAATCAAGGTAGATTATGACAGATTCACTCATTTAATGTCAAGTTCTAAATGCCGGGAGATAAGTGGTGGCATAATCTAAATTGAGTTTATTCAAACTGGGGGTGGATCACTCAATGGGGGTTGGGATAAAATCGTTGGGCAAATATGACATCAATATTTTATGAACTGCAACTTGTACATGCTTTTTTACAACTATCAAAACAAAACAAAGAACATACCGACATAAATTCTTGTTGAAAACCTTTGCATAAGTAGAAGCACGAATACGTGAAGTGGAATTAAATTGATGATGAAAACATATCCTCCCCATGCCGATACCTGGAAACAAACCAATACTTTGAGTTCTTCACATGTTTACATTTTTCACTCAATAAGGCATAAACAACCAGTCATTCACAAACAGAAAACTACCATTTTATAAGAAAAAAAGTCACTGATCCTCAATACATTTGAAAAACTGAGATTAAAATATAGAAAAAATCAACCATGAAACAGTAAATTCAATCTTATTATTAACATTAAACTAATTGATACAACAGCATCAAATTACAAATAATCATGAGCAAACTATTCAGAACAATTTATTTCAATGGCATGCCAACATGCCAATTTTTTCCTCTTGGCATCAAAATAATGTTCACTCTCTACAAAAACAAAACACTTAAAAAATAAATTTTGTGGTTTACGAATCAATACTATAAGCAAACAGTCAGATATCTGAATAAGATCGCAGCAACCAAACATGAAACAGTGTTTAAGATTCATGTTAAGTTTGGTCTAAATATGAAAACTTCAAAAAGTACACCAGTAACACTGTAATCAAAGTGGCTTAATCTGAAAAATTTACACAGATTAGGCAAGAATTCTGAAGTCCTAATAAAACATCACACCCACATCCTCTAACTATCTACCGTAATTGGTGCCAATGATAGTTTTGTCAGTGATTTACACTGCTTCAATACCATAAACCTACTAATTCAATATAGTGCTGAAAGAAATTGGAAGTCTTACCATATAAAAGTATGACAGGGCGGCAAACACTGACCAAAGAACCGATCCCGTTTTGACAGATTTAATCCAGAGGAAATAAGTAAACTGCAATGCAAAGATTGCAATTCCTTCATTATCATAACTTCCTGCAACTGATCTTGAAATATACCCAGGAACTGTGTAATAAAAATATAATAGCATTAAAAAAAAGTAGCAGCAGTACATTAGAATTTTTATCTCTAATATGAATGGTTTAATACAGCGGCAACCAACCCGGGAGGTCACAATGCTACACACAAAAATGGTTTTACTTTTTACTTTACAAGAAAACTCCCTGTTCTTCCTAGTGTTATTGCATAATAAGGTTATTCCACATGGTGTTTACCATTTGTTGAGCATGAATTGTTTGAACATAATGGGATTTGGAATCTACCAATCAAAATAACACTGAGTATGAATACAACTGGAATGATAAACAATGGGGCCACGAGTGCTAAAAGCCTCCAAGTTGGGAACCACTAGAAATATTCCATTTTCATAACTTTCTATCATATAAACAAGAGGATGAAACACACTTAACAACTAGCCTACTCAATAGCAAATGATCTCAGAATTTTTTGGTTTTTTATTTTTTAAAGTGATTAATTGCTGCATGCATACTAATACAATTTCTTTTTGTAACAATGCATTCAAGACAGTCCTAACTGATAGATTTTACTTTTATCCTCAAATAAAGATTATTAAGCTTTACTAAGAAAGAGTGATGAAATATTGGATAAAATAAATGAAATGAAACAAGCAATGCATTACCTTTTGAATACTATACTAGGTCAATAAAGACAGGGTCATGAAATTTGGACAAAGATATATTGTTGTTCAATATGTAAATGAATTATAACTTAATTATTTACAAAATGAAGTATTTCAAAAAGTTTTATTTGAATGCCATAACTTTCTTGCTAAAAAGCTAACACCTTGAATAAGCAGACCCCAGAAAATCAGGCCAAAAAATTGAATCCAAAAAATTAGCTTATTACTCAGAAAATACAGAATAGGTAGAAATAATGTCCCATATAATAGAACAATCATAGATTGTTAATAACATATGAAATGTACATCATGATAGTCCAATCCATACCTATCGCTATAAAGCATGCTGCAAACAGTCCAGCCCCAGCACTCCATAACTCCTTTGTTAAAAGAAATGTTGAAATAGCTGTCAAACCACTGAACAAGGGAGCAAGAAATACACAAACATCCCTAATATGAACAGTGAGGTGAAGTGCGTTTAAAATCCAATGGATTCCTCCTGCTGTAATCATGAGACCAGGATAAACCTAGAACCAAGAACAAAATATTAGTTAGTACCCGACTAATATAGAGAATGGAAATTTCCGTTAAAAAAAATTTGAAATGAATTTTGTTCAAACTAGTTCAAAATTTAGAGTGCGCAGATTTTCAGAGTTCAATCTTGAATTATGTGATTTATTAACATATTTTGGGTCATTTGTTAAATATAGATCATTGCTCATCGTTACAATATATTTTCTGATAGGGATATATATTCAGGTAACTTGATCTGCCAAGCAGATTAAATCATGCAATCAGGAGATTTCAATGAAATTTCCACACAGAATAAGCTTACGGCCATTACCTATAAACCAAATTTATGAGGTTAATATCTGTATTTTTACTGCATGAAAAATACCTAATACAGATGGCAACTGAAACATGAACAGTTCGTTATCATCATATTATAGCTGGTTGATTTTTACATTTAATCCACCATAAAGACAGGAAGGATGTAAGAGTATAATGTGCAATTTTGTGCAGCATAAATACAACTGGCTTCTTCCGCGTAGTGATTGTTATTAACATTAGGGTATTCAATAATATAGTATGAAGCCTGACAATTTTGTGAGCCCACACGTTTTTTTTTAAATATTCTAGTCTCGTAAATGTAATAGATAGAGTTGGTCAAATAAAATAGTTCAAACAAATCCGATTAAAATCGAATTAGGAATATATATATCAGTAATCAGAATGATTACTTGTGTAGTGAGAAAAATCTGTATCAAGACATATCTGCATTCCCTAATCAAACAGGCAGATCATTAAAAATGTTTTTTCAAATTTCTAAGGCCTAACTTCAGGAAAGAATTAATGATTTATTAATGGATAAAGATAGTTTTACAATATCACATTGATAAGTATACAACAATAACATATAAACAATGTTCCATTTTATACAAAAAATAATCACTCAATAATTCATTGCGTCTCATTCTAAAAACAGACAGCTGGGGACTAGATTGATGTTTCAATGTTTAAATAGTTTTGTAAATAAAATTCCTTGCCTTTTCCTTTCAATTGTTGAATCAAATGATTAAAAAATGCTTTCTGTAAAATTTTACAAATTGATTTTGTTTCTCAAAATTTTTCATTAATGGAATATAATTCAATTTTCTCATTTCTCAAAATCATCTCTTTACAGTAGCCCTATACTGAAAAGTAGCAAAAGGTAAGACAAATATTCAAATTAACTCAATTTTGAAAAAAGGATTGAGGTTCTTTGTAAGAAATTGCAGTATGAATAAAATCCACAAAATATGAAAATGTCCAATTAAATGACTTGTAACCAAATATTATCAAAGAGGGTGAAAAGACTCACCGTTCCACCAACAATTCTTCCAAGTGGATACCATGCACTTTCATCAAACCAGTTCAGAAAATCATAAAAACCATTTTCACTCAGATGATGTGTGGCTCTGTAGTTAAACCTGTTGAATTTTGAGGTAGCATGATAATAATATTAATCTTCAATAAATATTAATACGATGCTAAAAAAAAGCTGATGGAACATCACGGCTCTCGTTAACCAGTACACGTCGGATATGGAAATAGCTAACCGGTTTCAGATGCACGAACTTCATTTAAAAAGATTCATATTCCAGGATTCAATATTTCAATTTCAAATGTTTTTCAGTATATTCATTTCAATGCAGAAAGGCTGATTTTGACTATCGATGCATTTTAATTATAGATTTTGATTAATCCAGTTATAAATTTCAAATAAATATGTTTTGATAAGAAAAGACTGTTTATGGTGACAGAATCCTAATTTCATCTTGAAATTTGGCACAAGTATAATTTATATCGAATACAGAAAATAATCCGTATATTTTTAATAAAATTGAAAGATACATACAATCAGTGAGGTTTTCCAGATTCAGATGGAATGTTTATGGTGAAATCAGTCAGAATATTCTACAATTTTTTTATATTTGATATCAAGGTGTATTTCGACATTTAAAAAAAAATACATAGAAAAAAAACCAACAAAATTTTGATGACAAATATGATAAATTTCCAGTAATATTTCTAAACATAACTTACCATGGATCAAATTCATGAATAATGCTTTCAAATCTAATGACAGCAAACAGACGAGAAGCAAATCCAACAAGACAGCAAAGAGCAAGAACAACCACTGTAATTAAAGACGTTATTGCTCCAGGATTTGCAAAAGCAAATGGTTGTTGTTGACTGGATTTGGTTGCCATTCTACTTGATTATTATGCCACTAGATTCCTTTAACTATAACTACTGCGGCTAGACGTTGAAAACGGGACTAGCCCCAAATATTACTCACAATACAACCGTCTAAAACAGGTGCATTGAGAGATAAAAATTTACTATTTGTCTGCAAATCAGATAAATAAAGAATATAAGACTTTAAAAGATATTCTGTGGATTAGTTTCAGCAATTGTTGTTCTAATCTAGCTAAGTTTCTAGGCATGGTTCGATTTTTTCAAACTTGTTTGAGTCCCCCTCAGATACCTGTAAAACTATCGAACTATAAGGCAAGAGAACATGACTGCTCAAAAAAGTGAGGTGCAATGGCCAGATGGCATGTTTCTCATAACAGAGCCAAATATCTGGAATACATGGAAAATGCCTTATACACAATTCATGATAAAACACAGTAAATTTTAATTCATTGCCAAACTGTGCTCGTGCTGAAATATCTGGTGAACTACATCACTGCACTAGCAATCACGCTTCCACATTTGAGTTTTTAGCGCTAATCTTGTTCAGAATTGCTTAGTCAGTTAGTGGACATTTTTATGCTATTCTATCCACTGTGGACTGACTTCTCTATGAAGATTATTTTTAAAGAGCAAATTTGGTGGTTTATGGGTGGAATTCACTGCTTTCTAAAATGCCTTGAATATTAAAATTTTTGTGTCACAATATTTTACAATTTTGACTTAATGAAGATGCTTTTTAAAGATTTATTGTGAATATTTTGTTATTAAAATGTGTTATAGAAAATGCAAATATTCATATAGCTGTATAGTCTATCTGTATATAGCTAGTTCATTACTCAATAGCCACCCATCAACCTGTCAAACTAACCATCAGGTTTTTCAAAAATCAGCTGAACCAAAAAGCAGAAAAGAGGTATGAAGACATTCAGTCCAGATGTTCAGATGTTTTTCCCCGCGAACATTCAGCCCCACAGATTTTTCCGACCAGAAGACGGTTTGAGTTATAATTTTGTTTTACATTCGCAGAGTCTTTTGAAAATAATATGGAGCAGTCTAGATCTGACATGAACAAACTACGGCCCGCTGGCCAAATCCGGCCTGTAGGATGATTCAATCTGCCCACTTGATATGTTGATGCTGCCACAACCAAACTTAATATTTGATGTTTTAGCTAAAAAAATATTGAAATAGCTCAAAGAATTCAGGAATGTGTTGAGATTGCGATTAAATTTAGTTTTGGCAGGATGCTTATTTTTTTTCACTTTTGATTTCGTAAGACTGTAAATACAGAAATATTGTTCAAAAAATGTACTTTTTACATCACAATCACATGGGCCGCCATTCTGGGTGGGAAAAACTCTTGGACCCTGGTCCAAAAATCGTGCCCACCCCTGGTGTAGATGGTCCGTTTAGGGTTGTAACAGAGTCGCAAATTATAGGTACAGAGGTACCGGTCTGTAAATATCCACGAATAAATCCAACTTGATATGCTTCATTGCTGGACTAAAACTTCCGGTCAGAGTACAGAAGTATAGTATTCCGTGCGAAGCAAGTATTGAAAACCATACTGCTGTACTAGTACCGTACCCTGTGAAAAATCCTACGGACAGACGGAAGGCGCGTACCAAACCTGAAATTGTGAAACGACGCGTTCTCTTTTTTTTTTTTTTTTTTATTTATAAAAACAGTCAATATTATCAATACTAGTCAATCTTAAAAATGTACTATCAAAAGCTATGACATTACCGACTTTTCTAACAAGTTTTCAATTCTTCCATCCTCCAAAAAGCTATTTTTCATATTTGATGCCATATTTTTCAGCATCCCTCTAATTTTACATTTAAAAATTATTCTCATAACTGATTGGAAATTATCCAAATCTTCAAATATTATTTGATTCCTGAATTCCCAAATAGCTGCCTTTCCACATGCAACTATCATAATAACTGACAGGTCACATGTATTTTGTGCAATAATGGTATCAATATTATTTTCACTAAAATGCAACTCGCACCAATCCCAAAATATTTTAACATAATAGCATTCAAAAAATAGATGTTTACAGTCTTCAATGATATTAATATTGCACAACACACAGTGACCATCATCATATTCTGTCCAATGCCTTGTTCTATTTCCAGTAGGTAATGCCATATGAATTATTTTCCAACATAAAACTTGTACAATTTTAGATATTCCATGAACCCAAATGTTATTCCAATCAATATCAAATTCCAGTCCATAATATTCCTTAATTGATAAACCTTTTTGTTTTGTCACTTCCATTATCTTTTTACTTAGAATTTGATTATACATATATTTCGTGGTTGGAAGTTTTTCAAATGAATATATTGAACTGGAATCTGTTTTAACATTACTTTGACTATTCAACACGACGCGTTCTCAAGATTCAAAACCACGGACATCCTGCACTAATCACTCGACAGAATGGCAGCATGTTTGAACATTACTTTGACTATTCAACACGACGCGTTCTCAAGATTCAAAACCACGGACATCACTAATCACTCGACAGAATGGCAGACGGGCGCTAGCGATGCGCATCATGCACGTGCTTTACCTGCAACAGACACGTCTGCACGGCGGTTTTTTAATGCGGCATTTACGACCAACAGTGAGTCTGTAATCGTTTTATGTAAAATTTTCATCTCAAGCATGCGCACTCACTCAGATGAAAATGGCGCTCACCTGTGACCCATCTCATGGTTGATCACTGGAATACCACCATAATATTAATCGATTGAAAAGAACCAATGATTCGATTCGGCCTGTACAGTACGGCAATGAGCATATTATATACCAGTGGTCGTTGAGTGACGGACCAGTATAGCGTGACCTAAACTTTAGCAGACCACTTTTACACAAATGAACTAAGCTTATGTGATAAATTACACGAATCAGAAAATTTACGTTGACACTATATTCAAAAACAAAGATGATTCTATTTAATGCGAGATCTGCGTTTGTTTGCTGGCCATTAGCTGTTTCCAACGCTGTTTCTAATTCCGAGATATGGTCGACAGTGACATACGTAATGTGTTTCTTACATTCAGCCTACTTCGATGTTTCGTTTTTGTAGTTGTCATTATTGAAAACCCGGTCTCACATAAATACGATGTCGGGAAAGGTAACTAACTATTTCTGTGAAGCAGGGGTGTGCAACCTTTTCCGCAGGCGGTCCAAATATCAATAACTGGGTAAAACCGCAGGCCTCACTTTCATTTAACATAAACTTTCTATTAGTTGCAGGCACAAAATAGTGTCTTTTTGTTATTGATCTCATGTCGTCATCATTCGGGGTCCTTGCAGAAAACGCATAAATTTTCTAAAACTGTAAATCAAATATATTGTCACACCCAATTTAAACGAATTCAGTGAGAAATTTGCTGCTGGATTCTTTCTCCAACTACTTCTCCAACTACTAACAATTTGATATGACGCCCATTTTTAAAATAAAATATGTAATCAAAAGGAGAAAAATTTGAAGCCATGACTTTTTTCAAACGTGGAAAGTTATCTTCGTTGAGATGTTTCCGGTATAATACGGCAAGATTCCTTTTTAAACACTTTGCTGTCAAATCTCATTCTAGATTAGATTTAAACAAAATCAACTGATAAGCTGGAACCAAAACTCATTTAGCTTTTGTATCTCTCAATATTAATTTTTTTCAAACTGCTTTCCAGTTGCCCAATCTTCAATTGCCCCTTCTTACAAATTCATTAGCGTCTGCTCCGCATTTCCCTTTCATTTGTTCGCTGTTAAGGCGTTGTAACGCCATAGGTATAGATAATAAATTGGACTTGAACATAAGCTTTGCAACGCAAAGGGAACCAGATTAAACTAAATAAAAACTAGTTTAGCTGGCTGGCCATTGAAAATTGGCATTTTTTCGCGGGCCACACAGTTTTCCCTCGCGGGCCGCATTTGGCCCGCACTTTGCACACCCCTGCTGTAAAGTGTAAAGCTTCTGTATCTCTATGTCTGGGTATGCATTTGAGAGTTTTGATCATACGACCGCAAGGTATATATCACAAAGACGCTTTTCAACTCATTATCATTTGAAGTTTTAGTCAACTGCCTTCTAAAAGATGACCTCATCGTAGATTCGTTAGGTTCATTAACGAAAGGATTCCGTATTCGTACCTTTACGATTCTTGCGTAGTTTGCGCGAGGAAAGTAGCGTTGAAACGCCTTTATAATAAAAGTTAGCTGCGAGCCAGCAGTCACGTTGTTAGCGAGAATCATTTTGTCTGAAAGATCTTATTCGGACCAATGAGCATGTATTTTCTTACTCAGATGCAGAGGATGCAATTGACGCAGCAATATTGCGACATACTGACAAGGCAATTGTTTGGGAAGTCAATCCTGTTGCGTCGCGCGTTTGTCTGGTTTGCTGTTTTTTCGTCGTAGAGTTTGTGGTTGTTAGATTGTAAAGGTATTATTGGAACCCTGTACGTTTTTAGGTTCCCTTTCTGCGGACCGGTAGTTCTCTTTCCGCGGACTGGCGATGGGCCGCGGCTCAGTGGTTGCCGACCACTGTCATATAAGGTAAATGCTGTGTTGACACCGCCGGGAGCTGTGCGGTACATGTAACCTAACATATTTGACGACCAGAATTGACACCCTCCTCTACCAAGAAGTCTGAATGAGGCAAATCGAAAATAAATTAAGAATTTTGATTGAAGTAGAAAGTTACGGGTCCCAATTCTAAGGATCAAAATACGGAATATATATATATACATATTGAAAAATACGCTGTGATTGGGAAATAATATGCTCAGGCCTGTGGAACTTGCATCATTAGAGTTAGTGAGGCGGATGGATCCTGCTCTTCGGTTCGAAGGGTGTGGATGGAGTCGCACGACTTATTTTCCCTGGTCGACGATTGAGAGTCCGGTGTCGTTTTTAGTGGGTGCTCATTCTCAACGACCGTTGGGGAATTGGTGGTAACTATTAACTACTGAACCTTGAGTACCCGTGAACGAACGACATGTCTTTCTAGTCGCCACAATTGTAAAAAAAGTGTTGTTTTTATTGCTTGATAATATTATTCACCACTGAACAACACTTTTGCCACTGTGTTATGTCCTTTAGTATTGACTAGTGGTAGACGACAAAAGCCTTACAGATTGCCCGAGGTTTTGCATACACTCGCTTTTTATTTCTAACTTTGGATTTGACAATATCATTTAGAAACATTTTCTCAGCCAGATTCCGGCGCTTTTCTGGAAATTTTCGCAGGCTTGGATTTGCAATTGCCTATTTTCACAAGCGACCTGAATAAAGAAATGAATCTAAGTAGTATTTTTAGCGGTCCTTGATTTTTATTATATATAAGACTAGTTGGTGATTCCCTCAATTTCGCACCCCTGTTTAGAATCCCAGAGCAGCGCGCGATAGCATACCGCACGCATTTTACTTTTCGAATCTGAAGGCCACACTGCGGGATACAAGGCAAAAGAAAAACAGAAGCTTGATTGGCCATCCACTTTTTTCGCGGAAAAATATACAATACATACATTAGAATAATATTATAATCACAACAACATCGAAATAGTAAAGTACAATAATAATATAAGAAAATCTTTAATGACATGAATTTGGTATGCCTGAAATATTATACACTTGCGAATGAAAAGAAGTCAACATTCAAGATAATTTTCCATGTGCTAAAGATAAGATACTTAAGATACTAAGTTAAGAGAAGTGAACCCCAGTGACAAATCATAATTCACATTTTGATTGTGCTTCATATAAGTATCACAGTCACTCAAGAAAAAAAAAATTCTGCAGTAGGCTGAGAAATGTAGCCCAATCGGATAAATTAACTAAAGCATGAACAGACTTTCAAAAACTGGAAAATAATTTTTTTTACGTTTTGTACATAATTCACTTTGTATAGATGGCCTCTGCTAGGCAAGCAGTTGATCTAGTTGAGACTAGAATCTTTCACAATGAATATTTCTAAACAATAATACCAATACTGCTAGTCATCATAACAACAAAATAAAGATACATGCATGAGTCTTACCTATAAATTTATAGTTAAAGACATTGCCATATTATTCTAATAATTTTATGTATAATCACTATGCTACTGGTCAAATTTCTCAATCCATTTGGAGCAGTGGTACTCAAACGAAGAGGCGCGCCCCACATAGGGGGCATAAACAATTTTTTGAGGGGCGTAAGGATAATTGAAAATAAAAATATTTGTTAGATTTGATATTTCCCGCCTATTTGTTTTTAAAACTTTCCATCTATTTTATTATTCACATTCCATCCAAATATTTTTAACGTGTTTTTTGAGTAAAACATACTTATGTCCAACTCTTTGTCATATGAGCTTATTGTTAGTTATTTTTTGAGGTGGGGCGCGAGACTTGACAAATTCTAAAAAGGGCTTCAAAAGTTTGAGAACCACTGATGTAGATCCAGGCTTCAAAATCCCAGAGCAACTTATCTTAGCTATTTACCCTTAGCAAAATACATATATATCAAGTCGATATCCACCATGCACAAAATCCATGAAAAAGATGACTATAAAGACAAATAACAAAAGAAAAACATTATATAAAAAGAAATTTGCACATACATCAGGACCGAAATACTTAGTATATATGCGTTATTATATAAATTTATAACGTAGCACTAACATGGAGAAATAATTTTACTGGCAACTGAAGTCAACTTCAACTTTGCAGTGGTGATGTGATATGAGATTGAATAATTCATTTTTCCATTCAAAAAAGTTTCAGTCAAATTCTGAAATTGTAGATTAGACGATTTCATTCTGGGCTAATAACCGGCTGAATTGCACTGCAAGAATGTTGAAACAATGTATATATTCTTCAAAGCAAGTTGTTTACCAAAGACTGACAGCAGCATTTTGATCTTGTTCCCATGTCACATCATTGGTTGCATTGATGGAACTGCTGTCGTTGAATATTGTTGTCCATGATTTGGTTGAGAAGAATAGCTTGTAGTCATGTTATATTGTTGTTGATGATTTTGCGGCAATGTTGTCTGTTAAAAAGAGAGAAATGCTGAAAGATAATGACCATGAAGGTTGAATGACCAACCGCTGTCGCCTGTGCAACCTACACAGAGATCTATTATCTGATCATTCGAAGCTTTGAATCAAAATTACAAACCAAGTCTCACTGCCGTTGCATGTCACATCTGTTAAGGTTAAGACCTTAAGATAGGAATTAGATATTTATCCTGGGAGAGAGGAAAGCCGATAAGACAGCTTAATCAAATGGCAAACCACGGCCGCTTATCGGTTACAAGTTCATATCGGTTATGGGATTAGATTAGCATGGCCTTGATGGTGGATGAAGTCGTAAGCGACCAACGGTTACGTGAAACACTCTACGGCGGCGAGGAGTCCAGTGATTCTCATGCACATAATTATCCCCACATGGGATTCGAACCCTCGCAAGGAAATCAGCATGCCAGCGGCGAGCGTATTTCTAACACTTATCACGATGCACCCCGCCGCCGAGCACAGAGTTGTAGAAAAAATGGCGAAAATTGAACTGAAGATCAGAATACCTAGAATAGATAAGTTACCTGGTTAGAATATGACATTTGATTTGTATGCATTGTACTACTCACTGCTGTATCGCTGTATACTTGTTGTGGAAAGTTTCTAAATAATATAACAAATACAAATTTTGCCTAGTTCCTTCACAAAACAAAATCAGACATTATAACACAGCTAATGATGACAGATCAGATTAGAAGCCAAAATTAACAAATTATTGAATTAATCACAAATAATTAATAACCGAACGTTTATCTATATCTCTATTTTATTGTGCCAGATAAAATATTGAATTGAATGATAAAAATCATAGAATGTGTATTAGTGAACTCAGAAAAAAGCAAAACAATAAATGCATGAAACAATTTATTGCTGCTACCTGTCTGTTAGAATAAATTATTGCCTAAATAGGCCAAAAATCACAACCAGTTAATGAAACCGAGATAAGAACTTACAATTGTAAAAAACTGACAGTTCAGTTTTAATAAACGGTTATGCAAACATACAGTAATTTTGCTTCACTTATTAACAACGATACCAACAGTTTGTACATCAACAAGAGAGCAATGCTCTAATCTAATATATGGACACAACAGTCACTCATCAATACACATTAACATGAAAGCAGAATTTGGCCGAAGTGATCACCACAAGCAATATTGAGGCATATTTAGCTAAGCGTTTCATAGATTTAGTGAAAAAACTTTTCCAAAAGGGGTAATGGTGACAGTATACTTACCCTTGTGGTGATGGTTGATTGTTAGGTGCATGAATAGAATGGCTTATCCCTTAAAATTAATTGCAATTTATTAGTTGATTTGTGAATGTACTAGAAAAATAACGTCAATCAAATTTAAATATGAACATAGATAGAAGAAAAAGCATTGAATAATTCCTATAGACTGATAATCTCATCAGGTGTAAATAATAATTTAGTATGATTATCGTGAAGAATTGTCAAAATCTAAATCTAATTTGAATTATTACACAATGGTTAAATTGATTTTGTACCATAAGTTTAAACATTACAATCACACAATATAGATAATATTAAAGGTTCATACCCTGTGGTGTCATACCATTATGAGCGGCATATGAAGTTGTCGTAGGTGCAGCTTGAGCAGGCTAGAGTGGAAGAAATTTACAATTACCAATACAATTTAAGCAGGAAGTATTCAATAAAAGAGTTTTTAGCCCATAAACAGAAATACTATTAAGCAAGATTACAAAATCAAAATTCAACTCATATTTTTAAGCAGAAGTAGGTAAGTATCAACTGTAAAAGCAAGAACTGCATGACAACCTGGAAAAATTTCGAAAAACAAAACCCTGAATTCATATTCATTCAAGTCGAACACACTTACCAGTGCTTGTTGATACATCTGATAATTAGCGGCTCCTGCTAATTGAGGATTCGAACTACTTGATGCCGTTTCAGCCTGTGAATAAGTTATTACACATACTATAAGAATACCCTATAACTTATGGTTGTATTTGTAATATCATCACAGAATTCTCATGTTTCCTCTTTCACCAATTCAAGGTGAATTAATTCAGATTGCCTTTAGTTTAGTCTAGGAATTTATGGATGAGTTCGCCGAGTCTCATTGAAAGAACTTAAAAGTATACAAGTATTATTTGATAAATGACTGATGAAGGTAACCTCTGATTTCAGACTTTTCAAACTGGGGGTCCCCACCGCCCTGCGGCTCAAAGGGGTCAAATCGTAGATGCTGTAAAATATTTTCCTCACTAAATTAAGTTATAGCAAAATATTGATCAAATTTGAAAGATTCGGAACCTGTTCTGAGACCCCCCCATAATCGAAATGCAGTAAAGTAAATTCTTTTGAGAATGAATGTAAAAGCATATCGGTCTCATTAGAGGTATTGTCAATTCCATTATTCTTTTGAATATTTTCTGAATCATCCAATTTTACTTTATTATTATTTTAGTTCCTGAAGGTCGCAAAAAAATTTGGTCGTGCCAAGTGGGTTGTGATGAAAAGAGTATGAATAACGTATCAACACATAAACAGGCATAATTCTTTATCAAAATCATAAATATATTGCGGTCCTTCAATTATTTCCAGTAGATTGTGTTCCGAAAATAAACCACATCAACCGAGCAACACTGCCAAAATTTTTTCACTTTTGTTGGAAATCAACTATGCACAACTTCAAAACATCTCAATCCAGGAACTATTTACATTAATCAGATAATTTTGTTACGAAATCAAGGTTGTTATTCTTCAAAGCTACCGCAAATACAGAAGAACTCAATAATATACCGCTGCAACATAACACTTTTTAACTTTAAAGTTGTTGAGAGAGATTGCCGACTCCATCAATCTTAGCACAGAAAAAGTCAAAAGGCAGTAAGTATATATGTACGAAAATACATCAAAGTTAACTAAAAATTATAGGCCAGAAAATGCTCCTATCAAAATAGCCAATGAAACCAAAAAAAGCACAAAGCCCAGCCACACAAATACAATTCAAATTCTCATACCTGTCGCATGTGATGTTGTGGTTGGCCATACATGGCTGGATTAACCTGAGGAGGAAAAGATGGAACCTGTTGCGCTGACACCATCTGTTGACCATATGGATTCATGGTAGACATACCTGCTGCTGGATTTTTCATATATGCCGCATGAATTGGATTGTATGCCGGCATTTCATTCATCAGTCTATAAATAAAAGAAATACAGTACATTTGTACCTGAAAACTAGATAGATCCCAAATATAACAACAAATAAAAAACTATTACATTATGTAGTTTTCTGACAAAAACGCGTCGAATGTGCATTCTCAACAAGCACAAGATTTTATTTTATGAAAATTTGATTTTGTAATTGATGTCAGAGTCGATATGTTCTTCAACCTGCAATCATTTCTTGAATGAGTTGGGAGCTTGCAGTAAATTTTTTTGGAGCGACATGTATGAAACACATGTACATCCTGAAAACATGTAAGTTGTCCAAAAACCATCTGTTCTTTCTGCATCATAGTTTTTGGTAATTCATTCAAATATATTCAAGATTAATCTCAAACTTACTTGTCATACATATTCAATGCTTCGAGTATTTTTTCATTGAGTTGAGTGTATTCTAAATGCTTTCTATCTATTTCTTCAAGTTTCTGATCAATTAATGGTCCCATTTGCGTACATGAATCTACAAAGAGCAAGAGGATAAATAAACAGATAAGTTAATTCCGCCATCATACATGACATAGGAATCGGACTAAAACTATGACTAAAACTCCCTTGAGACATATGAAGAACATGATTGAAATATATTTTAATCAGGCTTATTAAAGTTTGGGTGCAATGTGGTGGAAATATATTGAAATATGCACAGGTATACATTACTACTAAATCAGGTTGGGAAGCATGTTATGATAAATTTGAAATAAAAAATGATCAACATAAAATAAATAACACAAATACATAGTCCATCAAAATATAACAGCTTCCACTTGCAAAGCTCAAATTAGGCAAATAAGATTAGTTTTATAAAAATACCTTCGTTTTGTAATAATTCATTAGTATCTTGAATTCCGCTCTCTGGATCTGTATTTTGCAGATCTACGAGCGTTTTGTCCATCAAGCTCTGTAATTGAATAGTAAATGATAAGAGCTATAAAAAACCTGGCTGCAGTTTTGTTGAAAATTAAAATCTATAAAGTCAGCCATAATGAGAACTATATGACGAAGTACCTCATCAATTTCCAATACAGGTTCTGATAAATCAACTTCTTTCACTTCAACTTCTTCATTGAATGAAACCGTTCTTTCTACACCATGAAAAATAATTAGTATATTTTAATAGATTGTACAGATATATATATATATATAAGCAAAAATATATTATCCGATCACAATCAACTCAATATTTTTTCTGAATTCCTGTTGGTTGAAGTTGAATATTTATCTATCACAAATCAAAGTGCATTGGCATCATAGAATATAGATCTCCGGATTTAAACATCATGCTCCTCACCTCACCAAGGGTGTAACTATTTGGATAGCAATGCCAAACAGAAAGAACCTGGTCGCTCCAAAAAACAGCAGCTCCTTACATACCAGTGGCTGGTGATTGTTTAGAGTTTAGACCCTTGTTTAGAGCAAAATTGTTATACAAAATGATATTTCTTGCATTTTGCACCCTTGTTTAAAGCAAAATTGTTAAACAAAATGATAATTCTGCATTATTTGAACAAGTAGGGCTGCTGATAGATAGGACTGTGGAATCAAAGCATATTTTATCTGGAGTCAGGGATACGAGTCTGTAGCTAAAGTCCAAATTCTGAATTTCCCAATGTCAAAATTATTTGATATTCTGAAAGTTTGGAGCTTGGGACGAAATCGAAATCTCCGACAACAGGAGTCAACGTCAAAATTTGTCTCAGCCGAAAGTTTTGAGTCGATTGCAAAACTTTGCCGGAATTTAAAAGCCCTGCTCATAACATGCTTCACTAAATAAACATCCATCTTTGGATCATTTATTCCATTACCTTCCTCTTCTTCATCTGCTTTCCCAACTCCAAATTCAGGTTCTGGTTCAACTGTTAGATCAGATGTAACGAAGTTAGCAGGAAAAAGTCCTTGACCATTTGCACCTTCTCCTTTCCACCAGTTAGCATCACTGAAAACAGGGTATCATTTATAAGAACTGAAAACACAACATTGGCCAAAGATACAAATAGAAACTTTGCTTCGGGACACTAAACTGTTTTTTTTTGTTGAGTAAATCAGATTCTGTTGAGATTTGCATTGTTTGCAATTGCAGAATAAAAATCAATAATTTTCGAGAAAAACCTGGAGTGTACTAAAAATCTGTAGAAATGTAAATGGAATGTTGTTTTACTATTTTTTACTAGTAACAATAACAACTATAACAAAAATGACATTGATATAATTGCTTTAGACGCCTTTTCAACAAAGGGTTTAAGAAGTCTGAGGTGGAGTCAGAGTTTCACATGTGTGTATTGAGTTTAGAATTGGATCCAGAGTCATCATTTTAGACTCAGTCGGAAGTCGAAATTTTCAATTCTTAGGATTCAGAAATTTAGACTTTTACTATTACCAGTGAAGGCAGTGATAATCGAAATAAAAATGACAGAAACTCAAAGAGCATCTAGTTGACTTAGTATTCTCAACAGGCAAGTTTTTAGGGAAAGCTCTAGTTATCGAAATTCAGTTTTCTAGAAATTTGAAGATACAATAAAATTTCCCTCAACCTGTAGCCATTTTTCAAATGGTCTGAAGCTTGGATTCAGAGCCAGTCATAAATTTCACTTCCAGCCTGGCAGCTCTGTTTGAAACTGTATGAGTCGGACGGTTCGTTTAGTGCGCAGCATTTTATAATACACAAATTTATACAAAAGTAGGAATGAATTCCATTACTTACCTATCATCCAATATACTGATTAAATCACCAGCTTTAAAGGTTAATTCATTGTCTTCTGCTGCTTCAAAATCATATATTGCTTTCACTGTCTTCTTACTGACTCCACTCATGTGACCTGAACAACATTACATTATTAGAGTTAAACATGAATGACACAAGGACAATGATTATACTAGAACATTGAAGGTTTTTCAGTTCCCCTGGAATTTTGTATGACAATCTAAAATACTGATGGTCACTTATTACAATTTCTTAAATGCGAACTTTTAGTAAAAGGATGTGCAAATATGTGTTTAAATGAATATATTGCCATCATTTGTGCAACAATATGAAATTATTACTTTGGCAGTATTTTTTTCGACTTTGATTGAAACTAAAACTACAAAATTACAATAGTTTTGAAAAAAAACAAGTTAGATTTGAATAAGAATAAGATACAAAGGTAATTGAGTTCAGAATATATTTGAGAAACACTTGAAGAGTATTAATCAAACGCCTTTGCGCGCCAGATAACAACTTAGAAAAAATGCATGTTCAACCAAAGAGAACTTTGTAAAAAAAAATTTCGTTTTAGTAGTCAATGGTCAGATCACACTCGAATAGCCTGGAATTCAAATCCTTCTTAATTGCCCATCCCCAATCTTATGTATAAACTAATAAGAACGTGTTTAAAAGAAGAAAAAATATTAATTTCTGCTTGGAAAACTTAACAGGTTTAGTAATGAATTCCATAAAAGTATTATAGAAAGTATGTGAATGCAAATAATGCAGTCAATGCAGTAATGAAAGTGAAATACATATATCACCCATTCCAACGTTCGAATATACCATAGGGCTTTATTATATCAATGCAATTTCAGAGGTAAGTCTTTGCAGGTTCCTAATATGTAATACTCCCGTCGATAGAAATCTGAATCATTCAATCCTATATTCCAAAGCAAAATCTCACCAACACCACTAATTTGCCCGCTTACATTTACTGATAGATCAAATTCTAATTTAAAAAACTAACCCGACGTATAAGATGTAGATTGTTGAGTTGATGTGGATGAAGATCCTCCGAGCATAGTCGGATATAAACTTGATGATGCGGCGGTACTTGAACTAGTCATTGTTAAACTGCTTGACAAGTTTTTTTTCTGATTGTCTTCTTTCAACGACATTTCAATCGCTGAAAGTTAATACTTCATTTTAGTTTAGAATGTTTGCTACTCATAACATCTAAAGATCAAGCTGTCAATTTTAATCTAAGATAGACGCAAGCTAACAAGAATAAAAAGAAAATGAAATGGATAACTTCGCACATAATAAATAAATTACACGATGATCCCCAAAAAACCAAAGTCATTTGGAACATATTTTAGAGAGAACATAACTTTTGTACAAAGCATCCTTAGGATACTGAAACTTTTAGGTACAATTATACACAAACAGAAATTCAAGAGTTCCAGAGCTAAATTAATTTTTTTCATTTTTGTAAAAGTAATCAAGAAATTCATGGGTTGTTTTTGGGACACTCTGTATAAATCATAAACATCCTTGATTTGAAAAATTATGAGAACCTCAGGCCTTTTATATACAATGTACATAAAATACAACAAATCAGCATTTGCTAGCGAACAATAAAACTCTGTAAATCTATATTTTTAGTGCATCTTGGCATTTCAGCAGTCGATCGCGTTATACCAAGCAATCGTTCCCACCTTTCGCAATGTCATCTGCTTCTTGCTGACTTGATACAACATTGGGATCTTTGCTGACTGGAGCAGCTTTTTTCTTTGGATTTAATTCTTCTGGTGTAGGAAATTCTGTACCTTCACTTCTCATGAAATGGTAGAAAGATGTCAAGCGGCTGATTAAAATAAAAAATATTAAAAAGCTATATCGGCAATCACTTCTAACTGATAGGGGCCGGCAAGGGACCCCACTCAAGTCACTCGTAGGAGTGCTTTGAGCACCTGCTGTACTTTTACAGCCTAGTTAACAATGAATGATAAAAAATCTCCTCGAACTCTCTATTGCCTATTTAAATTTTAAAAAGAATCTGTGAAATCTCAATATCAGCACTAGGAAGAATTTAACAGTTATTATATCAGTATGTTATCGTCAGTACGTTCTTGTTACTAACTAAAATTTCAAGGTATACACATTTTTAAAACTCTCAAGTAGAGATGTAAGTTTCAGAATTTCGAATCGAAGCGATTCGAATCAACATCAATTCGAAGCAATTTAGGAAAAAGAGGCTCGAATCTATTTAAAAAAGAATTGCATAGATAACACATGGCAATTGAACGACACAGAGGCGCTGTCTCGGTACTTTGCGTTTACAGTTTTCCAGTCGTAAGTCATAACACTCCCAGAGTTGTCACATTTCATATTGGCAGCAGCTTGAGAGGGACCAATGGTTTCGCTCAATTTTGTTCGACTACTTAAAATGTTACAAAGCTTCACGAACATTTTATTTTATAAACGTTTATCTAGATCAGGGGTTCTCAACCTTTTTTCTGTTAAGTACCCCCCGAGTCACGAAACAATCAACGCGAACCCCCAATAATCAGACACCAAACAAAGTTGTGATATATTGACTGGCAATTTGCTGCAGCGACAATTTATTGACCAACTGCTGTAACTAAATTAAATATTTGTGTTGATGTTATTGCCCTTGTCCTCCACCCAACTAATGTATTCTTGAAATCTCTCTTGAAAAAAAAAAAACTCGACTGCTATCCAAGTACCCCTGGAAATCTTCTCGTGAACCCCTGGGGGTTCGCGAACCCCAGGTTGAGAACCCCTGATCTAGATAATATTATTATAATAAAACGTCATTGCACTACAGCAGCGGTTCCCAATCTATAGGTCGCGACCCATTAGGTGTTTCCCCTAAATTTAGACAGATTTAGATTTATTTTTTTTTTGATTAAAATGCTATGGTTTTTTTTTGGAACAGGTCTTTTGAGTTCATTTGTCAAAAATAAAATTACATTGCAGAAAATCACGAGATTTTTTGATAAACATATAAAAACCGACATCCATTGTTTTTATTAATATTTTCTATAAAAAAATCAAGTGACATCACACAATCTTGAATAGTGGTGTGATCTTCACCTCACCTCAGGTCATTGAACCTTTCCTCTCCCACACATTTTAAATTTAATCTAAGGGTAAGGTTTAATTAAAATCACTTTTAAAATTCAAATTAGGTCTTATTTTCAGGCCAGGTCTTATTTTCGAGGAAACACGGTAGGTTTACGATGATTAGCCATTGCTGTGTTCTGTGTTATGTCATAAAAAGTTATATGGGTCGCCATAAGCTGTAGTAATAAATAGTGGGTCGCAACTCTAAAAAGTTTGGGAACCACTGCACTATAGTATACACCTTATTAAAAACAAGTCTGCGATGCATCCCTCGTTATCATTGCTTCCGTTTAAAATCATGACGCAAGCGGTACTAAGTAGCGTGTATAATTTGTATGTATTTTGAAGGTCAATTTCAGAAGAAACAATCACTAGAGTCTAGACAACCAGTAGTGTATGTGAATAAACATGTAACCCCAATGTAACAAAAAATAAATCCGAGTCGAATATGTTTAGTAGTCGATAAATCCATACGATATGTTTTTCTAGTAACTTTATTCATTTTTTTAGATCATTATTATTATTTAATCAAAATTTATACCATATTTCCTCCGAATTTGAAGAACGTTGAAGTCGATAAATCCATGCAATATGTTTTTCTAGTAACTTTATTCATTTTTTTAGCTCATTATTATTATTTTATCAAAATTTATACCATATTTCCTCCGAATTTGAAGAAAGTTGAAGTCGATAAATCCATGCAATATGTTTTTCTAGTAACTTTATTCTTTTCTTTAGCTCATTATTATTATTTTATCAAAATTTATACCATATTTCCTCCGAATTTGAAGAAAGTTGAAGTCGATAAATCCATGCCATATGTTTTTCTAGTAACTTTATTCATTTTCTTTAGCTCATTATTGTTATTTTATCAAAATTCATACCATATTTCCACGAATTTGAAGAAAGTTGAAGTCGATAAATCAACGCAATATGTTTTTCTAGTAACTTTATTCATTTTTTTTAGATCATTATTGTTATTTTATCAAAATTTATACCATATTTCCTCCAAATTTGAAGAAAGTTGACGTTAATATGATAATATACTAAATAGAATCAGATTCGGAAATATTCGAATCGGAACATTGTGATTCGAAATTCCATACGACAAAAAAAATATTCGAAACTTACATCCCTACTCTCAAGTTTTTACACTAAATACAAATTCTACTAGCTTCCTGAATAAACATACTAACCTCAGCTGAGGATCATCCTTGAAATCTTCAGCCCATTGTCTTATTAACATCTTTAAATGAGCACCAACTTTAGGATGTGGAGGATTAGCCATGATGTCACGCATTTTACTAATAAATTCCTTGAAAATGAAACAAACATGTATTTGCATTTGGCCTCACAGGTTAGTTATCAAGTTATATATTTATCAAATTATATCAAGTTTAACCACAGTTAGATCCTGCCAACATTCTTATAGTAATTTAGTATTATTCTAATACATATTCAAAGACACTATATAATTTTATTCAAACTATAAAAAAGCTATAGAGTGCAGGTTGTTCGTAACACTAGCTAAGGATTGAACAAATAACAGAGTTTTTATGCAAAGTGAGGAAGGAATAAACAGATCCAAAATAAGTTAAGGGAGGATATATTCAAAAAAGGAAAGAACGACTGCTCTAGTTAGGTTCGATTCATATGTACATCTCAACCATGCCTTGATTACGGTGGAGTTGCAGTTGAAACAGCACCCCAGAAAAATATCAAAATATAAACAAGCTCAGTATCAATATAATATGTTTGATATAGCTATTAGGTATGTTGGAATATTTGATAATCTGGTAAAATTTTTATTTCAAAGGATACTGTACATAAGCAGCCCCCAAAGGGCTGCGGAGATTTGCTGAGTGCGCCCCGAAACGTAATAGAATTGTGTTAAACATAACTAATATATGATTGAATATTTTACATATTGAATTTATCCTAAATGTTTTGAGGTTTTAAATTTTAATGCTGCGTATATAAATCAATAAATGCATTTGATCTTCCTGTATTGTTTACTTTCTGTTAAGCAGTGTCTGCATATAAATACATAAAAGTTACATAAAAATAGAGGTAGACACTACTTGCTGAAATTTCGCATGCTGCAGTTGATTTATCTGCTGAAACGAGTTTAGCATGAGTGATTTTTCTAGATTTCAATGGAAAATCAGTCAGAGATAAAAAAGAAGTTTGATCTTTTGCCTTTTGGACTTATATAATATATGCTCAAAAAACCTGTGATGCTATTTCTTTTTTGAATTCAATTCCACAATTATTCACTGCTGAATCCATAATGGTAAGTGCTTGTAGTGCAACATGGGGAACTTTGTGTGTGATTTTCTTCAATATTGCTTTGCAGAACTCTTTGGACCTGAAAAGTTGGAAACACATTTAGTAAAAAGGGAAAGTCATACCTTTAATATTATCCACTGCTTTTGTTGAGACATGACACGTGAAATGTTTCATAATTATGATTACGGTACTATACGTGGAATTTGCTGATAAAAGTCCATAAATGAATAAAACCAAAAATTACATTTTTTATATGAAATACATTGGTCTATTTACCAAACAAAATGTACATACCAACAAATACACAAAAGTTATACAAAATGAGTCATACAAACATGTTATAAACAGCAATAAACAGGTTAATAGCTAGACATGAATAGCAAAAAACAGTACTACAATATCTCATTGGACAACAATTGATAAAATACCAGTCAAAACATATACAAGCATTAAACTAAAGAAAAGCGACGAACTATTCACATATTTATTTGTATTAATGCTTGTTTCACTGTCTAATTATGTTTGTTGCCATTGGTCAGGAAAGATTCTTGAAAAAAAGCAAGGGAAGCTGGGACTAAATTATAGAGACAGGCTGTTCAAATGAATAATGGTAAAAGAAGACCAAAAGCTGAACAAATTTTTGAAATACTCGTTGAAATATCACTTGAAGACTAAGAAATGTGGTTGCATATTTTGAACCTATTCAAATTGCAACAGTTTAGGGTCAAGCTACCTGGTGGAGGCTGACACAAGGAAAATAATTATGGCAACACAAAGCATAATACGAAATCAGTATACATTATTCAGTCTAAACAAGAGGCAAACCGATTGATATATACAGGAGGCCAGAAAAATGGATCAGAATAGGAAGTGATGTATTATGATTATATCAATCCAAGGAAATAGTCAGCCATATTGTAGATGAATGATGACATATAATAAAAAAGCTTTATTGAGAATTGAGATATATTTACCCATCCGTGGTAGTTTTAACTTTATCACATATTGTCATTATTAAACCCCAATCTTCTTCTGTATTACATTCATCAGTTGCCTTGTCTGGAAAAAATAACAACAATCGTTAGGTAGGCTATGTACAATGAATTCAAAGGGTTCAAATTGACTTCACCTTTCTGTTTAAAAAAAAAAGGTATATAAAACATCAACTCGAATATGTAAGAAATAGGTAGGTGGATATCCACAAGTGGTATCGGTCTGTTACAGTTACTTTTTTAGTGTCAGTGAGACCTTGCTTTGATCAAATGCTTGACAAAAAGAACATTAGCAATAATTAAAATTGAATGTAAAATGGATGAAAACAGGCATATGGGTAAGCTTTATGTGAAAAAAAAGTTTCTTACCGAGCTGCTGGTCAAATATAGTTGTAGAAGCACTAAAGATCCCCATTTTTTCAAGCCAGGTGTTATACAACTATACTCAACAAAGTGATATATCCTTTCAAACTAATGTCTTTGATTTTCTTATAGAAACAATATATACTACAGTATACTCTATTAATATAATAGTAACTGAAAGAGAAATTTACAAATAATATGCTAGAGCTGCATGATTGGAACTATACAGCTTTCAGAGTTCAATTAAAACACTATCAATAAATAAAACATAGAATTTTAACAATTTTTGCAAATAATTCATTTATTATATAGATCTGCAGATCTGCAAATCTTTGTCATGCTGTCACTGTATGTAATAATCAAATATTTATAGCCTGGAGGATGGACGGGAAAATAATAGCTGCACCAATTGTTATCCATTGTCCATTGTCATCAATATTATAGTATCATAAAACTACACAATAGCAAACTAAAATAAAATACCTACATGTTTAGCTTCAAATTAAAGGTACAAGCACGAAAATATGGAATTTTTTTCTGGAAAATCATTCATTGAAAGAAAAAGATGTTGAAATGAGATTGTGATACTTTGTACCAATTCTCGGAAATACTGCCTCCGAATATCTGTTGTTACAATTTTGTTTCAAGTTTTATCTCCAAATTTATGTAACACTCGAACTTCTGGTTGTGTATGATTCTTTGTAGGCATACCCATTGGTTTCAGTAATTTAGGTCAATTCGCAGAAAAGGTATGTTCTCACTAGAATATGTTCCAAATGACCTGGTATCGATTTTTATGGGGGTTTCTCTCTGTTTATACATTAATTCAGCTAGATACTCTGATGGTGAAAATATGCCATACAATTTAACAATATAATATACCTAATAATAATATTATTGAAGGTCTGACTCTGGACTATCTCAATCTCAGAAAAATATACACCCTTTACGAATAAGAAGTATTTGTTGTCGAGTATTTGGTGCAATCATCATAAAATCTTTTCAATCCAATACCATTACATACACTTACACACGTCAGTCAAAACCGATTTTTTTTAGTTTAAAACAAATAAAGCCTCTTTCTAGCCCACTAAATGTCAAAAGATGAAATGAGTTCAGGGGTTCAGCGCTTCACACAACACAGCAACATTTCGCACCATGGATGATTAGCCCTTCAAACCTATCCAATCGTGCAGTCGTGAGGTGGCATATGATTGTTTAATGATTTGAGATATGTCTTTGATTTCCAGTCACATTGGAAGTTTTTAAAAAAAATAATGGTGCTCCCGAAGTATGCGAACCAAGATGGCGGACATCGGAACGTAACATGGGTAACAGGTTAGGGTTAGGCGATAATTTTTTTCCAATTTTCCCTATTTTAGTCCTATTATCAGTTCGAAGACCAGCCAAGAGCCTCCCGTAGTATTTATACCTAAAATTATGGCCTAACCCTAACCTAGTACACATATTACATTCCGTTGTTCGCCATCTTGGTTCGCATACTTCGGGAGCCCCAAAATAATAATATACAACTACACGAATAATTATAGATTTATTTGTGAATTTTTATTCGCCTATGAGTGGGGTGAGCGAACTGCAGGAAACATCGCCTTATGCGGTTAAGCCTTATGAAACAATAAATACAGAAACTTTTTACAGTTTCAGGCAGAACTGCAAGGTAGGTTTTTACAACCGGAATTTAAGAGTTTGGGGTCTTATGTAGTTTCATGCCTAACCTAAGGTACTTCTAGTGGGCGTAGCATACCAATTTTTGCATATGTCGATCCTAACCCCCACCTGACTGCGTCATCTGAAAATTACGTCACAACGAAGTCAGAGTGATGTAATAAGGCCCTCCAAACTATACGAACTGTCATCGAAGACACGCAGACGATCATCCAAAAACGAGCAAGCGATTTTTTTTTTTTCTCGTCTCAACGATCCCGATACGAGAGAGATCACTGCCGTTAGTGAGTTCTTTATCGTCGGCGCAGATGCCATTTTGGGCGATCCTAGGTATGCTTTGGCAATCTCTATGACATGATTGTGACGTCGTGGTGACGTAATTTTTTGTATGGCGTAGTCAGGTGGGGGTTAGGATTGACATGTGCAAAAATCGTTGTGTTACGCCCACTAGAAGTACTTTACAGACTATAGGTACGAAACTACAAGAGACCCAGAATTTGTGCCTTTTTAAGCAATATGGATACTGTACAGTAGTATTATATCAGTATATCAGTATACTGATTTAAGTTAAAACATAAAGTCATTTTAACATAATGAAGTTTCAAAGTTTCAAGTAACTACTGTCTGACTGTGTTATCCATACCATTACCTGATTACTGCATTAGGCATTGTAATATATCCAATAGCAGAAATGAGTTTTTTTGTTGTTTTTTGTTTTCCTTCTGTTTTAATTTATTTTCAATGTGGTTATTCTAGCACAATTCCGTTGACTAACGTTAAATGTTGATTTTAGTATTCTTTTCAAAAGGCAGTAGCCTAACTGCAGAACTGACTCATAACCTAACGGTCGCTTCGTCACAATGCTTTAATATTCATTTTGAAATGTTATATGAACTATTTTAATTGCTGACCGAATAAAAAACCGGTACTACCGTACTATTCTATCTTATCCAGTTAGACCAATCTGCCAGTAGTATACCGGTATCAGTAGCTACTGTTTGTGAACAAACTTTATGAAGTTATACCAGTAACTAGATTATAATACTTCAGAAACGTCGTTCCAAAAACATCACATGACGGAGGTTGGTGACAAAGCCGAAAACCCTAATGTCCACTACGAGGCATTGCACTCTTTTTTTTTTTTTTTTTTTTTTTTTCTGTAAGAACAAGATTATCAATTGAATTAGGTCACATATTCTGTATATTTGTGAATCAGACTGTAATTCACAGATTCAAGTTTATAGTATACAGTAACAATTTTATTCGTTAGCCAAATATTTGTTTCAGATGCATGGGCTTGGTTATATTTTTAACTGAATTTCTTGAGTAGCCTATTGCAACCTGGATTCACAAGATTAATCAAAGATAGATTATAAATAATACTGTAATAGGATAGGATTTACATATTTATCCCGGGGCCTTCTATGTGAAACTTTCTTTTGATTATGACCGAGGCATTGCACTCGGTCATAATCAAAAGAAAGTTTCACATAGAAGGCTTTTCCACAAAAAAAAATCAGCTCTTTATAAGATATAGTTATTCATACGGGAAAACAATCTCCAGGTCGCGTGATGAGGTTTATTATACACGGTATATATATTTTTTCATTATTCTTGTTTATTTCTCGTCATTTGTGTAGTTATCCTAAATAAATAATTAATTTGATGTAAAATGGATACGGTACTCCCGTAGTGTGTGTACCAGGTTAGGGTTAGGCCATATTTTATTACGATTTTCCATATTTTAGTTCTATTACGAGTTCGGGGACTGTCTGTGTTAGCCGCAGTAGTGTATATTTACGGTTAGCCAAGTGAATATACTCCCTGCCCAGTGGTGGGATCAGTGATTTCCCTACACCCCCCCTATAGGGGGTGAACACCCCCCCTAAAATTTCAAACACCCCCCCCCCCTAATTTTGAGGTGCGATTTCACACTGAGGGGTTCTAAACCGCAGTCTGCGGGCCAATTACGGCCCGCATGACGATTTAAAATGGCCCGCCGAACTTGAGTGAAATAGTTTACCCTTCATGTGGTACCTTTTGAGTTTTAGATACCGTCTATTGTTACATCATTATCACAGTTTAAGCACGTTTATTTCGTAACAATTGAATTATTCCGGTATCTTATGTATACGTATGGGTATTAGGATTACACACTGCAGTATTTTAGATATCAGCCGTATATTAAGAAAGCTTAAAGATGTCACAAAACGAAAACTAGGCACTGAAAACAGACTTTTTTAGATGAATGACAGCGTTGTTTATTTCTTTATTGAAAAGAATCAAACTTCAGCGATTTGTCTTCTTACCAACAAAATATTTCAGTTCTGAAGGAATACAACATCATGCGACATTATGATCAGTTGACGAGCTTATTCCAAAATTTAATTCATACAAAAGTCAAACAAACATGTTCAAAAAAATTAGAAATGTGTAACAAAACAAGCCATAAGTAGCCATTCATACAATGCCAGAAGAGCAAGTAACTTCATTAGTCACTATCAGTTGCAACTTGCAAATTACTTGTTGAAACGTAGTAGTATATATTTACGGTTGAAAGCCGTGCTTGTTATTTATTCCCCGGGAATTCTATCAGCTAAATATTATAATTATTGATTTCATTACATAACAAACTGCGATGTTAGGTGTATCTAAAATCAAGCTTAGAGCCTATTTTGGTGCCTATTTCTCAAAATTTTCTCAGGGCGCTTGAGCGCGCCCTGAACCCCAGCCGTGTCGTCCCGCACTTTTCCTCGCTTCCCTTTTCTGGCCTTACAATTACATTCTGCTGTGGATTTTGGCTCGCGTCAATCAACTTGGGGGGCCCCCATGTAGCCTACATCGTTTCTTAAATACATACCATTTTTTTAAGAATACAAATAGCCTAGTTTTATATCTAACAGCAAATTATTTACCACCCCCTAAATTTTGAAACACCCCCCCTAAAAAGAAAAGCTGGGGAACATACTGGGTGGGATTCAGCCGGTTCGCACCGGTTCTATAGAACCGCTGTTTAATGTCATTGATAGAACCGTCTCACGGAAGTTTATGAGATCAGCGAACCGGTTAGCATTACTAAAAAAACATGTAGGCCTAACAGAACCGTCCGAAAAATATGACTTTTGTGATGGAACCGGCTGTCAAAAAATTTGAATCCTTCAGTGTGAGTGTGAAATTTGAATCCAGAACTACAATGTAAATGAATGCCTTTGAGTGGGGTAGGCAAACTGCGGTACACTGGTCGCATGCGGTTTGTGACTATATTATGTGCGGACCGTGTAAGCCCCTAGCAACCAATACACTTTATAGTCGAGATTACATTTGACTATATAGATGACTATAGAGTACATGTGTTTCATTTCCGATGCTTCTCACAATTTGTAGCGCCTTTTCACACAGTTTTCCTGTGTGCATATAAACAAAAAGTTGAGCAATTCAATATAGGATAGGATTTACATATTTATCCGAGAGAAGAAAAAGCCGATAAGACGACTTAATCAAATTGCGAACCACGGTCTCTCGCCCAGTTACCAGTAAATGTCGGTATGACATTAGTTACCCAGTTATTCATTTCGTGCTTGGACTTGATGGTGGAGAAGAACGAAACTGCCCAGCGATTACAGGAACCGACCTACAGCAACGAGGAGTCCAGCAAACTACTCGCACATAATTATCCCCATAGGGATTCGAACCGGCGAAATCACTCAGGGTAATCAGAGGAGCAGTGGCGTGCGTGTTCCTAATGATGCGCCACACCGCCGAGCCGGTTTTTAAATAGCTCAATCAAAAATAGCCACCAAGGTGTCCGATGTACATACATCGTTTCCACGCCCTCAAAAGTTTAAAGCAACTCCTCATCTTAATTTTATGAGCAAATGTAGACTTCTCGGTTTTAGCATAAAAATCAAAAATATTTCTGCATTCAAACATTTAGAAATTTATATTCTCAAATATTTTTTTTGTGTGCAATATCGTGAAATAGAATATATATATATAGAAAAAGAGACGAATGTGGAACGCTTTCTAGCCTTTTTGGTAGTAAAGATTCAAATTCGTCCCCAGCTGTGACAACCCGCAAACTTTAAATTAATTGAGATCAGGCCTGCACAACGTACGGCCCACGAGCCGCATGTGCCAGGCGAAAGCTCGGGCGTATGTGCCCGCGAGTTGATTTAAAAAAATTACCTACGCATACAATATTATAAGCGACCGATGTATAATTATAAGTTAATTATATAGATAAATGAGTAATTATTTGTCTGTGATTAATTAATTAATAAATTTTATTTAATTAAGTAATTTCGCACCCAGAGTAAATTCTTTGTTACATCAAATATCTCGTGCGGGACGAATGTATAAAAGCGCATGCATTAGTATTGTTTGGTTCTAGTGGCACTTTTCAAAAACACCGTAATGCCTCAAAAAAATAAAACGAACAATTAAATTAATATTTATGCAATGATATAAGTTATTCGGTAATATTGATAACTTGTGCTCGTGAATAATTGCTCGTTTGTTGCGGCCCTGTCGTCCATTTGGCTAAATCGGTGTTTCCCAGCCCGAGTCCGCGGTCTCAAATGAGTCCGCAACGAGCCAGAAATTCACTGCGGGACGCAAACGTTTTTGCGAAACTCAATTATCAGTCAAGTTACGATTTACGTTAGAATTTACATAAAACATAAAAAGCAAGTTTATTCACATAACAATAACCGAGTCAATATTTACTGGCTACTGAGTATAGGGATGGGCATATATTCGAATATTCAACTATTGAAATAGCAAGTTACTATTCGAAAATTTGGTAGCAGGTGACGCGACAGGTCACTTGCGCGTCGCTTAATCAAACGATTGGATTTCACTCACTTGCGGATTTCCGACAAAAATACGAGTCTGCACAGCGTCGATAGATACCTAATTGGTGTTTCTTTCCCGCGAATTCGCGAAAATTGGGAATAAATTTTTTTTTTGCTGGCAGGTGTCAATGGTGGCAACCAAAATTTTTTAAATTCAAAAGCGGCAATACAAAATACTAACAATAAAACGGAGGACACCAAAAGTTTTATGATGGTCCGCGACCGACTAAAAACGCTTTTTTAGGCATTGCGGACCGCAAAATTTCGGGTGCTACCGTAGTATATGTGCCAAGGCATTTTCGCTTAGAATTCTTTGCTTTACTACCTCCTCATTGGTACGTACAGTACCGGAGCGCCGTAGGCTAAGTGTTGTACGAACAGTACGATTTGTCGAATTCACAAAAATATGAATCAAAACAAAATATAATCGGGCACTTTACCACGCATTTCTATGTCCATGGATTGTCATGATATTTTCCGAGTAGCATTGCTTTTATTTCGTCAACACAACCCCAGATTGAAATGATCACAATTAAATTAATTAACAATAAAGCAAGGCGATAAATATATATATGTATTTTTGATTTACTCATATACTTTAAAGAGTATTTTTAATGAGTACTAAATCATGTTGTACTTTCTGGAAATTTATAGCCGATAGTAAGATTTTTCTAACGGCGATAACCAATTTGCAAGATCGCAAAAAATATGTATCAAAACTAAATATATATAATCGGGCAATATATTCGCACATTAGTATGTTCGCAGATTGCCGTGGCATATTAAAGAAGTGATGCTTTCATCTTGTCTTAAATCGACGCAACCGCGAGTTACCATGAACACAATTGAATTGAAATAAAAACACATTTTAAATTCTTGTCGTTGTCATGAATTGAATATTGTGCGAAAGAAAAGACCTTCTGTACTTGAAATCGTGTACCGGTAAGGTGCGCTGAGAAATGTGATCACATACGGTGAATGGCCGACAATTTGATTATTGAAAATATTCAATTTGTTTCAGCCGAGCAGTCTGATCCTGGCACATTTACACTGCCTAAAAAGATGCTACGCTCTTCCATACCCACAATGGATTTGTGGACAGTTGAACGACTGCATATTTTTTTCCATGAAGTGTGCAATATTTGGAATTGCAAGATCTAGGAGCAATAAGGTAACGCAGAAGAGAGCATTGAAGAGATTGACTCGGTGTCAGACATTGGCAGCAAGATTCCTTCTTGAAGCAGCAAAGCGAAAAAAGATGAGGTGAGTTCGTAATACAAACCGTCACATTCGCCTGTTATATTTGTGGTGTAGTCGACTGGATAATGTGTCATTGATAACCTTTTATATTCCTCGCTTGCTCACGTTGATTGTACCAATTTCAGGTTTTTACTACTCCAACTACGAGGTGTTGATCCAGATTGCATCCGAAGTCCGGTATCATCCAAGTTGCTACCGAGGTTATGTACGATTCATGAGGAAAAGAAAAGAACAGTCAAGGTCTGTGGATACGCGGTATGATAAAGCTTTAAAAATGTTTTGCGAAGAATTCATTGTACGAAAAATAATTATGAACAAGGAGATATTTCGTTTAACATTTTTAAACACCCTTTTTAAGAGATACATCAAACAGTTTGAGCTTTTTGATTCTCCTGGTTATCGAATCTCCAACTTGGAAAAGCGTTTAAAAAAAAATTCCTCAACTTGCATTTATACGGTATTAAGAGCGGTCGTGTAGTGATCTGGTGTTTGTGGATACCATTTCAATTGGCGATATCATTGAAGTAAAATTAAACGCTGCTGAATGCCGATCATAATGTCACATTCGCATACACTGTTTCGGAGACGGAAACTGAAAACGATTCTGGGAATGTGCTACCAACGTGTACGAAACAATCTGAGCCACCTTCAAATACCACCACCTTCGTGAACAATTTATTTAATTTTTTTAAACCTGCGAATAAGATCCAGGATATGAAGGCACTAATGTACAAATAGCTACAATTTCTGAAAGAACCAAAATCGATTGGAAAGGTTATCGTTGCCTGCGTTCAACTTGCAAAACAATTTTCTTTCTTGGAAAACCTTTTCAAGTTTTGAATGGAATTTGAACGTACCTCAATGAACTGTTGTAGCTGTTAAATGCTGTGAAGAACGTTTTTATCAGTATTGCCAGACAGATGTTAAGTTGGGAGTATTTTTGCTTCAGCACATGATTGGACACTGGATTTGCAGTTTTGAAATCGTATTTTCATAATTTACAATATTTTAATAAAAAAGAGCTAAAAGCCATAATAATTTCCGACCCGTAGCCGGATTTCTTATTTTTCACTGCTCAACGTTGGCTTATAAATACATAATATTTTCTTTATATAAAGTGTATGTTTTATATTTCTTTCGGTGATTATCTTTTGCTTCGTTTTTTTATTTGATCTATTGCTTTAATTCTAATTGTCATGTGCTTATATGTGCATAAAGTTTACTTATTAAAACACTTTTCTTTGAATTTAGGATAACTGCTTAAATATGTTAGAACGGAAAGGCGTCATTTTAAACCAGTGGTTCCCAACCTTTTTTGCGTCGCGACCCTCTTTAGATATTTTTTAACATGCCGCGACCCATTTCACGATATATATATGTTAAATTTAAATTAGTAGGCCCCACAAGAGAAAAAATATTAAGCTTTAATGCGTTTTCTGAAAAATAGTTTTCCCAAATCAATTCAAATATATACATCCGGGCTCGCGGGCCACTTTATTATTTTTGTATTGGTCGCGAGCCACGTCATAGTGCCAAGAACAAGTAGGGTTTCAAACTCTTCATAACGGAGAAAGTGTCATAGAAAAAAATGCCGTTTTAGACGGTCACCGACATCGGGTAAAATCGCCCGATAGTCATGTTTTAAAGTCATCTTTCATTTGAAGTTTTTGCAACTTTACTAGTTTTTATTCCTTTAGGCAAGGGGTTCCCAGACTTCATTGGCAACGGGCCAAAATTAGAATCGGAGGGATGTTCGCGGGCCGGATAAGTGTAGCGCCCGAAAGTGCGCGACGGTTTAGCTGGGGTTCATTGGATTCACCAGTGTTGCCAAAAAATGTCTGTTTACGGAGTTTTCGTTTTGATATCTCTAAGCTTTCCTATATGGTTGATAACTAAATTACTGCCGTATGTAATCCTGATACCGGTGCGTAAATTTAATCGATTTGTTACAATAAACACATGCTTAAATTGTGATAATCTCGTAAAACACTAGAACGCAAACAAAATCTGTTGAACACTATTTTCACCGGAGCTAGGCGGGCCATTTGAAATCGTTGCGCGGCCCGGATTTGGGAACCCCTGCTTTAGGCCGATTGTAGAGTCAATATCGAACTTAACGTATGCTAGTTCATAATAAATTACCTCAGCTTAACAGAGTGTAGCTTTAACTAACACAGATTCATAATATTTTACCAGTATCAGGTAAATTCTTGGGGAGTGCAAAATAAATGTAACAAAGTGCCTTATTTGCGATATAACTTTGTATTTTCGGAGAAGGCGTGTCATAAAGATTCAAAATTATGCGCAAACAATATTTGATAGAAATTAATCGCAAAAAAAATGTAATAACAATTAACGTCTGGCTTTTGTTTACATACACTTTTTTTCGGGAAAAAATGCAATGTAAAATGAAGCATGGTAAACGGAATATTGCCAGTAATTCGGCACCAATAATTATTATATGTTAAATGGAAAACGCAAAAATTGTGCCTTCTCGTGAGGTGTTCATCGACGTCTTCTTATTCGAATATGTCGATGAGATTCGTATTTGCTAACTGCAGCTTATACTGGTTCCATGAGAGCAATAGTAATCGATGGTAAGGGATTCTGACAGGAATAAAAAGGCTTGTATTTGATTATTAAATTGATTTATAAACCCGAAATACAAAAATTAACCCTTGGCCTCAGACAGGCGGAAACCAAATTCTGCTATGGGATCATATTAGAATACTTTGGGATTAGAATCCTCCAGATTCGATATTCTGAATTGCCCAAACTCCCGACAAACAATAAAGATTGAAATGAAATATATTGCACAGAGTAATAGTAAGATGATATAAAATCAAGATTTTATCTGTAAAACTGATCTTTTCTCCAACTGTTGCATTTGTTTCAGAACATATGCAACAGCATAGCGAAGTTCATGGAATTTCTCTTTAGATACCTATGGAAACAAGATAACTGATCTTCATTTTTATCTTGAAGTCTCAAGTCACTAATACTGAAAAATCCATTGAGGAATTGCAAACATTAATACTAATATTATAGCTGGTAAATATGAGAAATTCTGTGAAAACACAATAATTTCGACATCAGACTTGATATTAAAATATTTAACTGGTCAGAGCAGAGGTGCAGAATCAGTAAAATGCCGGATTTTGAATGAAAAAAAAACAGCCAATTAATCCTCCACTATTTTGTTTTTTCAATCAGTCAAGAATCAAGATTACTAATCCGGATAAAGCAGCTATTAGAAGATGGATAGTTCGCATGTGCAAGAAACAAATTTATACCCATTAACCTCAAATGATTGCTTTTTGCCGTCTTTTAAATCCATTTCCATTAATATTGTAGGTTCGAGCACTCTATTTAAACTTGCAGTTGATATACCAACATCGACTCTCCATCGGAAAGAATTTAAAGTAGGATACCTGTCACATGCACAAATTATTGTTAATCAAGCTAAAATAATTAAAACTTATTTTTGTTTTTCTTAATCATGTAGAGAGGTAAAGTTTTGGAGTCGTTACATATAAATATATAAAGATATCTTAAAGGGCAGAACATTGTAGATAACTATGTCGGCGCTGCAGACAAAAATCTTGAGTTTACACCCCATACCCATCACTTCAATCAGGGTGAGAAAAACTGGGCGTGGCGCATGAGAAAGATTTCAGAAATAGTATTCAAACATCAGTGGCTGCTTATACAGAGTCCTTTTCAGAGTGAAAGTGTTGAAATCGACTAACTTCTGTAAAACTAATAATATATTTAGGAATGATTCTTATCACAGATTTTTTTCACAAATCCGATGCATGATTAATTGTTCGCAGTTTGCACTGATTCAAGCATCTATTTGTGAATTTAACTCGAAACAAACCTAGGTCGCTTTTTCATGCACATGTCATCGATACTTTCTCTGTCACGGCCAAACACAATATCCTGCAGTGTATTGTGATACTTCTTTGGTACACTGAAAAATAGGGTTTCATGCAATTATAAGTGATTGAACTCCAACAGATTTCTTCGATTAGGTCATAAATAGACTAATTGGGTTGAAATTGAACACCTCAAGATTGGACAAGATTGTAGTTTTCAGAAAAGCTTTTTGAATCATAGGACTGGAAATCTTCCATAGGACATTTAAAGGTTAGGACCAATTAGATTTCTCAGTACACGTGTCTATTGATTTTATTGATACCTAGGCTACAATCATGGCTCATACAAATTAGCAGCCCAATCTCATATCTGTATTAAGATATGGACTTTTTTGCGAGACAAAACAATGCACAATATATTTGTTGAAATTTTCCCTAAAAACCATGTTCCACTCACTTGAGATCTGTTAAATCCTTCAGGAAATCTTTAGTGGTAAGTGAATACCGGGGAAGTCTCACAGCAGACTGTACAAGCTTCAGTAAGCCAGGATAAATTTCCATCACCAATGCATGACCATGTTTCTGACAACAGTTTTCAAACTCTTCTTCAATGTTTTTATTATTATTTAGGAGATGGAGCTTGACGACTGAAATAAAAATGCTGTCAATGAAGCTTAAATATTTTAGTTCTATAATCCAATGGTTAACACATATAACATTTGTTGTATACAAGATTCCACCAACACAAAAGTATCTCTGAATGTTCAAATAATTACCTATTATAGATTTGCAATTAAACAATATGGAAGAACCTTGAGTAGGAACGAGTCATATTACGGACGTATATAAATTTGATATTACAACTTACAAGCATAGTTGATTTTGTGTAAAATATCGAACATACTAGTCAGATTTGTCGAAAATATGCAGCGTTAAAATGATTGAAAGAGCATCTGATTCCAATGTAATAGTTCCATTCAGAATATTTAGTCTTTTTAGTATTGAAATCGTAATTGCATAATTTGACAGGCCTACAATGATACGGTTGCAATTTATAAATAGCTTGGAATTTCTGCAAATATTATTAACTTAAATTTAGTTTCAATAAAATTCTCTGGACCCAAAAATAAATGAAGTCATTTTTTTTTGTATATCAATATATATCCTTCATGGCAGAATGAATTCTCATTACCTTTCAAAACACCAGAAAATGCAGCATCCTCTATTTTATTGAGATGTTTCAAGGTTACTTTAACTTCTGTTGGTACAGATACACCAATAAAACTTGTTCGCTCAATATCAGCAGGCATTTTGATTTTCAGTTGTCACAGAAATCTAGAACTAATTAATGCATGACAGGATGGGCCTACAGTAATTTACGGTAACTGTGAAAAATCAGGAAGATTGCACTTATATAAGTCACTACTAACGAATAAAGAAACAGAAAATAATCATTTTTGAGGCAGCTTGACAACAATATAGAAAGTTTCTCAATAAATCGAGAACATGAAACAGCAAAAATATAATAATGAATGCTTATAGGGCAGTGAAAAGTGAGAAAAAAGTCTATACCTTACTCATCACTTAATTCCCACATCAACCCTGACAAAATACATGAATCCTTTTCATGTTTTTTTAATATAACTTAATTTCTAATTACACTACATAGGTTTAAAATATGAAAACAAACATGTTCATAACATTTGGGACTTCAGCCAATCATGATAAAGATTCAATTTGTGATCTCGAGGTTTAACGTGTTTCCATTCATTAACACAGAAGATACGATAAGAATCATTGCCATATTTGCCAATCCCATAAAGTTCATTTGGATACCTCCAATTCTTTCTTAGGTATTCTTTAGAGAAAGTAATTATGGTTTTCGCTCTTAAATTGTGTAAGCCTAATGGCTGCATTATTGATGCAATTTTGTGTAGTTTTCTTTTTCAGTAATTGCAGCAGAAGGATATCGCTCAAAAAACTCCCACATAACGGGAATGGCCACTTTTCCACTTGTCTTATTCAGAAAAATAGTTGCGACAAGCAATTTCCATGGGTCATGAAATAATGTTTCTTGAATAAGATTAAATGGAGACTTGGGAGGAATCCACAGCAATTTTTTGGTTATCGGCTGAGTTGTTAATATTCTTTTTCTCTTTCGAAAATATGGGCTTGTTTGATTTCTTTTGGTTTGGTTTCTCGCTTTCTCTTCATCAGTGGAGCTATTTTCTGTTATGCACAATTGTAATTCCATGCCAGTAAAACATAATTATTGAACTACCGGTATGTTTATAAAATAGGATTTACAAATTTATCCCTGGGAGAGGAAAGTCGATTAGAGGACTCGATCAGCACCACTCAGTTTAGTCTACAATCGGACCTCAATAAGATTGCAAAATTTTTGTTAAATTATTTTTTCAAGGGTTTTTCTCGATTTCGTGCTCATAAACCAGTAGACTGGTTTATTTGTTCCATAACTATTATTTTGATTTAAAATACAAAAATAATTAACCGAGAAGGCAAAAAAAATATTTCACACCAAATTTTTTCAAAAATCTCATCATATCCTGGACGATGCTGAATTCTAACAACACCATAATATTTCACCCATAATTTCCCCAAACATCATATAGTGGACGAAGCTGAAATCTCACAGCAACATAATATTTCACCCAACATTGTCCCCAAAACAATATCTGAGGCGCAGTTCTTACCACTTCATGGCAGCCCCTGCCACGAACGAACCGCGGCAGCTCTTGCCATGGTTTTATAGCGCTATTCAGTATCCAGTAATCAGTATTAACGGTGTATTCACAAATTAATGTACCGGTACCATATTTTAATTGATCATGTGGAATTATATCTACTTGAACCCTAACTCTAACTAACCCCAAATCCATCGAAACTGTATCCATAAGAAAAACGCTCCAACTTACCCAATATTTGTCACCATAAGGGACAGCCCTGTCTTTACGGCCCACCTGCCGCGGTTACGGCAGCAAAATTTTACCTGCCATTGGTTTTCAATTTGCTGCCGCGGTAACGGCAGCTCGACATTGGTTTGTGGCAGCTAAAAAGTCAGTCGCCATCACTGAGGTGTATAAACTGCCTCAATGGTCGCCGTAGGTTTGGCCGTAGCGGCCATGGTATGAAAATACCGCCATGGTTTTGCGGCAGCTGCAGACGCCACAGAATACTTAAAACTGCACTTGTAATATCCTGCCTTGACGAAGCTGAATTCTTAAAACAACACACGATAATTTTAAAACAATCTGTAGGTCCATGGGACCTTTCCCCGAGCATCGACCTCCTTGTTTACTTCGTGACATTGGCCAATCAGCAAAATGCAAAAAGTGACGTAACAATGCCCCCTTTTCGCATCCGCTCAGACACTTTATTCACTCAGACAGATTTTCAAGCGTGGTTGTAAACATTACCTCGTTTTCGCGTTTTTGAACTCTATTTGTTAGTTTTCAGTTGTGTTTTGGAAACTTAAATATAAATCAGATAATTCAATGATCACTCGGTCTTCCTAGGAGTTTTTATTTAATTGCAGTAATAAAAATTAGTGTAGAAATAGCTGTTATAGACTAGCCTGAAATTCTTTACCGGTACCTTTAAAAAACAGATTGTTGTATGCAATAAATCATAATGATGGTTTGAAACATATACCCCATTTTACAGACGCCAACTCGCAAAAGCACTCTTAAACTAGCCCCGGAAATTTTGCAATGGTAAAGTATAGGAAGAATTTTCTGGGGGTTAAAGGTCGTGGAAAGGTCCAACAAGTGCAACAAGTACGGAAAGTCGATTCTCGGGGTCAAGGGTCGAAAGCATCCATAATAAACCTTCTGAAAGGAGACCACTACGTTACTAGTCCCATGACTTTCTTGAGCTTGTTCAGGTCGGTCAGATTTGGACTCTGAGTGTTTTTGCACGTTGCCAAAGCAAATTTATTAATGGAGGTAATGTGAAACGACATTATATTATTTTTGTGCATTGCAAGACATAAAATTAGATTATATAGGAATGCAGTCATTTTTCAAAATGTAGCAATGTAATAATGGTGGAGTAGAGAGAGAGAGAGAGAATTTACTTCTTTTGTCAAACCAGAAAAATGAACATACGCATAAGGTACCAGTATATAAAAAAGTAAGTTTTCGGTATATGACTGGATGGTAACGATACGACCTATAGCTATATGCCCATCATGGTCTGTTACTACCCAATACATGAATAATTAATAGGTATTTTTAACTCTCTCTACATTTGAAAATTCATTCATACATCAGGACATTCTGTCATTGTATATGAAATGTGAATATTTGATATATGAATATAATGATGGGCAAGCAGAATGCAAAAAAAAGTTGGAGAGTGAAATATTCTAATATTACTGTATTAGAAAGGGTTATGTTCGAAATATTAATTCAGTAATTGTATCGGAATTTGTTTGGAAGAGCCTTGTGCTCAATACAGCAATACAGCTTTGTATGAATATCAATGAGAGATTGTTGGTTTAAATATGCTAAAGAGGTGAAAATTTTCAATTTAATGTTACTTCAGTAGGCCTACTTGGTGACTTGTACATGTAGTTGAAAAATAAGCGAGACTGCACAAAAACATTCATTAATACAGTAATATCTGAATATATATAGTCTAAATTTGAACATAAGCTCAATGAACAATCAATGCTGCAATCAGGGATGGCCATTTCCGAATACTAAACTATTCCGAATACATTCTAAAATAATGTTTTCGAATCTGGAATTCCGAATACATTCTAAAATACCACATTTTTGTTTTAGTTGATTAAAACCCAGTAAATTAGGAAATACGCTTCAATAGAAATATCAGAATGAAGCCACAAACCAACAGTATATGTACACAAAGTAATTGATAGTTTATAGCTATCAATAAAAAATAATAGCAACTTGTGACACAGTCAGTTAATTAAAATTAATCACTTTGTACAAATGACCATATGAAAAGTTGTCTGACGCTTTCTATCATTGGTACCATGATATTACGATAATAGTCAAGTCTATTGACAAAAATACTACTTGTATTCAGATAATTGTGTATATTTTCTGAGAGTAATAAAATTTATTGGCAATACCAATCGAAAATCCATTATGCCTTTAAAAATTCTAATATTTGGGCCTAGAGTATTCTACTACCTACCAGTATATTTGTATATCAATTTATGAGAACCATATTGTTATTATGTGTAATATATTGTTGTGTTTGGGATTAGAAATAAATTAGTAGAGAATAGATGACCATCACTGCGAGCGCGCAGCCAGGATTTTCGAAATCGGAATTTCCCATTGCCGCCTGTAACAACCACCGCGATTACGCGCTCGTTAAAAGAGTCGTCTTGTCAGCGTATAATGATGATCATTCTGTTACGTAAAATATTCAATCCATGACAACTACGAGATTCTAAAATATCTTTATATATTAATTTAATGTGTCCAATGTAACTCGCGGTTGCTTCTTCTTACGTCAAAAAAGAAACATTACTATCCCGTTCACGGCGATCTGTGACCTAAAATTACGAGATAAACTGCCTGATGTATTTAATTTTAATACGTATTTTTGCAATCTTGCCAACTCGTTATCGCCGTTAGAAAAATCTCAAATAATTATATAAAATCCTGTTAAGTGTAGAGTATAATTCATTTCATACAATGAATATACATATAAAGTTTAGCAGTAAATTAAAAATACATATTCATCGCCGCGATTATGCCACCTGTTGAAAGAGTCGACTTTTACAACAAATAATATAACAACGAATATATATTTTTCTGTTGTGCAAAGTGATGAATTCGTGACCGAAACCGGCATATTTAAAATGTCTTGCTTTATTAATCTAATTGTCTTCAATTTAACCTGCGGTTGCGTCGACAAAATAAAATCCTCACCACTCTTATATACCATTGCAATCCGCGGTCATAAAAATAAAAACGTGAGGTAAACTGTCCGATTAAATATTGTTTTGATACGTATTTTGCGAATTCGGCAAATATTTAGATGTACTTGTTAACAGTGACTCCGCTCGATCGAAATGCTGCCACTCGGATTATTTTTAGATAAAACCGTTCGAAAAATCCATAAATATGCTGTAATATCTCAGAGTAAAATTTATTTCATCAAAATAAAATTGATTGAATATACTTTAGATTAATTATATTATATACATCCTCACAACCCGGGAAAAAGTCGCGTTTCAAACCTTGTATCGTGTTAACACGAAAATATTTGACGGCAATTTAAAATAATGGATAATCAGGCAAATCCCGCCCTCAATTAGTGACGATATGTTTCTAAACGCCGACCAAACATAATGTGTGCCAGAGGCACACGAAATTTTGCGTTCACTGCCTAGAAAAGCGTTTTTTAAATTTTCGCGGGCATCAATAAAACTTATATTGTTTACGGTTTTATTTTCAGTATTTTAAATTGCCGCTTTTCAATCAAAAAGTTGCGTTGTCTTTAGAAACTCGCCGCCGATGAACGTATTTACCAGATTCACAATTCCGTGCGTGTACAAAAATAAAATAAATGTTATCGTTATCGTGGAACAAATTTGTGGAAAATTTTCGTTTTAGAGAAAATAACACAATTGTAAAGGCGTTTACGGGCCTAAATATTACGTTACGCTGATGAGTGATGAAAACAATCACGCGCAAGGTACTATCGAGAATGTTTTCATTCAACGGAAACGTCTTGAAAGCGGCGTCGAAAATGTGTGACGTCACACAAATATCCGATATTCTTATGAACGTGAATTCCGATATTCGAATGACGAGATATTCGAATACATTCGAATACTTTATTCGAATTGGCCATCCCTGGCTGCAATGCAAATACTGTCTGGTAATTAGATTCAAGTTTTATGAATAACAGAATGAAAAACTACTTAAATCTAGTGTAGCTTAATGTCAGACTGTAGAAAATAGGTCGTATCTTTTTATAACAACTTATACAATGATTTGAGACATGTAAACGTAATTAATACAGTGATAACATCTAACACTAGGGATAAAATCTCTATTACTGTATTAAGGCCAATCAGAACCATTTGCAAATGCAAGTTTGGCATTCAGGCATAGCATAGGACAGTAGGATGTAGGATTTTATGTCAACATAAATACAATGAAGGTTTGAGTTTACGTTGATTTATGAACATTAGGAAATACTAAGTTCAAACACCTTTTTTTATCATTATAATTTGTAAAATCATTATTCAGGCCAATTAGTGGCATCTAATTTTTTATATTGGAAAATCAACATACTTGAAAATGAATAAATCCCTTATGTTATAGCTAGAAAGAATGTAGAAAGGTTTAGATTTTAGACAATATCCTAGTTTCACTAGAGAACTCGATATGATATTTTCTCCGATATGATTCATGGTGCTGCACTGAAACTAATAGAATCAAGTGCTGATTATAGCATAATGCAGTAATTCGCCAACCATCGAGTCATAAACCTAAGGTGTACTTTATGACCTATAGACTTACGGTACATTCTCTATATATATTTCTTCATTTTCCTAGCCGCTAAGCTTAATTTACACTGTAATTTATACTGTATATTAACCAATTCATGAATTTTGCGGAAAAAGGTTAAAAGGACAATTAAAATTGTGATTGTAGGTGTGAAGGACTAAAAATTACACTGTTACACTCACTACTGAATCTTGCAAACCAGTCAGAGAATGATCAAAGTTTCGATAGTTCACCACAGTCGCTGAATTCTGGAAATAGTGACTCGCTCCAAAAGAATCTTGAAAACCTACACTGATTTATAAAATTTGAGATGAACCATATAGATTCAGGAACATCTTTCTGTAAAATTACAGGCCATAAGAAGGAAGTAAGCAGCTGTGCATTCAATGATCGATTCTTTGTCACTTGTTCAGGTTTGTAGTATCTTTGTTGATTATTTTGATCATTGATATTATCCATGCTATTATTATTAGGTAAGTGTTACAGCGTTAGGTACATGCAGTATTCTGGTATTGGGATTCAAAACTTCTGCATAGGATATGGCTTACATATTTATCCAGGAGGAGAAGAAAGCCCATAATACAGCTTAATCATATGGCGAATCACGGCCTCGTCTAGTTTACGGAATAGTTAGTCAGTTATATGTTTCAGATAGACTTGATGATGAAGAAAGCCGTGACCGACCAACAGTTACGTGAACCACCCTACAGCAGCGCGAAGTCCAGCAATTCTTCTCGCACATAATTATCCACACAGGATTCTAACCGGCAAACCCATGTAGGGTGTGCCACACCGCCGAGCGCATTCATAACAACAGGTTCCCGCATTCAGAAACTTCTAAACCTTATTGTGATACATGAACACAACATGTTAATAAGAACAATTTCAACATCATATTTACCAATGTAATTCGAGTTACTATACATAACGCTAGTTGCCTAATTATGTTTATTCAGAGTCTTGACTCAAGCCATCACTCACCAGAACATGGTTATGTTTGTAATTTTTAATTACTGCAACACACTCAAATCAGATTCACTGATATTGCTTATTATTTGATATCCCAACGAAATTCTTTTCATCTTCTAAAACAAACTAATAGCTCCTTATTTATTGTATCTTTTAATCAATATAAGTCGTTCTGTAATGTCTCGAATTAAATACTTGACTTTTTTACAGGTGACAAGTCAATTCGAGTCTTTTCTGCTATAGACTTTACAGAAAAATCCTATTCACCTTTACTTGCTCATAAATATGCTGTTAATTGTGTTACATTCGATGTTACTGGTCGTCTCATGGCATCTGCATCAACCGATGGCACAGCAAATATTTGGAGTTTGAGTGAAGATAGCGCATTGGTATGATTTAACTTCTTTAAGTGAGAGGTTGAAATTGGCACTTGATTTCTTTTTTATGTATCATTCAACTCAATATTTATCTGAGTTTCAAAATCCAATGTATATGTGGTAAGCCTCGTTAAACTCAAATTTGTGATTTAAAATGAATTTGAAATTTTTTCTATGGGTTCAAGACGATTGTTTTGAGATCCGAGGTGACTAAAATCAAATATGTCAAGATTGTAATTGTAAATCATGAGGAATTGAATTTTGAAGATTCAATTGAATTTCGAAGGCCAATATTAGAAGGAATAAGGAGAATTTTTAATTTAATCAAGAATATACGAAATAAAATTGCCTGAACTTTGAATATTTTTCAAAGTTATTAGGGATTCCTCATATTTTGTGTCTATCTTTTGATTGATTGTTAAAATATTATTTCTCAATTGCATTCAGTTAGCCTATGCCTGGCGAAGTTTTGGTGTTTTATTAAACCGCAACAAGATAATATAATTATTCCATCTTTCTATATTGTTGTATTGTTATTTTCCAGATACTGACAGTTTTTCATCATTCTGATTCCAATACCGTTCAAGTTTGCAGTTTTTCTCCAAATTCTGCTATGCTTGTCACTGGTTCTTCTGATGGCGGAATCGGTGTATGGAATATTGAACAAAAGAAAAAGCTTTTGTAAGAAATTTATGTTATTCATTTAAATAAGTTTATAACATACCGTATTTGCTCGTTCTGTAGCCCGGGCCCATATTTTTTTCAACCAACTCACTAACTGGACCCCTATTCAAACCGGCCCTTATTCAAGCACGGGGCTTGTTATTTTCGATCGTTACAATAATTAATATATTGTTATTTCCAGTTCTCAAGTATGATTTAAACGAGAATAACGAAAATTTTGACTTTTTCTACGCACCGCAGGTACAAATCTGCAAAATCAGGTGTTCTCAACCTTTTTTTTGTCAAGTACCCCCCGAGTCACAAAACAATCAACGCGAACCCCCGGTAATCAGACACCGAACAAACTTCATGTTACAGTCCATGAACGCACAGTTGAACCCCATGAGGGCGCTGTCGCTTGTATCATTACTCTGTGATATGTTGTGATTTTGTTTTTCTGTTAATTTTGATTCCTGTCGCTGACCTGATGACTGTCACAGTCTTTCGCAACCAATTATCTGTTGCTATGAATCTCTCACTTGTATCAATTTTATGTGTATATATAATTACATTTGTTACGATTGTCATTATACACATTTGTCGATTTCCGTGCTTTTGTGTTGATTCTTGCATGATAGAAATAAATCATCTAAATCTGTGATATATTGACTAACAATTTGTTGAAACAGCAATTTATTGACCAGATGTAACTAAATTAAATCTTCGTGTTGATATTATTGCCCTTGTCCTCCGCCCAACTAATGAATTCTTAAAATCTTTCCCAAGTTTTAATAGGCATAATCACTTTCTCCAATGCTCGCAGTACGCTGTCGTATAAGATTTCACAGTTTGGTTGCAAAGCCGTGAATTTCACATTGTTGCGTCATAATCACAACAACGCAACATCAGGAAAAATCTATGTTTCAATTAGCATTTAGTTTCAATCGACACGCATTCTCCTCTGATAGTAATAAAGGATGTTAAAAACAGCAACACACGAAAACTCGACTGCCGTCCAAGTACCCCTGGAAATCTTCTCGCGAACCCCAGGTTGAGAACCCCCGTGCAAAATGGTGTGTGCCTAAGGTGTGAGTGTTATCTACCGGCGCTTAAAAATCAACAGCGTTGTGACAAAAGCGCTTCTTATTTCCTATTGTTCTCTACCACTGAAAAAATCAGCTTTTACATCGGGCGGGTATTCAAACACCGGCCCTTATTTATTTTTATGTTGTTCACACGGGCGACTATTCAAACGGGCCCGTAATCACGATCGGGCGGTAAAACGAGCATATATGGTAAGTACAAAATTATTGAAGGCTTTGTTCAGGCAGCTACTAATAATTAAATTACTGATTTTTAGTCTTCAATACCAGCTTAGTTCAGTCTGACGCTATCTCCGCTAGGCCACTATCCATGAGTAGTGAAATTGAATTTCTAGGGATGTGATTTATTGTATTCACCGTAATTAAGAATGTAAATTGAAATATTGTAACCCCATTCAACCTAGTGTAAACTTAAATAAATGTAAATATGATTTCATATCTTCAATTTTCTCTCTTGGATGTACTTTTCGGATCGTTGTATTGCACTTTTTCTTTTGCAATGTTCAAATGTTAATTAGTGTTTTCTTAAGAGTTTTTGTTTTGGTGTATTTCATTGGAAATTTTATTTTGTTGTGCTGCAGCCGAGTTGAGGACAGGCATATTTAAATAACATGAAGATTCTACATTTGCACATGTAACACATGGCCCAAATAATATATAGCATTTGTTTCAGAAGCATTTGTATTCATAACTTGATTATTATTTATTTTCTTACAGCCAAATCATAGGACATCCTGAAGGCAATGTTAATGGTGCTGCATTCACTCCTTGCAATGATTATCTTGTTACTGGATCTGCAGTAGGAGACATCAGAGTGTGGGATCTTCGATATAATGAATTTGTTAGTGATGAATATCCTTACATTTATCCAAAGGTTACAAACCAAACTGTTTAAATATGTTTCGGTTGATGAACAGTTTTTTTAATATCTTGATTCGAAATCAAACCCATATGCTTATAATTTTTAATAGTAGTAGAACAAGCAAACAGTGGGCACTGTTGCTAGGATAATCATCATCTTTGAAATGCTGCATTTTCTGCACAATTAACCCGATAGACGAAGAATATTGGCGGAACGTGGATATGAACCACATGCTATCGAGTCAATGTGGTGGAGACACTAGCATTTTGAATAAAAATATGCTCATTTAAACCAAAATATGAGTTTTTCTTTAGACTAAATAATTAAAAATCCTGAATATACAAAGGAACCAAATTTAATTTTGTAATATTCAGTTATTCCCTATAGCCCTATTATATTTGATTTATAATATATAAACGAGACAAACTTGCCCATCAATGTAATTGAGTTCACTTACTCTGCTTCATTATGCTAGTGTCATCCCAGATGTAATTTTATATCTATCCTAATCTTAATTTTTTTGTATTTCTACTTCTAGTGCATTCTACAAACTCAAGCTCACGATAAAGGAGTATCTGGATGTGGAGTCGACTGCATTGTATTTTCTCCTACATTTCATATCATAGGTAACATTCTAAATTTGTACGAGCAATTAAGGATTACGGTAACACACATATACATAGACATTTTGGTCAAATTTCGTGCTCTCCAATCACGCAGTATTGAGTGAATCTTAAAAAGTAGATTCAGATCAAATATATAAGTAACATTAATATTTTCTCAAATTTTCCGACATGTTTTTGTGTAGTCTGATACATAGTCCATCTGGATCTTGAGGCTTACAAAATTTGCGTTGATCGTTTTTATAACTAAAATTTTTCTATTCTTCAGATGATGGCCAAATAGCTGATAGTTATCTGATGGCAACATGTGGTCAAGACAACCAGGTTAAATTATGGCTATTTCAAAGAAGCATTGCCTCTACGGCAGCAGTAAAGAAAGACCACTCATGTAAGTGCTAGATGCTGTTGTTGTAAAACTATTTCATGTCAATTTCTGGTTTTGTCAGCTGTTTTATTTATGTACTTAAGTCAGTAAAATGTGAATTTAAAAATTAAAAATTTGCTTTTTGAACTGTCATAAGTATTGTCTTATGCATTTGTCTGTTTTTAACCGAAAATCTGTGTGGCTAATAATTTTTTTCTTTTTTTCTGTTTTTATTTTCATGTCGACTAAGTATGTTATAATACCTCTCTTTCTTGTTTGTGTGTCCGCAAGTGAGTGTGTGTGTGTGCGAGTGAGTGTGTGTGAAGGTTTTTTATGCTTTCCTGATTCTGTGATCAGTTTTCACTTGTTTATTTTTATCAATTATCTTATTATCGTCCTTTATGCTCATTTTGGAGTCAAAATAAACTTATACTTATTTTAACCTCTACAGCAAAATGTCTTCAACCCTTACATGAGTTATCGGGCCATCATGGTCCTGTAAGTCAATGTTGCTTTTCTCCTGATGGATTGAAATTGGCTTCCAGTTCATTTGATAAAACTGTCATCATATGGAACCCGGTATGATATAGTCATGTTAACTGTCTTATATATACGCACGTATTGTAAACCTTGTTATCACAAATCTGTAAATATTCCCTGTTTGATTACTGTATATCCTCATGTATAAGCGGATATCGCATATAGGCCGACCCCCTAAAAACAGCCATAAAACAGTGAATTTATAAAAATCAGAGTTTTAGTGCGATCAGAGTTATGCGTGCATAAGCCGACCTCTAGTTTGACAACTGAGTTTCAAACTCTGCTTATATGCGAGAATATACGGAAAAAATCTATTTGGATGAACGAGGCAGTTGCACTTCAGTTATGTGTATAATTGTGCGATAACATCCATATATCATAAGTTTGGATGAACTGTAAAATCGATGGATGAGTTGAAGATGCTTATTTTTCATTTTGTATCCAAAACAACATATCACCCTTGTTTTTCAGCTATATCAGATGAACCCAAAATTTGATTTTGGTAAAATGATTAGTATTGATTGCTTAATGATCCTATTGCTTATTGATTTACATTATCTATTTTTAACTACCACTGAAAGAACCCAAATACGATATATTGCTCTGAATAACGAGAGATACTGCTGAATTCGAACGGCCGAAAAGCGAAAATTTAAAAATTCATGAATATAATTTCTGGTAATATCAGACATACGGTATGTCATCTCATGACACCCAAAATGTAAAATGTTTTACATTTGTTGTTTTCAGGTTACTGGTGAACAATTGTTAGTTTTGGATGGACATTCAGCTATTGCTACTTGTGTTGCGTTTTCATCAGATGGGAAATTTTTGGCATCAACGTCTTACGATAAAACAACGATTGTTTGGAGATTAACAACAGATGATAAAAATGATGGTAGGCTTGGTTGTATAATATATTATACAAAAATACCTCCTCTATATCAATGCTGGTATAGAGGTAATAGTAATTTAAACTTGATTAAGGAACACAGCTTTAAGACTTAACTATGGTGGCATTGCAAGGTAAAATTTTGAGTTCAAATATCATGCCCACCACCTCATTCTGGATGTAATAAATTGGGTAGGCAGTGTTGAACCATAAGAATGATAGCTCCTTACCCAGCAGTGGCAACTTGTGTAGAGCTTGGTTCAGCGGTGTATGAATATATACCATGTAAAAAAGTTCCAAATCTTCTATTTCAAATCTTGGAATCTTTTATTTTTCTTAGGTGCTGTGTCATTGGCATCACCTGGGCAAGTAAGTTGATAATATTTTTTATTGGTGTTTGCATGACCATTTATGCATAGTCATTGTGAATTATTGGTTGTCATCATTCAAAACCCTATTCAGAAAGGTAGACCATAACTCTGGACTTTGTCTAGAAATATATTTGCACCATAAGTGTGTACTATGTAATTTGATTCTAATTTTATTGGGCTCAATCCAACCTCATCACAATTTTTTCACAGAGTTCTGGCAATTTGATCAACTTGTCAACTGATCAACAACAACCTTCAACAAGCGGTGTAACACCTACTGCGCCTGTTGCAGTGACAAAAAAAATTCATGAATGGACGACAAGCGATGTTGTTGAATGGCTGGACAAAGAACTGAAACTAACACAGTATTCTAAAGCATTTTCTGAAAATGAGATAGATGGTGATGAACTTATCAACTTAACTACTGATGTATTATCTCAAGATCTTGGTGTTGGTGAGTGACGATTTTAACTAATTTTCATACAGAGCTAGCTATAGAGAAAAATTAATAAGGGGAATTCAAATTATGAAGTATCACGACAATGGTTCCCAAACAAGCTGTTGAGTGAAATTCCAGTTTGCTGCTAAATATAAATCAAATATTCAAATAATTTCTTATCTGCAAGCATTTTGACTTGACATAAAATAATTTAAGCTTTTAATTTTAATGTTGGACAAAAGTATAATGTTTCGTTGAAATTATTTATGTGTGCTAAAGCAAGCTTGAGTATCATGTCGCCCAAATATGCTTATATTTTATGACTTGATTTGCTTATTAATTCTGTGCTTATAAAGTGAAGTTTTCTTTTGAATGCATCATGATTTCCATTACGGGAAACAATTGTGTCACAATTTTGAAAAGTTTGTGACCCACTGGTTTATGCCATTGAGGTTTTTTTTGCCTTGCTAGTATTATCGCAGTGTCGGTTTTGCTTCAGAATTGCTTACACCTTTGGATCATTATTTAAATATCAAAAATAGAAAAATATAATAAGCAGAACCCATCATTTTTAGCTCCCCTTGGACATAGAAACAAGATATTAAGAGGAATTAAAACACTTCAGACTAAAGATACATCAACCAGTTCTACAACATTTGTACAGCCAAACCCAGGTATTTATTTGAACATGATTATTAAGTTCTAAGATTTTTCAATTCTGAGACTGTTCTTAGCTAAATTTTTTAATGCCAATCTACTTCCAGTTGTGCAGAACGGCAATCCTGTATTTCTACAAGCTACGACTGCACCGATCTTTACCACTCCTGCTGTCACACCTTCAGTAAGGGCGTCGCCAAAGCTTAATATAGGTATGTGAATCTTTTTTTATGATTCTAGATCAGACATTGGCGAGGTACTGGCCGCGGGCCAAATCCGGCTCGTTGGGTAATTCAATCCGGCCCGCCTTATGCTGCCAAAACCAAACTAAAATCAAATTTTGATGTTTCAGCTAAAAATAGCTCAAGGAATTTGTTGAGATTGCGGTTAAATTTAGTTTTGGCCAAGGCTTGATGTTTTCCACTTTTGCTTTGTAACACTGTAAATATTGTTCATAAAATGTAACTTTTTACATTACACTTACATGGCCCGCCAGTCTAGGTGGGTAAAATTTTTAGCCCCTGATTTAAAAACCTTGCCCACCCCTGCTATTAATCCATTTGTAGCATCAAATAGATTATATATCTATGCTAAAGATGTTTATTCATGATCACAAAATGAACTTTCAATGCATCTAGTGTTTATTTCTGAAAAAGAAATACTATTGACTAGCAGCCTTCTTCGAAAAATAGCATGAGGAAGATTATCATTTTGTTGGCAGCAGGTTGGTCTGCCATAGGGGGAATATACTTCCAATAAGGTCTCAATGAAATTGAATTGAAGCAAAAACAAAACCTAACAGTTCTGGCATGCTGTTTTTGTATGTATCTAGTTTGTGATGACCTGAAATCTTTGCAAACATCTTTCACAATTTGCCAGAAAATTTTTTTATCCTGGAAAATACCTAAATGTTCATTGTGTTTTTTTTCAGATGACAGCAGTATTCCTGATGAATATCTTTGTCCAATATCAAGAGAGGTCATGCTTGATCCGGTACTGGCACCTGGTAAGTTTGCAACATAAATTTTGCCATTGTGTAATATGGGTACTACAATAAGATTTATTTATGCTTTTCGCGAAAAATTTCAAATTTGTATGCTCATCATTTGCAGTGGCATTTTCATTAAACTATCATTTCATTAAATCAGCATTTCACATCTCATCTGGTTCCTGCTCTGGAAATAGTTTTATTTATGCTTTTCGCAAAAAATTTCAAATTTGTATGCTCATCATTTGCAATGGCATTTTCATTAAACTATCATTTCATTAAATCAGCATTGCTGGTTTCTGCTCTGGAAATAGTTTTATTCTTGACATTTTTGATTATATTTAAATGCACTTCTACTGGTATGTTGTTCGACTGGTGTGTTGTTCGATATCCATTCTAATTGTTGTTACACACTTTGGATATATGTCTTGAGCCTGTTATTCTTTGTGTTAACCTTCAGCTTATCAGTATGAAATTGATTGTTTAACACTTGATTTGGATTTTGTTTTTATTGTTAAGATTCACTGATTATATTGTATATTGTTGGTATCTTGCTGGTCATACTTGAATCACCTTCATAGCAAAAGACTAATGTGACATAGGCTGTTATAAATTTTTTCATGGTGGTATATATTATGTCTTGAGCCTTGTTCTGAGTTGGGGTTTGAGTATGCACAAAAATGTTAGAACGCCGTTTCATATCATTGCAGGAATTATTTTATTCAATCATTATTATTCATTCCATTCATTCCAATTTTCAATACAGTGAGGTATTACTCAGGCTGAAATCTATCTCATATTTATAGAAATCAGAAAATTTTGCTTACTTTGGGACTAATATGCATGTAATCGGCTATCATGTGATAATATCACGACTGCAGTGACTTATCGGCTTGGATATGAGATCATTTAAATTACAGGAAAGAGAGATATTAAGTTTAGTGTTTCGAAAGCTTCTTGACTAGCCTCTCTGCTCTGGGGTCCAAAACTTGGGTTTAAAAACGCCTGTCTGCTACTGTGGCATACTGGCACACATGTTTTGCTTTATACATAAAAAAATTTTAAAAGATGAACTGATTATAAGAGAAAGCGGTAATGGATAATTGATGCACATGCCTTTGTGTTATTGATCTTTGCTTTATTTTTGTTACAGATGGATTTTCGTACGAACGTACAGAAATTGAAAATTGGTTCAGACGTGGGAGTGTGACAAGCCCAATGACAAACAAAAAACTCACATCAAGGAATCTTGTTCCAAACCAAGCTCTTCGCACCATAATCATGCAATTTCTTGAGTCTCACAAGAAAACATGATTTGAGATTATAGCAAATTCATGATGTTATTTATCTTTCATTCTGTTGAAAATTGAGACTACTAAATATTACATTCATTTAACACCTCACCCAGTCAAAATTTCTCTCTCTGGAATGAATTGGCAGAGCAAGCTCTCCACACTGCCACTTATAAGCCTGTAAAACATGTACTTTGTTAATAAAAACAAACCTACATTTAAGTCTCCTGTTTTGTGGCAATGTAAAAGTACGGTTATTAGCACTGATTATTGGTGCTGCTGGCATATGAATTGTATTATTGAGATTTTTTATTTACTTCAAGCAGGAAGATGTATAGCTCTATATGTTTGAAATATTCCTTATTTTCTGCAGTTCAGGGTGTTCTATAGACTAGCTACACTGTAAATGTCGTTTCATATTTGTTTCTTACTCTGTTGAAGCGGTTATCTGACTGGGTTTGGTTTTAATTTTTTCTTTTATTGCAAATGGATGTAAATTTTTAAAACTTCTTTATATAACACGGATTGCCTTAATCTATGTTCTTTGATGTCCGCAAATCCTTTTGAATTGAGATTATAGCTTATTATACTCAAAAGATATTCTTTTGTCCTGCGATTTATGATTATGTCAAAGATAAGATGTTTTTCTATAAAGATAGACGGGAGAGACACATTGTTAAAGAAGCCAGTTCAGTCAATAATACTGCTATTCCTTCATATTATACTTTCCATATGATTATATATTTGTTATTTTAACCGGTAAGTATTATGTTATCCATATGGCACCAGTATTGATTAATGCTTCTGTCATGGATGTTTGTAATATTAAAATAAAAAAGGTGAAGTTGCAGCATTAGAATAGTGCAAAACAATGCACTTTCGAAATATTATACAACTTTGGAATCGTTTGCTAAATTTAAAAACTTATATTTTCGTGATTTTCTGAAATTCTTTTGTGTATTATTCGTGTATTAGTTCTTCAATTCCTCTGTCAATAATTTTTAATGATTCGTCCGTTATTGATCTCTTTTCTTGTTTAAATATATATAACTGCACTAAACTTCAAATACAAAAGATTACTTTTATTAGGTGAGCAATGGTATAACATTAACATCATATAACGCAAATCCGCACATTTCAGCAAGAAAATTATATGCACATTGTAAGCTATAATTAGCTTTTTGTCAGCTTCGGACAAACACCGGTGGACCAGCAAATTCCGCCTTCCTAGTAGAAATATCAGGAAGAAGACGCGATTACGGAGTCTCATATGTGTACGATATGGTGACAGCGCATTTGAACCCGTACATTTGCACCCGTATATCCGCGGGTTCAAACTATATGCGGGTGATAAAATCCATGGGTTAGGGTTAGTATGGGTCCAAATATCCGTATAGGTGCAATTGTCGTGGGTTCAAATGTAATGGAACCGTACGAGACTGGTATTGGACTATCTAGTTCCATGAGGGATTTTAACAACAATGTGTCTTTTCGAATTTGCCGAGTCTGGCTTGTCTTCTGCTGAGTTTCTCTCGGCCGATTTGAGATGTGGCAATCTGAAACCTATAGGTGAAGTTGATCGATCAACCAGGTTGGAATTCCGACTACCAACTGTGATATCTTCAGCGTCGCTCTCTTCTCCCTTTCTGGTACTGGCGGTGTTTAAACGAGAGGTTGAGGCCGAATGATGGGAAATTATTTCGGACATGAAAGGTGATTGCGGAGATGGAGTCGAAGCCGGAGCAGGTGGAGGCGTAGGTGGCGTTTCAGGTTCCGTAATTGCATTTCGGGACACTGTGCTTTTACTTCGCTTCGAATGTGATGTTTGTCTGGCCTCTGGAATTGTGTTCGCAGTGGTTTTGACTTCCATGTGTTCTTTCTCTTCCGAGGTTTCTTTCACACTGACATTTGAAGAGTGTCTTGTACGGCGTAGAAGACTTCGAATATCGTTTGGAAAATTATCTGCTGTTTCGTTTTCCGGTACCACATCTACCGTTCTAGAAGGATTAATCAGTGATTAGCAATCAGATGGTTACCAGACTATGCAAGTAGTAAGAAATGCCAATTGAATAATAACAAGAGAGCTATGCTCAAATATATGAACACGTAGCGCCACCCAATGGCAATAATTTTGATGACGTCATAGCGAAAAAAAAAGTAATAGCCTTCTGGAGAAAAATTTTATCTTCAACCACTGAAAATTTCAAAGCAATTGGTCCAGTATTCGAAGAGAAAAGCGACTTTTTAAAAACGTGTCAAAGAACAAGAACAACAACAAGGATAACAAGAACAACAACAACATAATATTGAAACGATCGTTATTTCCACTACGTGTCCAACAAAATAAAACATGTTTTGCGTGAATAGGTCGCCTGCTTACCATTTGCTTTTAGTCGTCCTAACCATATAACATATACTTGAATCCTATATGCCCCATAGCATCGCACTTTTAAATCAATGTATAAAATTCGACACTATCTAGTACAAATATATATATATATATATATATATCTAATACGGTAGTTAAGTAGACATACCGTGCTAAAAAAGCGACAGTTATGTAGACGGAAAAATTGGGTAGACATTTTCCTGTCCGCTTAATTATTCCACGTTCCATAATTAAAACGTTTTGCTATTTTTTGCTGAAATCTCTTTTTCTCTGATAAAACAGTATCAAAAACAATATGTTCTTTCAATATTTTTAAAATATCTGCATATTTTCGCCAACTTTAAGGGGACAGTAGTTCTGCTGGTTTATAATCAACGGGTATAATTTTCGTACACTAAGCGGACATTTTGTTTACGCGAAAATCTTTTAATTTTTCGGTATATGTCTTTACGATTTTTGGAGAGTAGGATTGATAATTTTGATACAATAACCAGGCAGAACATGAAGATCGTTCGTTCTGTTTTTTGCAATATAAGCTCAATAAACTGAAAAGGACCTCAATTCACAACTCCGTACTAAAGAGGCTTTGTGTCGCAATAGTAAAACTGTCGGGTTTGCCAAGAACTTTACCTACCACGTTTGCCGTTTTGTTCGCAAGTAACCTGGACGCCGTGAGGGGATCGGGATCTTCATGAGTGCGTGATTGCAGAAATTTAGATAAAATAGAACAGTTGTGTTTGGAGAAGCGATCCAAGTCTTTTGTGTCAGGTGTTATCAATTACCCAGTGAGTTGAAGTCGAGTCATAATAACTTGAAACAAGGTTTTCAACGTCACCGAAGAATGCTGCTGGAAATCATCACTCATCGGATAAGGTGATTAGTCATAACGATTTTTAATAATAGGGCTACTATATTTTTGTTCTAAGTGATTCAAGAGTCTTGCTGCACACTAACACAATTATATTTACTATGTATGTCTGAAGGAGTCTGATCTTGGTCAGACGAAACGTTACAGAAATATAATTGTGTTAGTGTGCATCAAGACTCTTGAATCACTTAGGACTGTAGGATAGTTATCTTTACTCTTGCTACAGCATCCTTGCACTATATGCATACGGATCCGCCGACACAAAAGCATAGAAGAAGGATAAGTGGTTAGTCTTGCAGAAACCAAATCATTAGCATATATTTTTGTTGTTGAGATTTTTCACTTATTCCTGATTATCAAAAGACTACTGATACTGTTATGCTTTTACTGGTCGTAGTTCTGATCTGACCATCAAAATATTGCTACGACTGGGTTTGCGTTTGTAAGAGTGTGTAATTCAGAAGGATTTCTAAATCCAGATGACAATACAAACGAAGATTGTGAAAATTCAATGAATTCAAATTTTTCTCGAAACAGAAGGAGATACGAGAAGCGAGTGGTTGACGCCACTTTATATAGGTTTGTATAGCTTTGTATAAATAAAAATATCTAATACACCGCTTCATATTAGATTAGAATATTTTATCTTCGGAAAACAGTTTTAAAGAATTGCATTGCTAGCAATTTTGTTTTGTGATTTGGCACATATCCCTGTGTTATTTTACCATCCTCATCTAGCTATTTACTGGGCTGTATTTTTTGTTCACATGTAAGTGACTCTCCAACGAGATGGCCTACGTTTCAGAACTTGGCAGACGGAAATGCGGGTAGTGATTCGGAGAACGCTGTGCCAGGAGGTGATTAAATTAGTTTGCTATGCTTGTTTTTAATTAAATACGGTATCTCAAATTGATACCAATGAATGGTAATAAACCAAATCATAATATCAATTGTAGCCCATCACAAATAGCGCGGCTATCTACGAATAATTGTAGTGCTCCGTTTAAAAACACTGTTTGGTGCTCCCGAAGTATGCGAACCAAGATGGCGGACATCGGAACGTAACATGGGTAACAGGTTAGGGTTAGGCGATAATTTTTTTCCAGTTTTCCTTATTTTAGTCCTATTATCAGTTCGAAGACTAGCCAAGAGCCTCCCGTAGTATTTATACCTAAAATTATGGACTAACCCTAACCTAGTACACATATTACATTCCGATGTCCGCCATCTTGGTTCGCATACTTCGGGAGCCCTCACTGTTTTATTTGAGTAATAATGCAATTCCCCATTTCAAACACTTCGTTTGTTCGGTCAATCAAGAGTACCGTAATTCTGAATTGGACTAGAACACTGTGATGATGTTTTGTGACTTATGCATGTATTTTTGACCAAAGTTTCAGATTAGTCAACAGACTATACCGCACCATCTTCAGAATCACTTTCAATAAGCAATGTAAGTGACTTAAAAGAAAATCATATATACGGAAAAGAAAAGGGCTGTAAATCAATTCCAAAAAAAGCTTCTAAATAAACGTGAACCAGAAAAGAAACGACGAAAAGAAAAATAATTGCACGGCTTTGTATATCTTGCGAGAAGTTTATTGTAAAGCTTTAAGACATCTCTGTATAATTCATAAAGATGAACCGGCAGTGAGCACATAATTTTGTCTCTCCTCAACAACTTAATCTAGTGGGCATATCCACATTCGTATACATACTTGGCATACATTTTTACTATTTAATTATAAATTCAAAATAACAATCATGTTTTTGTATTCCGAGTTGGTGCAAAAATTTTAAATAAATTGTGCAAAGATTCTAAATTGATATCGGGGTTGAATAATTTCATGTTGATCGCTTGTATAGTTGACTGTATAATCACTGCTATACTTAAGCGCGCCTTGATAGGTAGACATTTGAGTTATAATTGGTGTAATGTTTCTCATTTTAGTTGACATGGCAAAATTTCATTTCGCATTTATAGGCCCCACTGAAAACGTCACTTAATTGAACATTTGAGATATGTTGTGTGTAATGGTTCTCGATATTTTTTTAGAGAATTTCGTGTTTTAATTACATACCTTCTGAAATGGTCGGATGGTTGAAATTTTTTTTGAATGCTTCCTAATATTATTGTCATTCCAAAATATCATTTTGCATTTACATGACACACTTACGTAGCTGAGTAAATGACGATTTGCGATATATTTTCTGTATTGTTCCTCAATATGGTTTCAAAATTTTGTTTTAAAATATTTGTCACTCTCAAGTTATCGGATAGGTGAACATTTGAGATAAATTTTGAGCAATTTTCCACAACATCAAAATATGATTAGTATTCGAAATTTCGTATTTTAGTTATATTTCACACACTAAAGCGGTCGAATAAGTTGACATTTGAGATATATTTTGTGTAAGATTTCTCAATATGATTTCAGGAATTGGTTTCAATAGTTGTATGCTACACTTAGGTAGTCGGGTATTCGGACATTTGAGATATATATTTTGTGTAATGTTCCTCAATATCATTTCAGAATTTTCATTGTGATCGTTTTATGCCACACTTAGGTGGCCGGATAGGTAGACATTTGAGATATACTTTGTGTAATGTTTCTCAATATGATTTCAGAATTTTCATTGTGATTGTTTTATGCCACACTTAGGTGGCCGGATAGGTGAACATTTGAGATATACTTTGTGTAATGTTTCTCAATATGATTTCAGAATTTTCATTTCAATTCTTGTATGCCACACTTAGGTGGCCGGATAGGTGGACATTTGAGATATACTTTGTGTAATGTTTCTCAATATGATTTAAGAATTTTCATTTCAATTCTTGTATGCCACACTTAGGTGGCCGGATAGGTGGACATTTGATTTATACTTCGCATAATGTTTCTCATTACGATTTCGGAATTTTCATTTTAATGTTTTATGCCACACTTAGGTGGCCGGATAGGTGGACATTTGAGATATACTTTGTGAAATGTTTCTCAATATGATTCCAGAATTTTCATTTTATTGTTTTATGCCACACTTAGGTGGCCGGATAGGTGGACATTTGAGATATACTTCGTGTAATGTTTCTCAATATGATTCCAGAATTTTCATTTTATTGTTTTATGCCACACTTAGGTGGCCGGATAGGTGGACATTTGAGACAAAGTTTGTGATATTTCTCAATATGAATTCAGAATTTTTATTTCAATTCTTGTATGCCACACTTAGGTGGCCGGATAGGTGGACATTCAAAATATATTTTGTGTAATATTTCTCAATATGATTTCAGAATTTTCATTTTAATGCTTTATGCCACACCTAGGTGGCCGGATAGGTGGACATTTAAGATATACTTTGTGTAATATTTCTCAATATGATTTCAGAGTTTTCATTTTAATGCTTTATGCCACACTTAGGTGGCCGGATAGGTGGACATTTGAGATATATTTTGTGTAATATTTCTCAATAGGATTTCAGAGTTTTCATTTTAATGCTTTATGCCACACTTAGATACTTTGTGTGATATTTCTCAATATGATTTCAAAATTTTCATTTTAATTCTTGTATGCCACATTTAGGTGGCCGGATAGGTGGACATTTGAAATATATTTTGTGTAATATTTCTCAATATGATTTCAGAATTTTCATTTTAATGCTTTATGCCACACTTAGGTGGCCGGATAGGTGGACATTTGAGATATACTTTGTGTAATATTTCTCAATATGATTTCAGAGTTTTCATTTTAATGCTTTATGCCACACTTAGATACTTTGTGTGATATTTCTCAATATGATTTCAAAATTTTCATTTTAATTCTTGTATGCCACATTTAGGTGGCCGGATAGGTGGACATTTGAAATATATTTTGTGTAATATTTCTCAATATGATTTCAGAATTTTCATTTTAATGCTTTATGCCACACTTAGGTGGCCGGATAGGTGGACATTTGAGATATACTTTGTGTAATGTTTCTCAATATGATTTCAGAATTTTCATTTTAATGCTTTATGCCACACTTAGGTGGCCGGATAGGTGGACATTTGAGATATACTTTGTGTAATATTTCTCAATATGATTTCAGAGTGTGGCCGGATAGGTGGACATTTGAGATATACTTTGTGTAATATTTCTCAATATGATTTCAGAATTTTTATTTTAATTGTTATTAATTGTTGCCACACTTAAATGCCGGATAAGTGGACATTTGAGATATATTTTGTGTAATGTTTCTCAATAGGGCTGATGTTCATTTTTCAATTACGTGCCACATTTGAGTGACCGAATAGATGAACATTTGAAATCGAATTTGTGTGATTTTTGTCTTCATTAATGACATGAATTTCATTCTGCGGTTTCCTTCTGCGTATATATAATTTTCTTTTATTGTTTCTCAATAATATTAGCACTTTCATTTTTTATTTTACTATTATATACCACACTTCCTTTTTAAAATAATATTTCACACTTTAGCAATCAAATTGGTGATACATTTGAAATATATTTTGTGTATTGTTTCTCAATATGTATGGCATTTCAAAATTTTGTTTTTCAATTATATGTCACGCTTAATAACTAGCCATATAGATATGCGGATTTTTGAGATATATTTTGCGCAAAGTTTATCAATATTATTTGAATGCAATAATTTTGACTTGGTATTGATATCTTGACACTCACAACATAGCATCTGTTCAATCTATATGTTACACCATAGGGTTGGAATAGGCGAACATTTGTGATATGCTCTGTGTATTTCTCAGTTTCAAATATATATTACGTTTGAATCAATTTGTTTCGATTTGTCTACCTTCACGTTGCATTTTGAGTATTTTTTGACATGGAAGATTATTTCCTACACCAAACACAGTGCATCTCCCTTGCACAAAATACTGAACATTGAAAAAAAAATGCTATTTTCTGTGATAAATAATGCTAAATGGTTCGAATCCATCGGAAATTAAAGCGAGGTCATACGCTTTAAAATGCGTAATAAAATAAAAGCAGCATCATTTATGTAGACATCCAGGGCGACATATAAGAGGGGTCCGGCTTAGTGCCGAAATAGGCTAAAACATTTGGTGGTCTGAATTAAGTGGACGAATTAAGCGGACAAAAATTTTATATCTGTTATCGAGAGGATTGTGTTGACTCTTTTTCTCCGTAGTTGTCAACGGCTCTCGCGCTCTCCAAGTACGTATTTAAAAACAATGATACGGACACAGGAACGACGTCCGCTTAAGTACTGCAATTATGGCAGGTCCGTTTAACTACCGTAATAGAGTTATATATATATATATATATATGTACGAACTACAATTCATTATTTACAATTCTGGTAAATTATAAATGTTAAACTGCCCCGGCAATAGCAATCGCAAAACATAGATTAATAGATTAATTATTATTAATTTATCCATAAATACCGTTCAGAGTTTAACAATATTTAGTCATGTATGATTTTAGGTTCTGAAATGATTGTTAATGCCGCTGTTTGCATAAGTCGCATTTATATGTAGGATACTCAAGTGATCTAAAGCTCGTAAGCCTGCTGTACAATAAAATTTCATAGGTTATAAGAGCACACGTAGCAAGTTCTTATATTAATGGCACGTTGAAACCGGCGATGAACGGTATTATTATACTGCCAATAATGGATGGATAGTTACATATTCGAGCGCTGATACTATCGATGGTATAAAACATCACCAGATGTAATTGTTATCATTAAAACCTTTTATAAAACCTAAGATTTGTATACCATCGGTATCTACACACAATCTTTATTTTGCCTCTTACTCAGTGGAGTTGGATTAAACTCGTTCATAAGTTTACTTTTAGTTAACGGTTAGGGGTTTTGCTTTGAGTGAGCATAGAGTAGGATTTTCATCCCAGGGGAGAGGAAAGTCGATAAGACTGCTTAATCACATGGCGAATCATAGCCTCTCGTCCGGTTACCAGTCCATGCCGAGTATGGGAATAGTTAGCCATTTATTTGTTTCAGACGCATAGACCAGCGGTTACTTGAACCACCCACCCTACAGTGACGAGGAATCCAGCAATCATCTCGTGCATAATTATCCCCCACGGGATAAGAACCTGCAAACCCACGCATGGTAATCAGAGGTGCGGTTTCAGCGTATACCTAACGTTTAGTACGACGCGTCCTACCACCGAGCCAATGAAACGATAAACACACACAAACCTCAAATGCTTGAGTGTCCATGAGTTTATTGCTTTTTCGTGGTCGCCAATGGGCGTAATCGCGTGATTTCCTTTCATCCAATCAACGTGATAAGCGGTTGGGGGAACCCTTTGAGACACTTGCTTGTTCTCTTTTAACTTTGACTCTTTTTTTGCACCCAATCCTATACCGTGCAACGGTTCAAGTTGAGGAGGCAATCTTCGTTGCATCTGCATAATTCGTATTCGTCGCAATCGTTCCAAATGTCCCCTAATAATGGCATGATAATGGGTTATTTCATTTTTTCAGCATATTAGGCATTGTGCACGCTATGTAACGAGTACAATTTTTTCGATGCATACCCATTAACCTTCTATTAGGTCGGCATATCAATTTTGAATATGTCGAAACAAGAAATATCTTTTTAAATGTTTTTTGTTTCAACTGAATATTACTTAGCATCAGGAGCTTTATAATGTGCTCACATCTAACTAAAATAGCATAAGATATAATTTCAATAATGACATCACACGTGCCACGGTAATGCTTATAGAATGTGTGCAAATTGTGCAACTCTGATTTTACCTTCTTTGTTTTTCGTCACTCATTCCGCCGCCAAGCGATGCATGTATTGAACGGTGGGATTTTGTGTGAGGAAATTTTTTTGATAATGAAGCGTCATTAAAATCCGACAAAATAGCTTCCCAAAATCCAGTGCTTTTGTCGGAGTTTTTCGGCAAATTGAGTTTAACAAAATCTTTGTTTTCTCGTAGTAATGATTCCCTGAGAATTGCCAATCTTTGTAAATATCGATCTTGATGCACCTGAAGAAATTTTCTTCTTCCTTCACTCCATTGATTCACCGAATTTGAACTCGTGACTGTATACATAATTTTTAAAGGAAAAAATCGGTTAAAATTATAGTTTAAACATTACTGACAATTCTGCCAACGGTCGTCTTTATTTTACCACAATTATAACTCTAGTTATTCAAAATAACCATGCCAAATAAAATCACATTAGCGATCGCACATATCCTAGGCTAAGCTGCAGATCCAAACACGTTTATGCACAAGTACAATTTAACTGCTTCAGATAGTGTCGAGCCATGTATGCTGTAGTTTCGTTTTCATTTACACCTAAATCTTTCAACAAATATTATACCTCTGTTGATAACTTATACATCATCGCTATTGTCACTCAAAAATTCTTCAACGGAACGTGGTGAAGTTTCTTTCGATAACAAACCCACAAACTGTAAACATCTATAAATTGACGTCGATTCTTTCAACAATGGATGGCGTGATTGTCAAAATATGATTCAAACCACGCTAGACTAGAGTATGACCATGTTGAACAGTGTTTTGCCCACTTAGATAGAACAATACCAAGTTTAATCTATCTATGGTCGGTGGGTGAATAAACGAATATCAAACTAACGAGTTTGTCTAAAAATTGTTCTCTTTTGCATCGTAGCGGCAGAACAACATATGAAACTAGCCATTGTGAATTTATCTTATAAAATATATATATATGCTTGGTATGTACCAGGTCGCCGTGACGTACCTATTGCTTTTTTTATTTCCTTTATTGAATAACATAGTTTTTTTGGTTTTATTATATTTAGCACGTTTCTGTTAGACTTCCCCAATGGTGCCGCCGCTCGATAACCAGTATTGAATTTCGACGTCTTCTTTCACCCTGGAATGCGATAAACTATATCTATCTATCGTCTAAAAGTTTCTAAAATTTGGGCCAACTGTAATTTGAATAAGTAGGCTATATGGTACAGTACAATATATATATTTACGATAAACAGGTTCGCGATAACTTCGAATCATGCAATGTCTGGCTGAAATTCTTCGGTCACGTCATATATATTTTTTTCTGAACTGTATTAAACCGTAGTCTATATATATATATTTGTTTGTTTTCTGACCCTCAATGTGTAAACATACAAATGAGACACCAAATAGGGAACACCCGTAAATATTGCTACTGTTATTTTATATATGTCAATTAAATTTCCAGCTATCTCTTTAGTTTATATACATCTAAAGGACCTCCTGAAGTATGCGCACCAAGATGGCGCACAACCTGAACTCATGTTGTGTACAAGGTTCAGGTTGTGCGACATCTTGGTGCGCATACTTCAGGAGCACCCTTCTAAATATAAGTATATAAAGACCAAGCCATTTACTCTATTTCGTACGTGTTCGTGATCACTATGTGTGATTAATGATAATTTACCTTTTACGGTTAGGATACCTAGTCTGAATGCCTCACAATAGCAACCAGTGTGCTTTTTTTACGATATATATCTGCTTAATCCGTATTTTAGTATATTCTATACATGCTAATTCCAGAAAAAAAAATTGCTAAACAGTTTAAATCTGTACAGCTAAACAGTTTAAATCTAAAATGCAATGTCCGGTGTAGTGTTATTGTTTAGGCAAAAAAAATCGATTCAAGGTTTACAACATCTCTCTATGTATTGATTCATTTATACCCAACACTCAATAAATTAGTCCACATAATTTAATCGTAGAGGGGGTTATTGATTGCGGAGAATATCAAACATCAAGGAGTATATAGGTAAATATCACCATAACACCGACAGTAATTACTTTCTCGTTTGTCGCGGTATCCAAACAGTTGGGCATTTAAAGCAACGCGGACCAGAAGCCCAAATAATGCCATGAATAATAAATTGTTTATCGAATGCCTAAAATTCATTTGTGATGAGGAAAATTGAGATCGACGTACGGACGTACGGACTCTCGTGATCCATCGCTGACCTTGCTCAAAATTACATTCATATCATATATTCCTTGTGTTCTCTCACCACAGTTTTTTTTAAATGTAATATTAGGAGAGCTACGAATAAACTAGACTCTGAACTCATTCAGGTCCTCCTTTCACACGTTCTCGCATAATCTTGTACCCGAATACTCTTCAGATCATTTACATAGAAAGTCGCCCTCATGAAACTGGAAACAATAAACAACAACAAAAACCAACTGCAAATTTGTACAATAGTGTATATATAAACCTTCAAAAAGGCCCGTCGGTTCACCAAACTTTTGAGATATTTCTCGACAAAAATGACAACGTAAATATGCTTATATGAAACACGGTTGAACAAACCAATAACTCATCAGGATCTTTCTTTCGGGAAAAAAACTAGGCTATAAATTACCATGGGTACACCAAGCAAACCTGCGTTGGTCAGTTTAACGTTACTCAATTAATCTCAGGTATAAATATACGACGTGATTTTCTGTATTAGTATAAATTTTTATTATGGGCCATGAATACCGCGATATAACGTCTCTATAGATGATTGCTCGATACAAATGGTCACACGTGGGCCGTATTATTACCATGAATAAATTGAATTATAAACGGCATCATCCTAGAACCGACCTTACAATGTAAATAGAATATGCAAACATAGTTATCTTAAACTGCGGTTTCCAGAAATGGGAAAGTGGTTTAGGCTGAATGAACTGAACTTGTTAATGAGTTACTGGTGCGTCTCGAAGAAGTCTGTTATCACTTCTTTAGTGGTGGTAGCTATGACGACACCCTCGCGTTTCACACCAGAGTTAGAATTAGAGTTTGACCCAATCAGACGTCAAGTAACGTCAATCAAAACTTGTTGTAGATAGGCCGATAAAATTGGCAAAATAATTCTGAAACTTCGTCTTTTTATTTACAAATTACAACATGTGCGGAAGACACCTTATCGTGAAGCTGGAAAAATGTTAATGTTGGCGTAATCATTCATTGCATAAAATAACGCCGAGTAGCACAGCAATACCTTCACAGGTGTCCTTCACGGGATTCAAACCTACGAACCCACAGCGTGTTCTCCGCGCCGAACAAAGGGCTTACAGCACCATCGTGATCTACTCAACGTGAAGAAATTTTAAATGAACCCGGAGTTACATAAAGTATCCTCTGCTAATTCAAAGTTACCTAAACAACTCAATCTTAATTTCTAAGCCAACTTATTATGTTATATCCTGACTCTGCCACTCCGTACGACATTACTATGTCTAAAAGTATTTAAAAAAAAAAAATTCCCAATATTATGAAAACGCAAGTTGTATAGCTGTAATCGGAAGTTGTATAAGATTCGTAATATTGGGTAATAAAAAATGGTCAGGAATATTTGTTTTATGGGGCGAGAAGATGAAACTAGAAAGTTGTTAGAATTTGAGAGCTGTTAAAACCACGAATCAAATTATAAAATTTTATTATTAAATCGCAAACTATACTTTGTACAAGCAGAAGTCTCACGACATGCACGCTAGGAAAGTAGATGTCGAAGCTCGTGAATGTTCATCATTCGATGCTGACTGTTTTCTGAGAGCAGTTGCGGACGAGCGATCCCTTATTTTGTTCGTTGTTTTATAAATGATTTATTTGGTGATTATAGACAACATAACAACATTTGATTAAATTCGCACGAGCTTAATAAAGCATAAAATTAAATAATCATGAATTTAAAGAATAACTTTTTCATATGACAAAACGTACTTAGAATTGTATTTACCTGCAGTAGCCGTAGAAGGTACCAAGGTCACCAATTCCGATCTTCTTGTTAAAGTCGTTATTGCTGTGCGTGAATTTTTCATCTTAGCTGATTAATATTTACGACTGAAACACAAAATTGAGTTGTGGTTATATATCTGCACGACATAAATACCAATATGTCACGCCCAAAGACCTGGTAATATAGCTAGATGCCCTGGATTTAATTTCTTCCAAAAATAATAGAAAATTATTTCACGGTTAATAAAGTGAATGTAAGTTTTAGAAAGCGTTATTCCTCTTCAGGCATATCCTTTACTAGAAATAATGATGTAGTACACCGGCCGATGTCATTGCATTTATGGTACATACTGCCCAGTGTGGTGTATTCCTGCTCGAATATTTTTCTTTCCTATGCTCTTCGTGATATATTATTCAGCTCTTGTGTCTACGACCGGTTAGATCTATCATACATGACGTCCGCCCTCTTTGATGGTTAATTATCCCCGCAACTCTCGCACACATTTTACGGAAAATTGTTTAATTTAATAACTATTTACTAAAATGAGAATGAGATCAAGTGCTTAATTTCTCTCATGTCTATCTCGTCGATAATAATTAAAATATAAACATTTTTTTTAATGGAAATTTTTTGTTGGTTCACATGTCTTTATTTGTAACTAACTGCTTGTGATGGTTAGGAGTTTTGAATTCACACGTGAATTCATAAGTGATCAAAATGGAAAAAATATTTACAATTGCTTTGAGGAGTTACATCATAAAAACAATTTCGGATTTTAAATCCGATTCGATATCCAGCCATATACACAAATAACACGAAGTTCTATTGTTGTACCTTCTGGGTGGAGCCCCGTGGAGAAATTGTTGTTATAAGGTCAGTGTTTTTGTGTACAATTTGCTCAATGCGGATGGCATTTCAACGTTCAAATCCAAGTCTTTGTTGTTTTAACAATCGATGTTTTAGCCGCTGTATGAGTTGTTTTGATTTTAATACGAAGAAAAGAACAATAGTATATTGACACGGAATATTAGCACGGTATACTGACAACACAAAAATTTCAATCATATTTAACATGAAGTTTTTACATTTGCGGAAAACTGTGCGGAGACAAACAACAGAGCTTCATTCTCTATATTCCTTATACTATACGTCCACGTTTTTCGCGTTAGATTTTCTCTTCACACTAACATATGTTTGAGGCGCCTTTAGTAAACATGAACATAATTTTTTGCCAAAAAGTATTTTAAAAATTTCAGTAACACACGAATTATTTATTGCAAAAAAATAGCATCTAAACTAGGAAAGTGATATGATTTTGTCATTTTACTAAACATCAAAACTTTCTCAACTATTTTGTAACATACTAAAATCATAGCAACAATTATAAAAGCACACTATGCAATTAACAATTTTTTTAGGTTGCGCAGGCATATCTGCAAAGAATTCGACACGTATGAAAACAAACTTCTTTCACAAAACTACCACTCTTTTTCTACGCATCTGCGTATGTTAAACTTTGAAACTAAAAGAGCGATAGTGCGTGAACCAATCTTACTTTGCATCCTATGATAATCTCGTTGCACTGTCATAGAACCAATCTGAAATATTTTGCCTGTCGTTACACATTCATTGCCCAGACTATTTGTTCTAGCATGAAAAGATGTATTTTCAAACATGTCAGACATCAAACGTAAAATTAAATTAGGAAAAGAGTGGTGAAGTATTTTGTCAAGTACATTGTAAGACGTTCAATCATTTGTTTGTCTAGTATAGTCTCATGATAAAGAAAAGTTTTGGTTGGCCTCGTTATGGGTAATCTCTCTATAGTATTGGATGATAAGTGGTCACTAAAATGCTCGACACGTAATACCAATGATATACGTAGCACTGATGCGCACTAATTTTTAAAATTTGAAGATGAGTGATTAATTATGCAGATAAACTTTATTCATATAACCATTATTCATAATATAATTTTTTTTTCTAAAAGTCATATTAAAATATTTACCATAGCAAGGAACCTAAACCTGGATTAAAAGAAAACTTCGTTGACTTTGAGACTATCATTTTTAATTAGAAATCACGCGTAAACGAAAATCTATCTGACCTAGAACATTGGAATAACGCAGAAAAAAATGACCTACCCCACTCCTCATACTTTGTCAGACGATTATACTCGACTGGGATTGAAACGCGATAATATTTTCCGCGGGGCTACTTAATTATCTAATCCACCGAGTCTATCTGCCGTTTATGACAAATCGCCTAATACTCACAACAGATTTTAAATGACACCTTTGTGTGCCTTCTCAGGAATATACAATTGTAAACACTGGCAAAATGACGTTCTATTGATAATACTACGCGGCGCTTACGCTAAGTCCGGGTAAAGAAAACATGCGGCGCAGGACAATACTTCAAACAAGTTTTCCATGGCACTTGAAACTTTCAACGAAATATAGTATTTTATTTTATGACATGCGTAACGATATGGCATTTGACACAAGTATATTGTACAAAATTGACCTTCATATATCAGTAATTCGGACCTGCCTGACAGCCAGAGCAATATATACGTGAATGGTGAAATAGAACTACCAGTATATGTGCCATGTGAACTGTTTTTTTCTCAGTTTACTCACCACCAAGATAAATATCAAATCCCTTTTACGCATATTCGTTTAAATATATTCTACCGTGAATTGGGTATAACCATTATTTGCGCAACGTTTTCTTTCACGCAAAGCCCAATCACCAAAAAAAAATATATAATGGTAAATTGTATGTAACTAGGAACATTTTTGTCCAAAAAGCTTGCTTCGCTTTATCATACTATTATATTTAGCTGAATTGGGTGACTTGCCAACGACAAGTAGGATTTATTTCTTCAAGTACGCAATATCTCCGAATATGAAAACGTTATGAAGCCTCTAAAAGTACTTTGAACATTGACCTCTTAATCTTCAGATTCGCTAGACCACCTTAAAATATGTTTTCTGGCAACCCTCCTGATGCCAAAAAGAAGAAGGCAATGCTGATGCAAAATAAAAAATATTTTTCTTGTATGGCTACACTTATTGAGATCAATTATCTGGTGTACTGATTCCGGTCACATATGGATTGAAAATTTCGCTCTGCGCAAAATGAGTTTGTGACACTTTCAATATTTGAAGGCTTGAATTTTGCATTTTTTCTTACAAGGTTAGAGGCTATGCAGAGATTATGTAAGACGACAATTAAAAAAACAAAAAATTTTGTGCGCGCTACCTTTCTAATGAACCGCAAGGGATGAGTACAAAACAATGGTGCATATTGTTTTTAGATGGGGCCACGCAGTTCAAAACGTTTTACGAAGGACGAAGCTATAAACAAGAAAAAAATCGTCCCGATCCCATCGGCACAAAAAATAGGTCTATTAAACGTCGGAATAGGCACAAAAGTAACACCTGCAAAATATGTGTGACGCAAATTTAGTAGTGTGCGCCACTTACATGGTATATATGTGAGTTGAACGTGAATTCAGAATCAAACCAATGCACAAAAAACGAAAGAAACACGGTTATGTTATATAATGTCTTAAAACTGTTATAGAAACTGCTGCGCATACAGCCAAAGCATCAAGCAAAACTTAAAACTATTTGGAATATACGATGATAAAAACACACATTAAGTATCTCAATTTAGGACTGAAGAGTGTGTACAGGGATAACATCGGGCGTGGTTGTTGAGTTAAAATTTTATTCTACAGAGAAAGTAAAGTTATTCAAACTTGACAATGACCCAGAATAATAAATTGAAAAAAAAAAATGAAGTCCTGAGTAATTTATTGCAAAAAATCACTTTTTCATTCAATATAATAATTGTAAGGTATTTTCTGGATAGTCCAGTTTTAAAGCAAACGAGCCATTTTCAGCTGTTTATTAATGTTAAAGCATAACATGAAAAAGATGTAATTCAACTCCAATAATTCCTTTAGCATAATATGTAGAAGTTTTGTAAACTCATACAATTAATTATTAACTAAATATTGATGTGTGTCTCTTTCTTTAGTTCCTTTCCTCGGTCTAACCATTACGCTTGGTGGTGCATTTTCTTTCAGAGCATGAAATCTCCATGCTGCGGCAAGTTGTTGGACAGGAATTACTTTTTCTTCACGATTGTCGTCTTCAACTTTGCTTAGCTCTTCTGCGGAGAGAAGTGGAAGTCTCACTAGTCCAATAATGGGTGCTGCTAATTGACTCATAGGCTTACCTGAGACGACGTGATTCGCGCTTGACCAACGCCTGACTGCATGCAGAATATCAATTTCGTCAGCCTCGATATTTTCGCTTCTAAGTATAACACTGAGGGATTGTTCTGACAATTCCAGAAATTGCGTCGTTGTCAGTACTTCACGTGTGTTTGCTTCTATGAAAGATAATGCCCTCTGAAGAATTTCCTCCTGGCCATGTATGACAGCACTCTGCAGAACGCTACAAACCGAATCAACGACCATTGAGTCAAGCATATACCGAACAGACAATCTCCGCAGGCCATCTAATCCGTAATCGATTGACATTGCAAGTACATCAGGTGCGAGATTAGGGGTCAATGTGCAACAATTAGTGTACATGTAGTCAAGAGTGGTCAAAAACACTTCAGGTCGTACGTCAGCAAGAACGTAAGGCACTTCTTGATCCCCAGTAGCGTGTATTGACTGTTGTACAAACATGGAGCGAAATACCTCTGATCTAGCTGCCAAAATGCACCTATGAGCAGCAATGGTTTGTTTTAGTGATCCCACCACAAATGTTATATCACTAAAATCTTTTTGGTTTATACATCTTTTCCTCATTAAACTGTAAAACGACGTTTGGTCCCCTCGCATCAGTTTCTCTTCTTCCATCATAGATCTACCCTTTTCATTTAACCAAGCACAAATCGCTGAGAGTTTACACCGTCACTGGACTCTTTTGAAGACTTCAGTACAACCACATAACAAAGCGACTGCATAGACAATACAATATAGAATGGTAGCAATTTACTTTGCACTACAAATCGTAAAATTAGATTCTTCCGCTGAACGGCAACAAATTATTATAAACTTGTACACGCCCGTTGATTTCCATCCATCGCCCGAGGCGCTGTCATCGAAATACTTCCACATAACTGAAACTCACTTCGTTCTTTCAAGATTGCTACCTAACGTTTTAAACAAATGATAGCTAACCGCATCGTATTTCACGCTGAATCGTTTTGCTCATTTAAGACGGCAAAGGCGATGTTATTGTTCTAAATTCACTCGAGGCAACGTCATAAGAAAATACGTCACTTTATAATTTTTGCGGGCTGTGAAATTACCAGGCAAAACCTATATAACGAATCCCGTATGTGATCGCCATATAATATTATATTGTGCAATGATTCCACCAAAAAACATAACGCGGTCGCATAAATAACCCGTCTTCAATAATTTGCAAGTGCTGTAGATGTCGTCAGTAGACTACAATGTTTACTTCAATTTTAAATAATATCACAATAGAATTATTTCACCTAAATCACCAGGACATTTTGACTCGTGGTAATTATGTATCAATGACGCTTGCTTAATTGTGGTTGCTGTTTTTTTGAGATTTACGAGCTAGCTTGGAATTGGGACTTTCGTACATTTCAGCAGTTTGTTCTCATCTAACGTAATTGGCCACGAAATGATATACCTCATCTTCTAGAATGCGTAATATCTTAAGCTCGGCGATGTGGTGTGTAGTGCCTGTTTTAGGAATACGGTCGCCATCGTACCTCTGATTACCCTGCGTGGGTTAGCAGGTTCGAATTCCATGAAGATATAAGTTTGTGCGAGCGGATTGCTGGACTCCTCGCCACCGTAGGCTGGTTCACTTTACGCAGGTCGGTTGCGGCAAGAAATTGACTGATAGAAAAGGATTTACATATTCAACCCAGGAGAAATAAAAGCCGAAATCCTGCTGGTGGCAGAGCCTGCGGCGGAGAGGAGTCCAGCAATCCTCTCGCACAGAACTATCCTCACATGGGATTCGAACCTGCGGATCCACGCAGGGTAATCAGAGGTGCTATGGCGAGCTTAGTCCTGAAGCTTATCACGATGCGCCACACCGCTGAGCCGGTCTGGACAAGAGGCTGTGGTTTGCTATAGGATTAAGCAATCCTATCCACTTTCCTCTCCCATGGGATAAATATGCAAATTCAATGCCACCCATCGGTAATTTCAATGGGTCAAAGGTCGCAAAACATCAATTGGAATGGCGGGTATTTTCAATTTAGTGTGTCGTGAGTGAGGTATGCTGCGGACAGGATTTACTGATTTATGTGTATCATTTCGTTGAGTGATCCCTTATTGTGTCTAATGTTTCAGTGGGATTTCGCGTGACCCATGATTCATGAAGTTTCATTGCCATTCTTTTTTCCCTTAGCATTGGCAGGTGAGTATGTTTACCGAAGATTTAATAATGACTGAATTAGACTCCAGTTAGTCAGTAGGCAGGTAGGGTTAATAATCGGATAGGGTACCGTAATGGGGTAGATATTTTTCATTGTTTTTTTTTACTGAGAAATTTCGGTACTGGTCGACATTAACAATTGCACCATGAGCACTTTTACTGTTTTAGGTTAGAACTGTAGAATGAGGGCATTTTAATCTGTTATGCCTCAACAAATCCTGCTAGTGGCAAAGCTTAAAATCGTGTCCTGTACCTCAAGTACCGTACTTCTTGTGGGCGTGGCATAACGATTTTGCCCTGACCCCCAAAATCTTGAAGTTTATAACTCATTTATTTTAAGAAGATTCAGAGATTAGAAAACGTAAATTCTAAAGGTTTTCAAATTTAATATATAACGCTAGTCTACCCGTATGGCTACTGGTGACATCAGGAACAATCTAAAAAAACTCCAGAAACAAGTTTCTTTTGTGCAATACCCTGATGAGCTGGATTTTGAAGGACTTTCCAAGGGCGATGTATCAGCTCATCTGCCTATCCTTTATCATGCCTTTTTTAACTTTAATTCACGAGTTGTTGAAAACATAACCAAGCTCAATTACAGTTTGGCGGGAAAAAGGGATTCTGCTTTTGTCAACGTTATTTTCAAAATTATGCGAGAACATAATCCAAAGTGTAATTTAACATTGAAGATTGGGCAGTTCATGTCAAAAGGATTTGCAGAAAGAAAAATAATCCTCACCAAGGAGATATTAGAATTTGTTCGTACTAGTCCAAAACTAGCTGCGAATGATGGTAAGCCCAAACCAAGGGCCAAAACAGCTGTTAGTGTCGCTGCGATGGTGGGAGCAAGTGGTATATCTAATGCAAACATGAAAGTACCAGATGTAAGTTCCATTGCTTCGAGTCAAGAAGCTACTTTAGTCCATTCATCACACTTGCAATCTTCAAGTCATAGCATATTAAGCACTGCGCCAATAATGCAGTCAACTGCGCGAAGTGTCACTAGATGTAAAACTGTACCTACTATAAATTATGTTTCTGAAATGGAAATTCTTCATTCTGTGTCTCATGAGGATGAGCCACAATCCTTCAGAAGTACCGTTGTTTGTCATGCGAGCGATAATATTCAAAACAATGGGCGAGTTGGTGAAAGTGACAATGTGGAATACGAGTCGAAGGAAATTTATTTTCGGGACGAGATTAATGAATTGCAGGAAAGATTGAAAACTTTGGAGAAAGTTGTTCGAGAAAATTCAAAATTAAAAAGTGAACTCGAGGAGGTGAAAATGGAGAATTTAAAGTTGAAAAAAGAACAAACAATACTCAAAAAAGACTTTGAAATTTTCATAGGACAAAAACAACAAATTCCTTCCAACAATATCGTTGCTCGCCTAGATATTATCGACTCAAAAATTTCAGTGATTGAAAATAAACAGGCAGACCTTCAAACTCCTCCAAGTCCAGTTTGTGGTGATAATCTATGCAGTCATATGCAAAAAATGCACTTGCAGAATAATGAATCATTTTTAAACACATCTCAGGTTACGGAGAAATCTCTTCTTGATGTGACAAATGATTCACCAGCAGTTGACACTCGGCAAAAAAGCATGAAGTTGTTGCAACTGGTTCAAGGTACGAGGACATTACTGGGCCTCAGTGACATGTCAGGTTTAAATCAATCTACAGACAAAGTTGATGAAAATAGTCCGCCTAAAGAGTGAACTCGATTATGGTAGAGATTGAAAATACAGTTACCTAATCAGCAAAACATCTTTCAAAAATGCTAAATTTCTATGTCCTAAAAAAAATATTAAATCTGTAATTTTGAGCAATTTCTAGCTACTAATGACTTTTGCAATCTGGTGTACTTAGCTGCTGGTCTTGTAAGATCTATGTCCAAACCATGACTAATCTATTGTAAAGTATTTTAGTTTTGCTGGCATACAATGCATAGATAATCACACTTTACAATGCTCTAATTAATATCTATTCACTCTCCTAAGTTGAGATAACCTATGAGATCATTGTTTTTCCAGTTACTTATTTCAAAAATCAGTAAAGTTTGGGGTATTCAGGGAATTTCTGGTCAGGTTGCCATGCTTATATTTATATAACAACTAAGGCCATAGGTGGCCCTGTTGAGTGACCAAATGTACATCTCAAAATAACAGGGAGTTTATATAATATTTGCATATAATTAAAATGCCTACATGTAACTGTGACTGATATTCAACTTAAAAATGGGGTGTGTCGAAAACGTTTTGTTCCACACTTGTCCAAAATTTAGGACGCTCGCTACATATGAATTAATCCAATATTTTTTTCAGTAGTATTATGTTTGCCTTGTTTACATAATATATATCGTGATGAATAAGATCTATAAATTAGTGTTGTGTTTGGTTGTTTAGTAGGACTTGAGTTTTTCTCATGCAAAGAATTATATATATACTATAAGAGTATAAGTTTTTATTTCCACCCACCCACAATAGCAAATAATTCACAGTGTGCAGTTTTCAGTATACTATCCGATGGTTGGCGAATCGTGCTTTGCGTTAGACACATAACTGCGTTTGCACCAAAAATTATTCTGCGTAGTTTTGAATCCCGTGCTGGATAGTAATACGGAGAGGATTGCTGGACTCTAGTCGTAGTAGTAAGGTGGGTTACACTTCACATAATCGCTGATTGGTTACAGCACCTTCACCATAAAGTCCGTGAATGTGAAGCGAGTAACAGATTAGAAATCGCCACACCGGTATGGACTGGAGGCCACGCGTGACGCGTCAAGTGATAACGCCTTATTAATTGAGGACGACATAGATTCTACGTCACAGACCGAACAACATTTCACTGGAGCCTTTTTCCTAAACTCGACTATTGCACGATTTTTGCGCGGCGGTGTGGCTCGTCTTGCTAAGCGTCAGGAATACGCTCGCCACCGCACCTCTTATTACTATGCGTAGGTTCGCAGGTTATGTGCGAGAAGACTGCTTGACTCCTCGCCGCCTTAGGGTGATTCACATAATCGCTGGTCGGTTACGGCTTCCTCTATCATCAAGTCCATGCTTCCGAAGACTAATAACTAACTAATCCCATACCCTGCCTGGACTGGTAACCGGACGAGAGGCCGTGGTTTGCCATATGGTTGGTTATGCCGTTCTTTGCGTTAGACGCATAACTGCGTTTGCATCAAAATTATTCTGCGTAGTTTTGAATCCTGTGCTGGATAGTTATGAGGAGGGGATTTCTGGACTCTAGCTGTAGTAAGGTGGGTTACACTTTATATAACCGCTGATTAGTTACAGCACTTTTCATCATAGAGTCAATGAATCTGAAGCGAGGAACTGGTTAAAATTTGCCATATATATCCAATATGGACTGGAAACAAGACGAGAGGCGGCCATGTGATTACGCCTTATTAATTGAGGACATGGATTCTATCTCACTGGTACATTTTACCTAAACTCGACCATTACGCGATTTTTGATGCTCATTTTGAGAGTGGTTTCGTGAGTTGACGCTAACTAACTCGTACACAGAATTTTGACTATCAATTTCAAGCATCTTGAACTTCTGGGAGGACGAAACGACCAATTAATTTATACCCAAATGATGATTACAAAAAGTTAAATATTACTCACCACGGATACGATCGAAGACTAAGCAAATTGACAATGGCTCCGTATACCTAGTGTCATTCGTCTCTTCGTTTCCTGATGTCAAAGAGTAATATTCCTCGATCTCCTATTATTTTAACTTTCATGTTTTATTTTGGGGGAGGAGACAATATTACCTCAAATACCTTGAAACACTATTCTCAACCCGCCAATCAATATATGGTGTTCGAGATTGATACAGTGATGAGTGACACAAACGTCGCTGATAACGGTTAAGAAAAAAAAATCCGACAACAAGCGCCGAGTCGATGGGCCGGGCTTGAAAACCATTGGTATTCTGTGATATACCGCGTTCGCTATATTAATTAAATCTTCTGTAGAAAAGTTAAATTGCACAGGAACAAGTGACTATGCCTGGTCTGGCACGATTCAAATTTGTAAGCGACATTTTATTCACAATATAAAACATGTTTTCTTTTTCTCGTGTGACAAGCAAAGTAAACATTAATACAAAGAGATGTTAAACGTAGTTACACGAGCTGATCTGTTCTTAGTTAAAGCCCGTGTTGCGATGACTTGTTCGCAAGGTCTGATCATAATAGGGTAAAATATTCAGAAATATTATTTTTATATATATATATATGCTCAAAAAGATGTTTCAATTATTCAACTAATTGTTAAATTAGTGAAACAAATAGTCTAATATTTTAAAATACCTTATTATGTGAAATACTCGATTGTTACATAATTACTTTGTATATATTGTGAACGTAAGGGTTTCAGGAGTCCATCGTAATTTCTGAATCAAAAAATACCAATCAAACCCCGATATTCCATCCATCACGTATTTTTTATTATAAATTTTATGACGCTTTGTTCATTTTACTTTGATTACTTGATTTGGGACAGGCTTTACATATTTATTTAATAACCTATTTGCGGTACTTTTTAACTAACTGGATACGCCGAGTGCTTATAAATACCGTGTTTTCCCGAAAAAAAGGCCTAGCCTGAATTTTTAAAATGATTATAAGCCTTCCCCTTAAGATAAGACCTAGTCGAAAACTCGATATTTGTTTAGACTTAGTCCATAGCAAGAAATCTCTCCTACACGTTTTAAATGATTGATAATCTATGTTTTGCAGTTGTTTTGAATAAAAACGTGTTATTTATAAGTAAATGGATATCGGTTTTCATATTTTGTATATTTGAAAATCTCGTGAATCTCTACTTTTCAATTTTGTTTTTGATAAATATAAAAGACATCACCCAAAAATAAGCCCTTAAGACCCAGTCTTATTTTCGGGGAAACACTGTATATATTCAGAATGCCACAATTGCTTAAGACATGTCCGCTCGTTTCAAACCCTAATCAAATGAAAAATCCAAATAATTCACAAGTGTCAATAGTATAATGATACTTAAGAAGTTAGAAAACACAACACCAACGATAAAATTTGTGTATTATTTTTTATGTATTACGTAGCTCTGGGGTAGTGCTGAAAAATTATTCACTCCATTTCGAATGAAGAAAAACATCCCAAGCATTCCACCAGCGAAATAGTTTGATAGTCTCATCATCGGGACGGATCACTCCAAAAGTTACAGACGACAAGGCTTCAAACGTAAAAATTATCATCACCATCAAAAATATGTAACATATGGATACTGCTTTCCCACTGAAAACAAATAATAAAGTGCATTGATTTAACCTTTAGTTTAGGCTATTATGTTTCTAATTTATTATTATTATTTTGAGCTTACCAGACTTTTGTAATAGATTCCACTGCACATGCATGTAACATATGTTTAAAGGGCAATGCAGGCAGATAGTTATATAAAAACAATGGGCGATCACATGATAGGCACCAGATCATATGCAATAACCATCCTGATGACAATATTGTAAAGGCATATGCATTCTTGGTCCACAGTTCTGAAAATATAAAATACAAACAAGGATTAAAATAAAGTTTTCTATCTTTCTGGCATTCACTGATAATTCGTAATACCATACCAGCAAGCACAGTAGATGTCACAGATTCCTGACTTTGAAGAATGGCAACTCTCATAAAGCTGGCTAAATACAGATCCCTAACAAATAGTATAAGCAATCAGTTTAACATCAAAATACCTATATCAATGGTGATCATTTTTCTTTGCATCTTCATTGCCCATACAGTAATCATCAATCCGTAGAGAACAGAGAAACAAATCCCAGCACACCAAGATATTGGGTTCCCAGCCAAATGTATTTGAAAATCAAATGTCTGATTATGCCAGTATGGGATTGTTGATTGTGCAAGAGGCCAGGTGAACGGTGATGAAGCATGTATGTGATCAGTTGTTGTTGATCGAGATAATTCATACATCAGCATCTAAACAAGAGATTACTAGTGATACTGAAAACCTGGATTTGAACAAGATTCCTGTTTCAAACTGTTGAAAACATTAATCAGGATTTGATTACGAGGATGTACACAATACAATGATATCTATGAAGCGGAAAATTGTATGTTATTTTAGAAATCCTGTGGCGAGATAGAGTATTGTTATTGTTTTGTGAACTTCCGATCAGAGGGTTTAAGATTGAATATTTAATACAAAACTTCTGAAACAACATGTCAATACCAGTGGCACAGTTTAAAACAATTTTGTCAATCTGCAAATGGGGCTACATCAGGTGATCGCGTCCTTCTCGATGCCACAAAAAGTATAACTTAATGATTCAAATTGATCATTTCGAATTAATAGTACAAGACGACAATGAATGATGAAGGCTACTGTGTTTAGATTTTGTACAGTTTTATATTAATGAGCACTTGAGGCAGTTTAAATATGATTTATATCTCTTTAGTTTCCCGTTTTTGCAGATTATGTGAAATTTTTATGTTTCTCAATGCCAAAATAAGATATAAAACTGGGGCGAGATTCAGGCACTTCTGTACTCAACACTTCCTCCCATCATTGCAATAAACCAGACAGACATTTTTAAAGTTCATTAAATTTTTCTCTTACATGTGTTTCAAAGAATTTATCCCAAAAGCCTATCTCCATATTGTCATCATCTCTTTCTTCATCGGTAAAATCATCATGGAATAATTCCTCCGCTATCCATTCTGTATCACCATAAGCCCAGTTGCTTTTCTGAACATCGGACACAACTTCATAGTGTCCTGATTGCGAATATGTCATGTCTGTAACCTTTAAAATATATAACTTTATGTCAGTGGTTTTTAAACTGCACACTAATATGTCATGAGAGTTTGTCAGGTGAAACACCGAGTTTTAAATTAACAGGAAAGCAATTGTGTCCACAAGTGTTTAAATATAGCATAAATCCACTCAATATTTCACTAACTCTATTTGCTATTCAGTTATTGAAGCACATTAACTTTGTTTTTTTCGAAACTAATTTTGATAATCATACAAAAGTATTTTGAATAAGATCGTTTATCCAAATAGAAAGATTCAGTTGGGCAGACGTTCAAAAGCAAATATAAAGAAGATGACATTCACTGTGGGTTTATTAGTTCGGGGTCAGGGGATCACCAACAATCACACCAATTTTTTGAATTTTTGTCAGTGCTAAGAAAGCTGAATAAGTTCGAGAATCATCGCCTTATGTTATTCCCTAAGAAGTTCGTAATAGTCAGTCAAATTACATCAAATATTTGCAGGATATCTATAACTTAAAAGTTTGGAAAGCCCATTAAGATAGAAGACAAGGTGAGTGCCTGCAAATTTCAAGCAATAATCACATCAAGTTGTAAAATGAAAAACAACGCAATATTTTGAATTCATACATCAAGGAGGTACTAAATTGTATAGAGCTCTACATGTTGCAAAGGATCAATAGTGTATTTACGTAAATGAAAGAATCTTCTCATTATTCCCGTAAATATTTCAAACGTAAACATTGTCAGTAGTTGGTGCTTAAATTCTATAAATGGTTTGAACTGAAAACTAACACGCAACATTGTTTCTGATGCATTGTGGATAAATTGAATCTTGTGATATAAAGTTTTCCACTTGTCATTGTATTTTGATGTCTTCAGTTTAATTGTCCATAAAGGTTCATATGGAAGGTCAGAATCTTCAGAGTAACAAGAAACCTTGAAATAGCAAAACAGAATAGGTGCTTTCACACAATACAATTAGAACTAAAACTGATCAAATAAACCAATACCTTATCAACGATACTACAAATTAAGAAATACACACAGTTATACACATTTTTGGCTTATTAAAATTGTGGTTATTCAGACATATAGAAATTCATAAAGATATTGGCAATTTTAGGAATCAAATTGATTAAATGCAAATACAAGGCAATCAACGACATCCTAACGAACATTAGGTGAACTGTTAATGGAAAGAGGAATTGAAAATAGCTATTTATGAAGTAGTAGATAGATACCTCATGTTTATAAATTGATAAAGGTCCAGCAGCCTCATTTGCTTGAAGTTCATTGTTCGTTCTGGAATGAATCAGATGTAATTGATCATCATTATGCAATTTCTTGTTTTTTGAAGCAGATTCATAAGGCGGTGACACCAACCACCAGTTACGAGCCTCTTTTTCTGGAGTGCAGCTCACCATCTGTTTAGATTAGGAAATGGTAATGTTGGGGCTAAAGAGTGTCTATACATCCTCTATAAATGATCGAGTTAATATATGTCGGATCTGCCTTCAAATAGTTCAATTTCATGCATATTTACAACAAAATTGTTATTAAATTGGGATTTACTGCAGAAATCACATGAAGTAACCACTACCGGGCTACAATACAAGAATATTTACAATTGAAAACAGATTTTAATTTCAAATATTTCAATTACTAGTGAAATTTTACAATGTCAGAGAAATTTCAAGAATACAATGTCTTGTTCTCAACCGAGTAGGTACAACCTGTAGTTGAGAGCTATATCTTCCATCTTCATATTGCACTGGATATCTTTTATTGGATGAAGTTAAGTAGCATTTTTTAGACACTGATCTTAATGTGACATAGCTGAAATAATTCGGTAATATTAGACTTATATTGATAACCATAAAAGTAAAATTACTGTAATATATTCATGTCACATTGATTTATACCACATGAATTAACGGATCAAAAATTTACATATTAGGAATTGGAGAATAAAAATAGTACAATTGGGTAGGATTTCCATATCTAGTCAGACTTTTTTGTCTCTGCGATCTGTAATCTTTTTTAGTTGGCGATGATAATGATAAATAAGAGTGTGTATTTGTTCATTGCAATTCTGGACACGTAACTGTGGAATTTCGCCGTGAACGACGAATCCGTTTTAGTTCATTAAACGCCTTACGTCGTCGTGAATTGCACTTTTGGTTCACTGTTTTAATTTCACCGTAACCCCCCCCCCCTCCAAGTTGGAAAAATCCTGGCTGCGCCCCTGGACATATACACTAGTCACATCTCACAGGACGGTGCTTATTAAAGTTAGTTACCAGAAAAAATTATTACCTGCCATAAACAACAGTCCTGCTCTTGAAATCAGGACTATTTGAGAAGGATGCTTGAAATGCAGGAGATAACTGTTGTTGATGGGGACCAGGTAGAGGCAGCAATGCGAAATGAAGGTAAAATATCAGAATGTAGACTAGTATAGGAGTCAGTACAACATAAGAGAAATATGTCACAGACGAGAAAACAACAGATTTCTGAAAAGGAATTATATTTTGTACACACTTGTAATTTCAGTTTAATATGTTTCCTTTAAAAAATATGATAAAAATTGAAAATTTACATGGCATAAATTAACAATGGATATTAATCGACTACATAGATTCGCAGATAGAATGTTACAAACACAAATTTTGCATTATAGTATTCTCTCCACTCAATATACGAATAATAGATTGTTTCATTGTTTATTTAGATGAGTCCCAAATTGAATGATCCAGAGTTGGAGAAACGTTTGCAGATAGAAAATGAGGAAATTAGAAAATCATATTAGAAATTATAATATAGTCAATGTACATTTATCAGTCTCAGATAGGCGTATGTCTAACCCGCATAACATTTCAAGTGTAATGAGAAAAAGACACTGATAAAACTTCATCTCACGGTTCTATACTAAAGAAGACATAGGCTACTGAAGAAGTTTTGATATACCAGTAGTACAAATAGCAGAACTATTAAACTACCATAAGACATACCAATGAAATGTTTCCGTTCGTAATAATCTTCCACAATTTTTCTGCAACTATATATAGTATAACAATCCATGTTACATAACTTGAAGTACTCAAACTCAGAGAAATACCAAGAATTATTCCAGTTACTATTCCGTTTTCTTTGGTCATTGAAAGTGATAAACATATTGCAAAATATTGAAAACATAGTATGATTGAATCGGGAAGAAACAGTTTGCTCTGGACAATAAGTGCGTTATCTGTAAAATGAATATACATTGATTTAGATCTAAAGTAACACACAAACCTTTTCATCTGCAGGCCATTTGCCAGTTCCAGCAGAGTCAGTGGACCACACAAGTTTTAGTGAAACATTGAAACCTTTTTTCCCAGAATTCAAAAATAAGAAAACACATTATCGATGGAAACAGTGGTTCGCAACCTCCAGCCCGCAAATCTTTGAAATTTTTGTGGCCCTCGAACCACCTCACTTTCAATGCATAAAAACAAATATTTCTCATAAATTTATTAACTAAGCATATTGCTTAAAGGCGGAAATTAATGTGGCCCATTATTACCGGTACATAACGTTTGCCGATCACAGCATAAAAAGTAAGAAGTAATGAGATAAAATAAAACAATTCTGAAAAAAGAAAAAAAATCACCGATAAGTCAATTTTAAAAGAAAAGGAATTGTAATACAAGGAATTGTAATTGTACACACTATCATACACTAAGAAAAAAATAAATTTAACAATTCTAATCCTACAGCGGTTAAAAATACGCCAAACACTTTCAGTATGCTAAAATTCTTGATCCCTCTGCTAATAATTAAAAAATGAAACAATACTAAATTTAATTGCTAATTAATATTGCAACTAAACTCACCAAAAACAACAAGAAAGGATGAAATAAGTGCAGCAAATGCAGAAAACTTCAGTGATAAAATAATACTGAAGACGATGATTGGAAGTAGAACACCACATATAGCAGCTGGAAGACGAGCTATCCATGCTGGATAATCATCTGGAAAGTCTACAAATCATAAAACAAATAAATCAACCGAAGTTATTTGAGAGTTTGCCATTCAGAGCTTTATTTTTTATTATTTTACTATTTGCTTGTGTGTTGTTGCTCAATACCCAGCATTCGGGTATTTTAATGACTCCTTCGACTTCAATAATATGAGATTTATTTTCGACATGTCAAAAGTCAAAAAAAAAAAAGACAAAAAGACTGATAACTCAAAATGCAATGCGGAAGCAAAATATTTCTGCAAAAGTTATTAGAGATTTGATCTTAATCATAACAAAATCACCTTTTCCGACTTTACTCCAAATATTTTGATCAGAATGTTTCGGTAAAATTAGTTGCATCAATATTTTTGCACCAGGTGGTTCAGAATCAAGATGAAATTGGCCTTGGTGGTAAAATTTACATATTCTACCGTAGTGAACTTCATCAAACCTGTAAAAAATGAGTACATGAGGATTCATATATCATAACAATGCTCCCAAGCACCATGCTTACAAATTACAAATTTAAAGCCTGATCACAGAGTATTTTTCACTTGTAGTCTATGTCACGAGGCAAGATGGCCCATGTAGTTCTCACAGAGTCCAACATTTCAACCAAAATGCTATTTCATTTTAAATCATATGGTGACACTTAATTCTGTTACGCCTAACAATCTTCATCGAGGTTGTTTACCAATCTTCTCAACAAACTCGGTGCTTAGCCAAGTTATTGAACCGGTACCTTTTGTGTATTTGCGCATTGCTCTCTTGTTAAAATAATTTAAAATGAAAATGGTATTTCTTATACTTATATAAATGCAAAATGTTTCATACTTACACAACACTACGTGGTGTTTCTATATGAAGAACAATAGAATAGAAGGATTTTGCAACAAGAGCAACCAACAAAATATGTACAATTCTCATTTCAGTTTAATGGTATATGCTCTGAAAATAGTATAAAACTCATAGTATAAAATGGTCTCGTCGGTGTGGTGCCTTTACACCTCTGATTACACTGCTTGGATTCGCTGGTTCGAATCCTGCGGGGAAATAAATATGTGCGGAATGATTACTGGACTCCTATCAATGTTTGCCGAGAGAAATACAGAATACCGAGAAATACAGCCACACTGTGAGGTATGACAAAGATTACAGATTTGACACCATTCACATTCGAAATATGTGTTTTAAACCTTATTAGAAGTTTTGTCAGTTTTTCAAATTTTCTTAATCATTTGCGTGTTTATTGTTTAGTTCTGTGTATGCTTTTTCGGTAAATCGATAGTGCAGCAATGAGAATCAATGAAGCCAGTCTGAAATTTTTGATCAAATAGGATGTTATAAATGTATCTGGGTGCAATCAGCTAATAGAGAGACTTTGCTTTGAACTTACTAAGAGATAATACAATATCCCTGTAATTGGTTACCCCATTCTCTAACGGGTTTCTGCCAATTTCTGAATTTACATACGAAAACGGTATCCGTATTTAAGTGACGAGCCTTTCCGCATATTACCCATAACGGTAGATAGATTATTTCGAAAACACCATAACACACACGAATTAAAAATGTAGAATTCTGGAGAACAAGCCCAACCTTTAAAAAAGTTTAAAACATGAGAAAAATCATGTGCCTGCCCACCAGCACACACACCCACACAAAAACCCAATTAAATGAGGCTTGGGCCAGAATTGAACAAATAAAATACCCGGTCTTACTACTTACTGAATACAGCGCGAAACACAGCAAAGAGCGCAAAACAGCGTGAAACAGCGCGAAACAGCGCAAAACAGAGGGAAACAGTGTGAAGCAGAAAAAAATTTTGCAATGAGTTCGGGGCACCTTGTTTTGAGTTGGAGTACCACGGCAGCAAATTAAAAACACATACCAACGTATGTAGCCAGTAATGCTGTAACGGCAGGTCTGCCCCTGCTGGTGACACATTTTGGGTACCATAATTTAGAACATTATCCATATGGATATGGTTGGCTTTAGGGTTAGGGTTAGGTAAAAAGGGACCTCCAGAAGTATGTGCACCAAGATGGCGCACAACCTGAAAATAGTATGTGTGTGTGTGTAGCAGATTCAGGTTGTGCGACATATTGCTGCATATACTTCTGGAGCACCAAAAAGGTAGATAAAATTTCGAATGATGACCTATAATCCGGTACATAACCTTGTAAATATACCGGAAATAGCACCATAAAACCATGGCGATAGGCGCCGTGGTTCTTTCATGGCAGGAGGTGGTAATGACTGCGTCTCCTGTTTTGCGCTGTTTCCCTCTGTTTTGCGCTGGTTTCCTTCTGTTTCGCGCTGTTTTCCTCTGTTTCGCGCTTTTGGGGTGTTTCGCGCTGTATTCAGTAAGTAGTAAGACCCTAAAATACCCGATAGTATTTCGGACTGTTGTACTTTTAACACTTACCGGTACATTGATAATAACCAATACAATCTCATTCAAAGATAATATGGGGAGTGCAATGCAATAAAGTGACGACAATGGTCATTGAAGCTAAGAAAAACCAAGCCACGAGAACTACACTAGTGATTGCTAGACTATGCATTGCTGAAAAGGTGATAAAGTGGTTTAAGATACAAACAAACTCAAAACTCTGAAGGTAAATTCGGTGTATGGACACTAGTAAAATAAATTATCAGGAAAAACACTAATCACACGTTTGTAGCCTAATTGATATATTGACGCGGTCGTGACCAGCATTGTTAAAGCAATATACACACAAAGAGAACAAAACAAAAATATGCCATTAAATGAATGTTTAAAAACGTTGAGCATTGGTATGTTCAATTCAAGATACACTACAAACTATTTGTGCATATATAGTTAAATCTCATTTAGTATTCAAGTAGAATCTCTAGTAATAGTATTTGCAGTAGGCTATCTGCAGACAGTCGCATTTCAATTCCATACTTTTCTTAATATTTTTGATTTATTATCTCTCGATTCTGTTATGACAGTATGATGTCGTATGTTGCCTTAATGCCACAATGTCCTTTTCGTATTTCAGTCTTTACATGTTGATACATATCTTATTCCTATCAAATTGTCCGCACATCAGATAGACATGCGTAACATGCCGCGATCGCAAAATGTGTGCTTTGTATATATCAGGGGAAATTCAGGGACTTACCCTACAGAGTCACGTGATTAATCTTAAAAACAAGTTTCGCCGAGCTTATGGACCTTTCCCAGAGCATCGACTTCCCTGTTTATTTCGTGACATTAGCCAATCAGCAAAATGCAAAAAGTGACGTAACAAGGCTCCCTTTTCGCATCCGCTCAGACAGATTTTCAAGCGTGGTCGTGAAGATTACCTCGTTCAAAGGTACGTTACGGCTACATTACCTCGTTACGGCTTCCTCCACTACCAAGTCCATGCTTCCGAAAACCAATGAACCATTGCGAAAACAAACAATAGAGAGAGAGAGAGAGAGAGAGTTATTTTTTCGTCAACCAAAAATAACAGTCATCGTAATAATAATAAAAATAACAATAAGAAATAAATTAGTTTGGTATAGACAGTGATACGATCAGACGGTCATCAAAGTCAACTCCCCCCCTTCAAGCTATTATGTTTAAGATCCCCAGTTTCAGATGACTAAAATATTGGGGAGGAACATTCTAGAATTTAAAATTATATTCTCAAAATGGAAGAATAAAATTGGGGAGGGGAATGCTAGAGTAAATCATTTCATTTATTTATGCGGAGCGGGATTTCAAAATCTGAAGAGATTCCAAAGGTTACTGAATGAATTTAAATAATTTATACGCATATGTGATGAATTAGCAGAAATGCTTCATTTCGTGGCATAGGTACGCATTGAAGATGTAACGAACATGATCTGCTTTGATTTGTCTAGTTAGGAGGGGGAAAATAGTTAATAGGACCTAACAAGCATTATTTCAGCATAATAATCAACATTTTTTTGCTTGCAGAGGGATGTGAAAGTAGTATATAAAAAGACAAGTGAATGATAAATAAAAATGTAAATAATTATAATAGTATGAGTTGATGTAACAGCAAAATATAATGCAGTATCGTAATTTCATTATCACAAAATATGAATATAAAAAGCATCATTGGCGAGTTGTACATGAATAGGAGGAGAATGATTTCTAGCGAATGGTACTAGATTAGTATATCAAGTCAAAGGGGTCTCGAATGTAGAACAATATAACTAATCCCATACCCGACTTGGAATAGTAACCGGACGAGAGGCCGTGGTTCGCCATGTGGATAAGCCTTCTTATCGGCTTTCCTCTCACCCGGGATAAATATGTAAATCCTATCCTATTATTCACAATTTATATGCTTTTATCTGGCAACGCATTACGCATCAGCTGATTTTCCACCGATGCCTTTTTCGTCGTCTCTCGCATCGCTCGAATAAAAATTTGAGTTCTGGCAATCGCCGATCTGCGCGTTCAAGAACGAGAGATATATCTGCTAGGTAACTTTGTTCTTTTCGCCTGGGGGAGTGGGGTTTGTATTGTCTCCATCATTTTGGACTGGCTGACTGGGGGACTAGAATTATAAAACTGTAAAATATCTGAAGATGCCAAGATGGTTTTAAATTACGGTTGAGGTGTTGCTGGGGGCTTTGTTATTTGTATATGAATCTGACTTTAAACTGGGCTTACTCCAGTGAAGGCTGGCAGGGTAGGATAGGATTTTCACGTTTATCTGGGGCCGGCCGGCCGGGGGAAGAAAGGCCACTCATCCGGTTACCAATCCATGTCAGGTACTGTATGGGATTAGGCAGCCGGTTATTATTTCTTTCTGATCTATGGCTGTAACTGTAAGTTGGCAATCCATACAGGAACATGTTTTTCATATCCTCTTTCTGTAATCTGTTTTGATGGCATCTATTTGCGATATCCATTTGTTTCTGTACCGGTACCGGTACTTGCTTAGCATTTCAGTCTGTGTCAGCTATTGTAACAACTTTATTAATTTTGTTTAAAGCTATTAGTGTGTCCATAATTGTACAACTAGTTGAAATTTGTGATTAACAATGGCATCAAGTGAGGAGCAGAAAATAAATCCAGATATACAAAAAGAGAGAGATACAAGAACATTTGATTATGAGGAACTAGCAATGCTATTGAATGGTGGTAAAGAGGAAAGAGAAAAAAGAAAGAAAATTGGTAGGTCATTCATTTCTCCAGTAACTGAAGTTAAAGTTATTCAATAATTTGTGGATTTCATATCATTAAAACCTGTAAATAATACTGATACTTATAATATGTAGTCTATGTATAAATAGATTCAAATTAACCTGACTTAATTACAGTTGTACTTAGTGTTCAAATATATGAAGGTCTTGATTGGTGTTGAAACTACAAGAACATATTGAAAATCATTTACCTATCATATAAATAAAATATCATAAAATGTAGAACTTTTTTAGCATAATGAGATTGAGTAAAATATTTGTGCAGATTTATCTTCACAGTTTTAGTATATTTTATATGCTCGTTTGTTTTGTAATATAAAGTTCTTGATAACTGAAATAATTTTTTTCACATGAATAGTTGATAAAGGTAGATTTGGATCTTGATGATATGCTCCTCCATAATATATCTGGTGCAAAACATTCCATCTAACTTATTTTCTTATTGTTCAAGTTTAATTTTGCATTCAAATTGTTTTAAATTTTCCTGCATACTATTTTCTGATGCATGTAATTTTCTTATGTTTCAGTATCCATCGTTGAATCGGATAGGGACTACGATGGACCAGATCCTTCTTTCATGTCTAGAATGGACAGATTTGAAGAATGGATGAGAAAATCATCTCTTCTTGTTAAGAAGAAAGAAAAACTGGGCGAATTGGTTCAAGATCACAAGGATTTTATGTTTTATAACTTGTATGATTGTAATTATTATCTCTTGTTAGAAATTATTTCAGAGCTTCAAATACCATTATTTAAATAACTATACTGAATATTGTAGAAAAAAATCTATCATTTACATTCTCAACTACCTCATAGCTGTTTTTCGGTCTTATTCGCATGAACTTCTTTATGTCTCAATTGGTATTTTCTACTGTGCAATTCAGTAATCAGTAGTTATTTTTCTACCATACTAAAATACACTTTATGAATAAACAATACAAAAAGAAGTAAAATGGTACTTTGGGGTGAAAGGATTTCAGTTAATAAGTTCTTTATAGTCACAGTAGCTCTTGATATTTTGGTGATTGCGTATAACCTCTCTCAGAGATTGAATCCTCTATTCCTGAGTGAGTGCATGTGACCTTGCTTTGAGTGAAAAAAGACAGTTAGCTACATCATACTAAGCTTATTCTCTACACATTTATAGGATTTTTGTAAATTACAATTTTTCTGGCATCCAAAATATGTGTATTGTCCGATGTCATGTTATATTTAAATCAAGTCTTATTTTCAATATCACTTACAGAAATGTCACCAAGAAAAGGCCTAATGTCTTTTTTGATCTTCATTATGGAATGTTTGTGCCTACATTGATGGGCCAAGCAACTGATGAACAAAGAGCAAAGTGGTTGATACCTGCAATAAATCATGAGATTTTGGGCACATATGCTCAAACGGAAATGGGCCACGGTAAGTCAAATGATCGTAATAATAAGCTTGTGGCAATTTTGTTTTGTACAGCAGTGATCAAGTCATCATGGGGGTATTTTGAATGTGAAACGATGCTCAATAAGCACCTCTCAATAATCAAAATCATGAATTTACAAATAATACACCACTAAAGGAATCCAGTCAGTAGATCTGACTTTAGTATGCGGGTTAATGTGATTGGCCCAGAAGTGACAACCAATCGAATCATTTGTATTGACAAGCCTCTAAGTGAATTAGGCTTTACCATCTTTTATTAAATGAAGTTTTTCTAGCATCATGCTATATCTGGATTCTAATATACCTACCGGTATATATTTTATATACATAGCATTTATAAAGTCCTGTATTGAATAAGGTATAAAAACTTTAGTGTTCTTCGTGGAACTGATGGTCGGTAATCGGCATGCAAAGATGTGTTAATGAAGTAAAAAACGCACTTAAACACTGATTGAAATAAAAAAAAATGGTCAATATATATTGAAACTATTTTATTTGTATCAAAGCATTATAAACACCCCGTATAAGGCTTTCCTATTTGATTTTTGTAGGACATTAATCGCCTTTTTCAAATCTTTGGAAAATTAAATATTGCTTTGTCATGCCATATTCAACGCATCATGTACAACCTCCCTTGTGCAAACATTTGTGGTTAACTATGTTGTAGTTAAATAGAACGTGATGCAACATCTCACGTAGGCTCTTTATATTTTAGAAAGTTAATCATTTACATACCAATATTTAACAATTATGCCAGGTCATGGGTTCATAAGAAGGTAATGACAGGGCAATATTCTATAATTTCAAGGCTAATTTGTATTGTGCCCTGAGGTTATTGATAAGGTTTTTCATGTCAATATATTTTGAAATTTATTCTTCAGTTCCTATAGTTGGAATGATCAAATCCATTTCAATTTATTTTTAAATTTTATGCACTTTCTGCTTCAACTGCAACATCTGCGTTCCATCTGCTTAACCGCATTGTCCTGTCATAAGGCACAAAACACATTACTTTTCTGCTCAAATCAATATTTTTTTTATAAATTTTTATTCTATGGAACATACAAATGCGAAATTCGTGCCCTATTAAAGCTTACATAAAAGTAATCTGTATTTTGTAGTTATGAAATCAAATATTTCCTTAACCTTGATGAGTTTAAATTGAAGTATACAATTCTTCCAACTGATTTATTTTTACAAAATTCTTACCTTGCACTAAATAGATTAAAGATCAAAATTTACAATCAGACATATAAGAAAAGTGTCATGCAAATATGCTATTGAAGATACTGAAACTTGGTATAAAAATGAAGACGTGCTTGAAAATTGCATAGAATTCGTAGTGGCAGAAATCAATACTACTTGTATTGCTTGTCAATCATTTCGATCATACAACATATTTCATGATATATTCCAAAGCATTTGTTTAGTATTACTATATCATCAGGTACTTTCTTACGTGGACTTGAAACTACGGCTCATTATGATCCAGAAACCGAAGAATTTGAAATTCATTCACCGACAATTTCATCTATTAAATGGTGGCCTGGAACTTGTGAGTTAAAGTGTATATTTTGTTTTATTGAACATATTGAGTTTCTGTATATAAATTTAAAAAAATATGCGTCTTGATTTACATTCAGGCAAATTGCCATAGGATGGGTAATTTGTAGTAGAATTACTTCAATTTTGAAGTATTTGAAGTAATTCGTAGTAGAATTACTTCAAATAAAAACCATACCGGTTTTGAATATCATAGTTTGTAGTAAACACATACTGTTATATCAGTGTTCATTACACTGTAGTATTGAAGTTTGTTTTATAAATTTTACATGAGATTAACAATATTTTTCTCATTCTTTTTTCAGTGGGGAAAACCTGCAATCATGCTATTGTTATGGCCCAATTGTATACAAGGGGAGTTTGTCATGGAATTCATGCATTTATGGTACAAATTAGAAATATGGAAGATCATACATCAATGCCAGGTAATGTGTTTATTAACGTTCTACTTATTTTATGATTGCATCTTCAAAAGTATCTAAATATTTTTCTAGATTGAAGGTTTCAAATACCTCATAATAATAATAATCCATTTCCTACCAGATAGATTGCTTAGCAATATGTGTAATCGAAATCAGATAGAATAGGATTATCATACTTATTCCAAGGGAGAGAAAAGATAATGAGAGAGATAAACATATGGCGAACCACGGTCTCTCATCAGGATGCCAGTCCATTTGGGCTAGGGGAACAGATGACCAGTATTTTGTTACCAGATGCATGGATTTGTTACATAAAACACCATATGACTGTCCAAATATGACTCAATAAAGTAAAATATATGAGGGATATATTTTACTTTATTGAGTCATAAGATTATTTTACGTCATGTCATGAAAGAGGTTTAATCCATGAGTCACTAGTATTAGCAAGCTGTTATCATCCTTCTCTTACATTTTCTTTTCCCTAGTTCCTCACCATTTCCCAGAGTATCGGTTCTTTATATAATATAACATATTGGCACATACACTTCTGGAGCGCCAAAGTTTTTTCTAATGCACGTTTTGCCGAACATAGGAGAGAATATGTTCAGAGCTGTTTCGTGACTTTCTTGCTCTTAATTGTGTGGTGTTATATTCAAATAAAGTTAATTTTTAGTGTTCATTTGTTCAATATTATGAGCATTCAGAATATACCGGTGATTGATTACTAATGACTTATTAATGTCGTACAAATACCATCCATTTTATATTTTTAGCTTTACGAAAATTAATAATATGGTATTATGCGTTAGCTTCACCTTTCTAGGAAATTGCAAATGCCATCTATTCTTATGACATCTGTTGTACTTGTATTTAGTCAAATAACGATGGATCAATGAAATTTTATCAATCATTTTTCTAATTTAGTTCATTAACAACTTTACTTAGATATAAATCTCGGTTTTCAAATAAGAAAGTCAAAAATATATTTTCAACAAGACAGAATGACTAGGTTCTTTGAGAAAATTTGAAGAATTTAGAAGAATAAAAAAATTTCACATTATTTATTTGTTATAGGTATTACTCTTGGTGATATTGGGCCTAAATTTGGTTACAATGAAAACGACAATGGATTTTTAAAACTTGATCATGTCAGAGTTCCTCGTGATAATATGTTGATGAAACATTCGCAGGTATTCATATGGTTTTCTAAATTGTATTCAATTCCCTTTATGCATGAGTTAATTCATTGAATTGATTTAATACATGATCTAATGTATGCAAATTCACATGCATTCATGTTTTTACTAATAAATGCTTCTTAAAAATCGAAAAAATCTGTGAACCCAATTTTTTTCTGATATTTATTTTTTAAACTTTTTATTTATGCATCTGTATTCAAGTTGGCTAATGTATTTCAAAATATGAAACAAATACATTTCCACAGTAACCATACCATGTGAAATAGATTCAATGACAAATTTTTCAAGGAAAGGTATCCTGTATTCTAAGATTTTTCAAAATTTTGCACAAAGATTAAAATTCTATTTCTGTTTCTGCTATGCTAGGTTTTGGAAGATGGTACCTATGTTGCTGCTCCTCGTAAAAATTTAACCTATGGTACAATGACAATGGTACGAAGTTTTATCGTTCGTGATGCTGCTTATGCACTTGCTCGTGCTTGTACAATTGCTATCAGATACAGTGCTGTTAGGAGACAAAGTGAATTGAGACCAGGGTATGATTTTAAATGGCCATTTCATTATGATTTAGCAATTAGTTTGTGTAAATAATCCTCTCTTAAATCGTTCAGTTTTAACTCATCAAATATTTTTAAATGTGTGAATACACAACTAACATCTGAATGCAAATTATTTTGTATGTATCCTATTTGATGAAGTATTTTAATGTGTTTTAAAAACTCTCATTTTTAGGCGTATTTACAAGAATTTAATTTTGTCAATGCTACCAACATCAGTGCTCATTTGCCTCGAAGGTGCAACAACAAATCATTAGGTTTACTGCCCAAAGGCTTAAAAATTCTTCCCCTTGGGCAATAACAACCTGTGAAATATATCCAAGGGGCATTTTCATATATAGACATTAGAAATGTATTTCTATTGTGTTATTATGCTTCTCGATGCACGATATTCACGATATGATACCCAGCTATTGTCCATAGCCAGCCGAACTATTGCCCATCGGATTGAAGAGTTTTATGTAGAATTGGTGTTTAACTCACTTTTGGGTGAATGTTTATTTCGCATGTTTAAATGATCATTTGAATGACCCGTGATTTTAAATTTTCCTGATAGTTGGTGCTGAACTGGAATACAAATTATTACTCATCTACATTTGTTGAAAATGACATTGATAACCATCGTTTTGGTATTTTTACTTAGGGAACCAGAACCACAGATACTCTCTTATCCAACTCAGCAGCATAAACTGTTTCCACTTCTTGCAACATCTTACGCATTTTTCTTTGCCCAATTACATATGGTTGAAATGTATGGAAGTGTTAACGAAGCTGTTGGAAAAGGAGATTACTCAAATATGCAAGAGGTAAATATTATAATTACTTGTGGACATAAATTTTAGTTCCTCACACAATACCTGCAGATTTGCAGCAAATTTGTAATGAAATGAAAACAAATAAGTGAAATCAAATTACGAGTAAAATTACTTATAGTATGCTCGGTGGTTAGCACATTCTGCTAAAGTATTATGAAATTGCTTGTTGCACTTCTGATTGCCATCTACCATTTCAAATACTGTGGCTGTGGCCTGGGGGTGATACCCAACATGGACTCATAAATAAGAGTATTAGAGAGCATTATTTAAGACCTGTGTGAATCAGTATCTGCTGACATTCTTATCACAAAAATATCTCTACTGAGGCTCTATATATACATATATATATATGTCCTGATATAACAGTGGCCTCTTTGAAAAGTAAAACCGGAACTGGAATAATAATAGTACTTTATTAATCCTGTTTTTTATGCATTCGTGTGAATCTTCAATGAGTATCATCTACATTCTTTTTTTAGCTTCACTCAGTATCATCTGGATTAAAAGCTTTTACAACATGGACAACAAACAGTGGGATTGAAGTTTGTAGAATGTCATGTGGAGGACATGGTTATTCATTAGCTAGTGGATTACCTGAACTCTATACATATTTTACTCCCAACTGTACTTATGAAGGAGAAAACACAGTACTCATGTTGCAAAATGCAAGGTATATTCAAACAGCTTTAGCCGAATCAATCGTGAATTGCGCGAAAAATCACCCTAGACAAAACAGACAAAAGCGACAAATTTAGGAAGTCGTTGTCTTTGCGTTATGGCGTTATTTGCTTTCTTTTTGCGCCTAATGTATTGTTTCACTTCCCTGTTTTGCAAAAAACGGCACCGACGTTTCGTACATTTATAAACGTCAAACCAGATAGGGTGTATTTAAAATAAAATTTTCAGATTCTGTACTCCGTATGCCTGGTGAAATGTTGTGACCGAACATAATATTGAATAAAATTAAAAGGTAAAAACACGTTTATGATGAGTTATATAAACAGCATGGATTTGCAGATGACCAGACAAAGTTTTTCTTGATGTACTTTCTATTAGTTCTTTAGTAACCCCTTCCATCCTTGGCCAAGTTATGTTTCGAAAATGTGAACATTTCAATCGACCATGCATGGCCGAGGGAGTGTCAAATTGTAAACAAGAGTACAACGTAAATTCAATCGTGAATTACGTCGTAACAACGCACACTAGTTCGTTTACGAATTGTTGCGCCTATTATTATCATAAATTATTACATGTGTTGTATTTTGAAGCATTTTAGCGGTAATAATTATGGCGTGACACTGTCAAAATCGTCGAGTAAAGTGCTGAGTTCGCAAATTCCGTAGATAAATTGTGAGTTAGTCGGTAACAATTTTAGCTATAATAATCGTCGGGGTATTATTTTGTTCAAAAAAAAAATCGGGGGGAAATAGTTATAATTAGCATCCGGCCCTCTGTTAGGATCAAAAGCCTTATGACAAGTAGATGTGCATAACGGCCGATTTATTCAATCATTATTATAAATCAAAATTCAGGATTCGTGCAATCGCAGGTGCAAAGCATAAGAAAGTCAATCCTCGTCTTAATAAATATCTTCATCCCGGTGTCGATAATAATATTCCCGTTCGATCTAATCTCGGAAGTTTTGAAATCAGTCCTTGTTTTCAAGAGCTGTTGCCGATGTGAACGCATGGGTATACCAGATATTAAAAAACTTCAATGTCCGCCGACCGGCAAGAATCAATAATCGCCAAAAAAAAAAAATAAAACTTGCGGGAATATAGATAACCAACTTGAGATATTCCAGCCAAAACGATCGCGGTGACAAAAACAATTAGAGATTTTGATGAATTCAACGAGTAAAAAAACGCTTTGTTGCCGACTTTTCAACGTTTCTCTTAATTTTCGAAGGGAGTATCGACCTCCGACGTCTTGGACCACCGTTGTATTTTAAAAAAAAATATTCGATTTTGCCCACCCCTATTCATCAGTAAGTTCAAACCATCAAATAATTAATAAAAACTGATTGATTACTGAATCAGGAGTGCAGAAAAAACCTTAATAAGCATAGTTTGAACGAACGGAATTTAACACAACGGTGTTGTCTAAAAAGGTGGTGCGTGTTCACTCAACGTTGACTTGATGGTGTTCACGATTTCTAATATGATCCCTTAGGCTTAGAGCAGGGGTGTGCAACCTGCGTCCCACGGCTAAATGTGGCCCACAAGGAAAAACTGTGCAGGCAGCAGAAAAATGCCAATTTTGAATCGTCTGCGGCCGGTGAAACATTTTTTGGCATGTGCGAATAATCCCAATATACCTGAGTCCAGTTATTATCTATGCCTATGACATAAATATGCCCTAAATTTTTGTGCCTGAAACTATTAGAAAGCCTATGTTAAATAAAGGTGCGGCCCACGGTTTCACCCAGTTATTTGTATCTGGCCCTCCTGTACTAAAGGTTGCACACCCCCGCCCTAGAGCCTAGAGTATATTTCACACTTCTGCTAAAAATAAGACTTTTGTAAAGATGCAAAGATTGTGTCGCATTTTTACTATTTATCAATTTATTGGTATCATGCCAAAAATGGATTTTAAACTGCACTAACCAAAACTCAATTTCTAAGATCATTAACCTGATGTTTACACAGACAGGTGAAAGTTTTAATCACTAGTTCACCACACCCACCTGACTAATCAAACAAATAAACAGTATTCTTTATTTATTATTGCAGGTATTTGATCAAATGTGCAAGAGAAGGCAGCAATGGAGCTAAGTCAGTTGCCTATATTCATCAAGATGCTCCGCAGATGAGACAATATGTTGATTTCAATGATCTTGATACGATTTGTAAGCTGTATGAGCAAAGAGCCAGAGGGTAGGATGTATTTTGTATTTTTCAATGTTTTTCATTTAAAAATAAATTCCCTATAGTCAAACATTTTTCTTTGTCAAAATTTTTTTATTTGCCACTATGTTATTTGATACAATATAATGAGTCAAATTGTGAATTTCTACGATATTTAATTTTTTTTTGATACTTCATGAAGTTTTCTTTTTCGTCATGCGTATCAGTTGTATAGTATATGAGATATTTAGAAATACTTGGACAAATTTTCAATTTCACTGAAATTAGATAAATATAATAGTCACTATCACTAGTGAAACCTTATTTTAATCAAATTTGTCTTTTCATTTTCGCTTTAGATTGGTGAAATTTGCTGCAAACAAGGTAGAAGAGGAAGTGAGGAATGGTGAAGATTTAGTTGGTGCTCTCAATAAAGTATCTGTACATTCAGTTCGTGCTGCCAACGTAAGAAATCACTAATAATACTTTATGATACTTATTTGTTATCGTAATTTGATTAAGGATTATAAATATGCAGAGCGATGTATCAAGTCCACTGTTAGCCAAATTCGGTGGATTTGAATAATAGGTGGAGGAATGTAGCCGAATCGTCCTAGTTGGCAACAAAAAAATCATGATTCTGACTGCATTGCAACAATACACGCTCATTATCGTGAGTCATATCTGCGTAATTGTGTCGCAAGAAGCTGTTGATTTATTTAAGGATACATCTTGATATTTATTTTCTTGTTTTAGCCACAATCAAAAACGAATGTCTAGTTGTAAGGTGGCTTTCTTGACCAGCGGCCAAGTATTTTTGCATGCTCAAAACAATTTTGTATTTCAATTCAGGCTCATTGTCACTACTTTGTTGTGAAAAACTTTGTTGATGAAATCAAGACTTTGGAATTATCACCTGGGTTGAGGTCAGTTCTCATGGATTTGGCACGATTGTATGCACTTGACGGTCTATCAAAGAACAGTGGCGAGTTCATGGAGGTAATCTGAAGATAGTATAAATCATTTGGTATTCCATAATCCGGTCAAATTCCTAGTGTTTTAATTTGAATTGCTTTATCTTTTGTAAACGATTGCATCTATCCATTAACTTTTTTTTAAAACTACGTTTGTGTTTTTTCAGGAAGGACTTTTGTCAGGCAAAGATGTGAAACAGTGTCATCAACTTGTTGTAGAGTTGTTGCCAAAGATTCGACCAAATGCAGTTTCTCTTGTAGACTCATATGAATTCTCGTATGTATATCTTTATTACGGTTATATCAAACGCTTCACTATCATACATTTGCTTGTGCTGGAATTACTGACTACGGGGGATAATTATGTGTGAGAGGATTGCTGGGGTATTTTCTGTTCATGTTATCGTTTGTCACTTGCAGCTTCCTCCACCATCCAGTCCATGCATCTGAAACAATCTAGCGACTTGCAACTATTGTATAGTTGTCGTCTTGAAATCAGAAATCAGTTGCAGAGAAAGACGTTTCTTCCCAACAACAACAAGAAAAAAAATGATTAATATGTCCACTTTGTGTCCTCATTATACAAGTTTCATTCATTTTGTTAACACTTAATAATTTTCATTTCAGTGACAAAATTCTTATGTCAGTGTTGGGAAGATATGATGGAAATGTTTATCCTAACCTTCTGGAATGGGCAATGAAGTCGGAGTTGAATAAAACAGATGTAAGTAATCTATATAAAATGTTTCAGATGTGATGCCTGTTAGGTATTATGGGTGTAATCCCACCCGACACAATATGGGAATTGTTAATATTAATTCATAAGATACATTTCATATTTGCTATATTTTGTATTTGTATAATTATTTCATAGTAATACATGCACCATATGGCCAATGTTTCAAGTGTCTGCACTGCACAGACACTTCATCAGGGCAATGAATGTAAAATAAAAGACGCTATGTATAGATATATTCATATAAACCCTGATGCATTACTATGAACAAGTAACAATTCACTGTAATAGGTATTTATTCCTGGTAGCGCATCGGTATAACTGATTTATATCAGTCTATTTGATTGAATGTGAATATGTATGAACTTTTGAAACTTGTTCCAACTCTTCGTCAAATGGCTCAGTAATAGATTTGTTCTGAACAAGGGTTTGTATAAGCAGACGCTATGTAAGGATTTACTTGGATTTTGAAAATAACAGGATCTTTCCGGTTGGGCATAGTCTACCTGGTTAATTTCACCCTGGGTGAGGGCGGTGAGCATGGGATTAGAACCCAAGATTTCTAAACTGCGATGCCAAAATAGTTATTTCAAAGCTTTAAACCACTTGACTATTACACTCTATTAATATGTATCTAACAAAAACGCTTCTTAATTTTAAATTTTAGGTCATTCCTGCGTACGAAAAACACATCCGACCTCTGCTCAAACGACACCAAATGTCGAAATTGTGAAGGCACTATCAAGATTTTAATTCATCATTTCTAGAAAGTGTTTCCCAAATCATGAAGCTATACTTCTATTCCTTTTAGCTACTAAAAAAGTTTTCAAATAATGGAGCAATGTTTAAATTTTTGTCTCATCAAATTTATGCAGTCATCATTCTGAAAATGGTTCAGATAATTCTATAAAATATATCAGCATTAACAATACATTAATTTTAAACCTTTTAATTCAAAAAGGTATTTTGTTACATTTATTTTCTTTATATTTGTGTACAATTAAATTAAATTTCTTCTTCTTAATTAAGTACTACTGACTAAATATTATGCATGCTCTTGCAGTATTCAGACTATGCTGAAAATGCAATTTCTTCACGCTGGAGACTGTTGTCACACCTAGATATTTTGTGTAATTAGGATAATTAACTCAAAAATAATAGATGGGCAAACTTGAAGTTATGTATACAATTTCATAATCCTTAAATCAAGTGCAATAAAAACGGTTATCACGCTTCTGTAGTCTTCATTTCTTTGCTACGTTTTTTTTGTCGTCTTCATATTGTTGGAAATTTCAACCCCGTCTCCGAGATCCCGTGGAAATCAAATAATAATAATAAATTTGGCAAATGCTAACCTTTTTTGAATTTGGATTTCGACAATCGCCATTTAAGTCTAAATTTCGGAATTCAACGCAGAGGCTTAGCTTAAAGGGGCAATGAGGTGCCAAAATGGGGCAAAAAAAATTCACAAGAGTAAAAAACCGGTCACAAGCAAGATTGCACCGGCGGCAGACGTCCAGTGTTAGTGCATGGCCAACTGCATACTTGGTCAGACCACTTATTTATTGGCCGCGGGCCGGATGAGTGTAGCGCCCGAAAGTGCGCGACGTTTAGCTGTATCGTTGCGGCTTTAGTTATATGTTGTATTTGGATTGTAATTAATAAATAGAACAAAATAGTATAAACTGAAGTGAATATTGGAAGGAAACTTGACGTCAGATCATATTGGAAGATATTCTGAACTTGGATAATTATTACATAGACTGCCGGTACGCTACAATATTAAAAACATAATTTGTTTTAATCAAGGATGAAAAATTCCTCTACCGCTCAATAAATTAAAAAAAGTACTGTTACACTACAGTTTCTCTAATATAAATTTGGATAATTATTAATGGTAGCGAGAAGAGCCGCATAAAAACTCCACTGAGCCGCGGTTTGCCCACAGTTGCCATATACAGTACCTTAACTCTTTTTGTTTCCGTGAAAGTAAATCACTGGGGACTTTATTCAAATTTTGTAACAGTTAATTCGGGGTTTCCAATGCAATCGGCAATTTCTGTTCCTAACCTAGTTGTTATAGATTGAAAATATCGTTTACGAATGCTATCTCAAAGCAATTCATCAAGAACGCTATAAACACAGCTTACAACACGTGGTAATCTTACGAACGATATGAATAATTTGTGTGAGAAACGATTCGTATCTATTTGAATACAAAGGTCACCAGACTCTAACCATCTCATTAAAATGAAACTATATGTTGAGAAAGTCGTATTGAACTGTATTTAATACTACAGTGAATTTTAACAAAGTTAAGTCGGAACTAACCTGTAACCAGAAGAAAAATAGTTTGGTGAGCAGTGATCGTGATAATAAATAGAGCAGATTGGCGGATGAACGTTATATCAATATCTCGGGTTCGATTCCTACTTGCATAGCAAACAATTCATTAATATTAATTAGATATATAGACCAGTAAGCCATTTGCAACGACACATGTACAAATAAGCGTAGTAACGCGAGGAACGTAACTTGAATCATAATGCACGAACCGACATATTTTGTGTTTCACAGTGTTAACCTCCGAAATCTTATGTCACAAAGAATTATTTTCGCGTTCACTCAATGCACCAGTAACGAATCTGTAAAATTATACAACTGTGTTCTCGATCCAATGGATTTGTAACCAAACAAAGACATCATGTCTTTGCACGTTTCTTGAACGTCATTTAATATTGCCATAGACAACTGTGTTCTCCACTTGAGTTTCTGTTGGCTTACATCTCTACTTGTTCCAAAAAGGTTGTGATCCGTTGATTTTGTACTACTTTGTACCCATTTCTTGAGTTCAGAATTGACAATGAAGCTTTCATAATTTATAAAGTCATATAATTTTTCAGCAAAGAGCAGAGGATTTTCAATCACATCTTCATACCTTTAGGTAAAACATGTATATATATAATTAGTTTACTTGGCCATGGCGAAATTAGGCAAATAAATAATATATGCAACTAGCAAAGATGAGATGCAAATATTTATTTTTTACACCAAAAATAAAAATTTGAATATACATACGCATGATAACCTTATAAAATAGCATCGTGATGGATATAACACAAGTAATGAAACCGGAAAATTTTGTTTTCCCATAATGGGCATCACATTTAGCTGAGATTGAATTAGGAAAAAAATAAAATAGTTGCAGAAAATGCGAGATGGCAATTTTCGACCCAACCAGGCCAACCTTATAGCGTGCGTGATTTTAGATTTCGAACGAGAAATTTATAACAACGCCATGCAGACAGAATCAAAAGACACTTTACCTGACTAATTTATAGATTCCCTCCAGCCATTTAAATTCTGTCTCATTCGTTAAATATTGCTTTTGAATTCGTACATTTCTTCGACAAGTTGCTTCTACGATTTTACCAGTAGCTTCTGTTCTGCGCAGTTTAAGTCGAGAAAGGAGTGTTGGTCTTGGATCCCTGACGAGATGAATTATCTTCAAATCAATATCAGGGTGATTCCATGCTCTGTTTCAGGGTAAAACAACAATTTAAATGGTACCCAATATCTCCAATGTGTAATTTGTTATTGTCCATTTATTTGTTATAAGAAAACTGTGATACTGTACGTTTACTTCTAAAAACCAAACGACCAAAACGCAGACATCGAACATTGCAACAGAAACAGCGATGACAATTTGTCGTACTTTTTTGTCAAGAAAACCATTGTGCATGACTCCACTACACTCAATAAGCAACCTCACATGAAAAGTGAATATTGTTTAATTCCGTAGACGAAATCCTCACTCATTAATCGACCGCTTGCGATCTTTTTTTAATCAAATACTACACTTATTGATGAGGCGCTTCTTCAAGATGTTACAAGTACGTTGAATCAATTTGCCTGAAGTAGCAGTTTGACGACTATAAAATTCATATTCTTTGTCTTGAAAATTTAGCAAATCGTTTAGTCAGCATTTGCTAGATATGGCCCTAAAGATGTGAAATCATCAATCATTTTTTAGTAAATTTATCCCATGAATTTTTATCAATGCCAACGATGATCTCACATCTACCAGCCATGATTGAAAAACAATTATCATGCCGTAATTGTTCATGCTATTCGTACCTTTTCAAAGTCATCAAATCTTCGATACGGATGACCTTAATCACGCGAACTTCAGCATTCAAGCAAGCCTTTCTCATCATGTCTGGCGAAGGAGCGGGACATGACTGGCACTCAGTAGATGAAATATTTCTACACATTTCTCTGGTGCATATCGCTTTACTTTTACCCCTGATAAACAACAATGCTTTAATAACCTTCATCAAGCAAACGGTGGGATAGTTCGTTGGTGGCGACGGTCAGAAAATAACATCTTTGACCAACATGGATTTCTACTCTCGGGTTGCTTTATGCTCAATGTATCATGAGGCTATGTACAACCTATTGTAATAGAATAAACAACTATCAATTTTTCATTGTGTGTTTATTTATCGTCTTTAATTATCTTCTTTACTTTTATGTCAACCAAATGATTCGGTATTTCACCTTCTACAGATAGCTTATAATACAAAGGGTTGTCCTAGAGTCCCATATTTTGGCACGCTACAAGGGTGTGAATTGCTATCGAATAAGAATAAGTGCTATTAAGAAATCTGTTAATTTGAACTAAAACGGCATCGCCCTATATTGTCTCTTATGTATGCGGAACGGCGCAGACCAAAAGAGAGTTGATATACGTATTCATTATAATAAAAATTCAACCGATAATAAAGGGAGGTGATTGCTAACAAAAACCAGTTCATCTTTAAATGCTTTTTTAACATTATCCGTACCTCTGGTTACGTTAGTGAAATGGGTGGGTCGCAACCTCAATTAACTTCGACCCGAGCAATAAGAACATGTGACAAAGTGCACATGGCATTATGAAATTTGAATTAATGCTTTCGATGCAACATCTGTAACATCCTGCATCGACTTAGAATTGGTCGTTGAACACTGGGCCCATATCCTTCGATATCTCATTTAATTGGATCTTAATTTATCTGGAACACATGGAAAATGAATATCTTTCTCGTGATACAAATTTTATTTTTCGACGATGAACAGTCGCGGTGAAATGCGGTCTCGCGTAGACCGATTCCACTGATCAACGCACCAATGCCAATGGTTCTATTGTTTACAAAAACATTCTGGTTCGCATGCTCCCATTCGTTGATTTGAATGGCTTCGGCACTTCATGGTAGTGAGTGACCTATACTAGTTATTGATCCACTCAAGTTGTTGGCAGTTTTCAGTCTCGATAATAACCCTAATTAAGGTCGTCGAAAAAAACTTGATGGCTCAAAATCTGTGCAAATCACCAGGGAATAGAATAATTGAGTGGAATTATAACTTTGAATGAAAATGTTTAAAAATATATACAGTTCAAGTACGAGACGCATTGCTTCCATATATCTTACTTGATCTAGTTGAAAATCTTGACTGATAGAAAGAAACTCGTGATTTTTGAACAAAAAATACGTTTACCAAATTATCATTCTAAATAACGGGTTGCCATTGTTATATTAAGTGTAAATTATATCTTTTGAAATATATTGCAAACTATGAGTGAATCTATTTGGAAACAAGCAATAAAGTTCATGATATCCACAATACAAAATTTGGCCAAATAAGCCCAGTGATGTTATGTTAGTCAGCGTCGACCAGTCATTCGCTATTGATTACACTTCCTATGATTATTTACGCTATGATTGCATATTAGCAAAGATTGTTTAACTCATTATTATGAACATACACACCCACCTGAAGCACAGTGATTTTTCCATGCAAACTTCGGTCTGTCTCAAGCGTTTACGCAATATAAATGTTGGTTGTTTTCTAAAATTTTGTAATGCGTCAAGATGAGCATGTCGTATCTCATCTCTCATAGAATTCATTTTGCATAAAAGTAGATCTTCCACCACTTTGTCAACTGGATGACCCTGTATCCGAGGCCTGTAATATAATATAACAATAAAAAAAATTCGATATAAAGCGTGGTGAGGTGAATATTTATATTGGAGAAAATTCGGTTGACGAATTTTCCACCTTCCGAGTGACAATAAGTAACTTCAGCAAATGGATGAAAAATATTTTGAATGGATAACAAATATTTTCGGTCTACATTTGGATTGAATGCTATGCACTTCGGTCACATGGGATAACCGGAAATAATCGTTCTACTCCTATTGGAAGTCATCAAATATGTATCAAAACAAAAATTCAAAACAAAATTGTGAGTCGATGATCGTCAACACTCATTTACACGATTAGTTTTTGCCATACGTATAGGTCATGAATCACTCGAGCGTAATAATCCTGGTGTAACCATTGATTGATAAAGCAGAAGAAAAGATCGATAACAAATTGATCATATTTACCAGTTACTGAAGAATAGAGGTTCAAACAGATAAAACACATCAGGGTGTTGATTAAATAGTTGGCCAATAAAAGATGACCCGGTTCTATAACTTGCAACTATGACAACAGCTCGCATTTTCTTTTTAGGCATTTGGTCTTCAGCCTCATAATCGTCCAAAACTCCGGATAACTCGACACCGTCGTATTGGGTTTGAACACTGTTTGTGCTACGTAGTTTGATCGATTCCATGTCCTGCCCGATTTTTGGCGGGGTATATTTCCTTATATGTGAGACAAAATCGTAATCTCTCAGCATTTGCGGGTATCTAAAATCTTTCAGAACTCTAGCCTCGAATATCATGTATCCAACACATACAGCAACGCATAAAAGCACAATAACTTGCTGTGGACTTTTCAAACCACATTTGTTCATGTCTTTGCTTCATAAATTCCTATGTATTAAATATTACCATGCAAAATAAATTGAATAAAAGTATTTAAAAAAAAGACGATATATCTTCGGTGCCACTAATTTTATAATTTAATTTTATTTATCCAGTATGACTGACAACAAAATATGCGATATAACAAAAACAATCCCATTTTATGAAAAGCTTATCGTCATCTCAAGTCACCGAACTATATACAATTTATAAGCCTCCAAGAAGTAATGGAAATAGTTGTGATATGCTATAGAATTCCTCAATCTCTACTGTAGCCAAAAATATGAAAAAACAAGTTCTATTTCTAGCAAACCCAAGCCAATATTTTACGGATTAACTCAAGTATCATCGTAAAGCGTTTTACTTAAAATAGGAAATTCTGAACTAAGGAAAACACCGGGTCATTGTCATGTCGTTTCGCACATTCAACGTTTTGTGCATACATACTATTGTCCACGAACTTTGCCTGCCCAACACAGTACTAATAAAAATATTTCTCCTACATTTGCTCGGAATCTAATAGTATATATATATATAGAGAATATGCAGGACAAAAACTGAGAAGTGCAAAATTCGATAACACGCAATATTCACGTCCAATCGCCGGACGGTAGTCTTCACAGGGTGGTCGGTTTGAAGTTTAACTCTTATTCTCGACACGATCAGGGCTGTACAGTCATTTTTGTGGTGAAATAGTAAATGGATCGCTGCTCGATTAGTTTAAAATCACTCGACCACAAACATAATTACTTCGCTTCTTTTGCTACCTACGTTGCCTCACAGCTCCTACACAGTAGCAAATGATCACGTAAACACAATCGAAAATACAACCGATACATAGAAAGTTAATTTACTCTGATTTGCACCGATAAATATCATCCTTCCATTATGGCTTCGGGCAATGTTCAGATCATTATTTCCGTTGCTACCATGCAGTAGCCGGAATTTCCGGCTGGGAAATAACATTCAACTGAGTCAAAGATGAATACTGCAGACTGTTTATGGATTTAACTATTCACATATTTTAAATAATATGTTGGTTGAATATCCATATCACTTCTGGCAATATTCACGCAATGCAATGCACCTTAATATCTATGGACAGTTAGGAGAAACTAACAAACACCTCACAATAACGGAATGGCCGTCGCTGATAAATACCTCAATGAGTATAGCTGTCGCATATTTGGAATGACGTTAATATGTTAACATGTATCAATACATGCTTCTCTATACCACGATGTTCTTCGGTAAAATAAATCGGTAAAATAAATTTCTTCGGGTCAAAGCCTATTTAGAACAGTTGGCGTGACCAGGCCTAATGACATGCTCTTGCAGACTTTTATATCTAACCAAACAACGAAACCGTCAAGCCACGACACTTATATTCTTACATTTTCTTATACAAAGGACATGGGTTTTACACAACTATATTGAGAGTAAGAGCACGGCTCGATGCTGTACAACTGATCAATCAGCGACTACGCATTTTCTCTTGAGTGGCTGCCCACTATCAAAAATTCGAACAACAGTTTCGTTTCAATAACTGAAGTATTTTGTGACCTGGGAACAGAAATGGTAGTTAGGCATAATTATTCTTTCTGATTGTGTGAACGTGCATATGATACCAAGTAATGTGTTTTTTCTGGTCACGCAAAAGTTTCAGAGTTAGCATGATCCGCATATTCATATTCAAGCGTGATAAACGTACAGTGACAAGTGGGACCACCTTGTGTATATTATTAAAGCGTACTAGCAGAACAAATTTATTTCACCAAATCTTACTGAAAAAACATTGGAATACCAAATTCGAGTACAATATCACAATTCTTACGAGTAATCTTGTCCGCGTATATTTCCCGTACCGCAGAATCGCAACACGCGTCAAAGTGTGTTTGAAAAACACAATGTTTATGTTTGAGTGTTTGTTTACTCATTCGTGAATATAAATAACATATATCAGGATTGCGAGACAAGAATATGTAAATATCCAAATGTAAGTTCCACAGGTATGTACGCTAGCAGTATTCCATGGAAAATTTTCAAGGATTTTTCTAACCGTCGAGTGTTGGGTGTATTGTATTTAATAAATGAAAAATGTAGACTTCAAATATCTTGCGTTGTGGTAGACTGCCAACTACACACCATAAACCAAACATCTTACTGTAATGTGGCCCTAGCTGATCGAGAATGGCTCTCGACATTAAAATTACGTGAAAGAAAGAATATAGTGTACCGAATTAAGCGAAGGAGAATATTGACAATTTGCTATTATGTTGTACATGTGGAAATCATAATTCACGTATGACATCGCTGAATTATCTATAAAATGGTTTTATATTCGTAAATATGAATACGCTTGACATTACCATCATGTAAATAAAATTCGTTAATCGATGTCGTGGTATTCCATAATCAAAATGTATCAAATCAAATCAACATTGTATCCAAATCTTCGAGTTTATCATCAAAACAAGTCATTAAACTAATATTAAACGTTGGTAACAAAACAATTTATCATAATATTTAAAGCTTGGAAACCAATACTCGGAATCAATCAATTTAACGCTTTAACTTTCTTACTTATGTGACGCTCTCGTTATGACGAGGTCTTTTATATAGGGAAGGGGTATGTATACATGTCGATCACGAACGACCATACGTCGATCGCCATAACTGTAGTAGCCAATCGCGTATGATTTTTAGCCAACCTTATCAACAAATTGCCAGAAAGTTGTCCGCAACTACAATTCACGCATTCTAAAAGGGATGAATACGCGCTGTACATGCCTAAAAGAAGATACGTCGGGGACAAGCCCGATAAAGCATATTAAAACGTAACAAATACAAGTTTGACACTGTCAAGGTTTAGAAACGAACGGACCGAATAAGACGTTTTGACGAACAATTATACAGTCTATATTTCACTTTGCCCTTAACTTCCCATTCGTGCTAGAATTTTCATCTACGCTTGAGTGCTTTAAATTTTATTCGAAACAGTGGCAGTAACATCAGAAAATCCATTTTAATATTATATTTATATAGCAAAAACGCAGTTAAAATCTGACAAAATTACCTCAACCTCAATTCCTATGCTCTGTACTCTTTGCCTGTCACTGTGATAACTCCCGTTTCTCTATATGAATGCTATAGGGATAACAGACAATAAAATAGGACTTCGTCGTTCGCCACTTGCAGCCCTCGGAAAATACAATAGCCTCGAAGCGAAACCAATATTACTCTCCTCCTTCCTGCTTTAACTTTGCGATGCCTGCAACAATAGGCAATCGGAGTTGATAACTGGGCGGAAATTGGAAGGAGGGCCACAATGGGATCACAGCGCTTTACTTAACGTCGTAGAGCATTATGCCAAGAAAACATGCTGTGACAAACACCAGACGCAGCTAACGATTCTGTCACAAGCTAGCCATTGCGAAGTATTATTATATTAGAACAGACATACATGTTTGGTCTAACTATGATTACACTATTGTATATCTTGTGTATGAGAAGCAAAAATTCTTTGATTTTTCGTGCAACTTCAATTACGGGAATCACCTAAATGATTTCCCTCGACACATTTTCAGGTTTTAACCCTTGAAATTGAAACACTGTATATAATACATAACTTGGCGCCGGAGAGCAGTTGTTTGTTATAATGTCATCCACTGAACTTGATCAGCTGCTCAAGCTAGCGATAGACATGACTATAAATTATCACGTTTTAAATGGCCTCTTTCGTATAGGGCTGTCTAGAGCAGGTTTATTGGACTGTTGCGCAGTCCCGTGATGTCAATGAAGTGCTTGGTTTCATGTATTTTTTCAAATGACTTCGAATGTCTCTAGCCTGAATAAAACATGGTAAAATTTTGTTATGAAGAATACGAAAAATAAAATCGCTAACTCAATTGCTATCATATACCTACGATTGGAAATTGAAATCCCCAATAACATTTATTGTACAGTATCTGTATTACAGTAATAGAGATGTGAGTCGAAAATAGATGCTATGTTGTAATATTTGACATTTACAATATTAAGCAAATAAACGTTATTCGAACTTGTAAGTAACGTTTTTCTCTTATTATTTTAACCATACCTAATTATATGTATCATGAAATTATAGCATTTTTATTACAATAGCTCATAAAACGTAAACAACTCAGGTTGAAGAACTTTTGAAACTATACACGCTTCCTCTTATTCATTAACATTTTTTTTTTCATAAGATAATCAGGCCATGTCCCCCTCCTCGCCACTTGGAACAATTATTATGATATCACGTTTTGCTGTGGGGATGACGTCACGAATTATCAATCACTTCCTTAAATATATATATATACAACAACAATTTACCAACAAATACATAATACATATTCTTTTGATAGAGAAATCTTTTTTATCGTATGCGAAGAAGAGGGGGCAATATTTCAAACTCTGTAGTTGTTTCTAATGTAAATGTTCGGCTCCAACGCCATCCGGCGGCAGCATGGTGATCACTTTTGGCGCTGTAGAGCAGCGTCATTTGTTTATCCCGTTATTCCAGGAATGCTGTGCGAGAGTGTTGTGCTATTTTTATTTGATTTCAACGATTGAATTAAAATAGTTCCGATAATTGTGTAGCTAATGCTAATTTGATTACAGGACATTTGCTAATTTGATATGAACTCGGGTGATTTCATCTGTCATGCCAGATAAAGAAACGTGTCAATGTCAAATAAGAGAAATCTGGTATTTTTTTTTGTATTTTTATGCTTAAAAGACAGCATGCGTTTTATATATAATATTTGCTTAGGATTACTTGGAACCCAAATTTTAACATGAAGGCCAAAACGAATTATTCATCCACAATTCCCCCGAAAATCATATCCTGAACGAAGCTGAAACTGTGGAACAGCTGCCTAACTTACCAGTACCCCTACTGTCCTAGCTTAACCAGGTCCTGTGACGACGAGGATTCATGCGTCTAGCGCCAGAGTGAATCAAAATACTAAATGATTCGACTCATAACTGTATTCTCAAACTTGTACAGTATTGCACTAGTACCCTTTCGGCGCTCCAGAAAGTGTGTGTACCAATGTGGAGGTAACTAATTTTTTTTCCCTACTTTACATCAAGTTGTGTAGAGGGACTGATACCTATGGGCAGGGAGTATATTCACTTGGCTAACACATACAGTCCACAAACTTGTAGCAGAACTAAAATATTGAAAATTGAAATAAAATGATGGCTTAACCCTAACCTGGTACACACACTACGGGAGTACCGCTTTTTCAGTGCCTTACTGCACCTAACCTACATCACGTTATCATAAAACTTTCGACTTTCGCGTAGCGCAAGTTCTCAAAACGGAAGACAGCCGTGAAGTCGAGCGCCATGCTTGGCGGAGTAAAAACTGTGTTCCCACCAATAAAATTTTGAGTAAAATATCAGATATCATAAGATTCACTGGAAATTTAAAAACAAAGAAGAGTAAAGAGTCTTCGAGCGACAACAACAATCTTCAACCACTGGAACTTTCAAAGCAATTAATTCTTTAGCTAAAGAAAAAGGCCATTTTTTTCACAACAACAAAAAGAAAATATATATAGAATACTTACAACAACAACAACAACATAATACCAATACGATCTATAGAGACACTTAGTGTCCAATGAACGGTATAACAGAGACGAGATGCATGTCCAAGACCTTACTCGCCTAAGGCACAGTTGTGCGACATGTACTCTTCACAAATGTGACAGAAGTTTAGGCTTGCTACTGAGACGACCACGTCTATAACTCTGTTTTATTCTGTATGCCCATATTTATTCTTACCACTTGAGTCACTAGTGAGCAGCTGTGTAACTTTCTCTTTTAGCTGGTTTGTCAGACTGCCGGCAGTGTGGAATTTCCTCTGTGTTTTGGGTTATTATTATAGTGTTTTCGTGCCGTTAATCTGTGTAATTATTGTTGTAAAATGATATTAGTAGTACAGGTTTACTATTTCTCCAGTTTGGCATAGCTCTGTTCACTAGTTAGCTTGTATTTAACACTTCCGTAACTAGTCTATTTTCGCAGTTTATTTCCTGTGTGATTTCCATATTTCTATGCGTATTTCCGTGTATATTACGTGTTTGTCGATAAGATAGGATTTGTGTTGTATCTTTAGTGTCATACTAGTTATTCTTATGTATATCTAGGTATGTTTTACCCAGTTTTTGTATCCCATTATAAGTAAATAGTTCATGACTGTGACGTCATAGACCAATTCCGTATCTTGTGTTACGTATGTATCCTACGGTATTTGTACTGTGTTTTTCATGTTTTTATTTGTTTATTGTATTTCTTATTGGAGTATTTGGTTGTATTAAGTTCTTACAGGTGTATAATTAATCTAGTTAGTTAACTTAGTTACTCTGCTATAATTGGAACCGCAAGAAGATTGTTTTGTGAACGACATCTATTGCAACTTCAGTGTCCGATAAGCTGGCAGAAAGAACCTGAGTGGTGATATCAATTTTGGTACGCCACACTACGTTATAACAGGACAACGAGCATGAAAGAACGAAAATATACAAGTAAAATCTTGATACAAGACAATGTACGGCACAACGACGATATGTATAATAGTCAGTTTAAGGCAAGCCTATATCCCGGGTTCCGGTGAGTACAGGTCTACTTGCAAAAAAAACGCGAAGCGGATTGACCAAAGTGAATTCTAGCCTTCTGATTGGATTCCTATTGGTTATTTAATTGTATACCAGTCAATTTTGTTTAAGTTAGTATGAACACGAATGGTGAAGCTTTGGATGAAAAGTACACCCATCAATTACTTGTAATTTTTTCGCATAAACAGGATCTCACTAAGGCTATCATTGAAAAAGCTTCTGATTTTATTTGTAACCACGTACAGTCTCAATTGATGTATGCTTAACAGTTTTGGGTACTTCGTGACCTTTTCTTAGTTCTTTGGTCTTTCGTTCTGGTTGCTCAGAGCAGGATTGTTTCTGAACAACAAGGAGTGTGGACTCACTCAAAACAATCGAACACGGAATGCTCGACATCGGAGATTCGCCGACATAAGTCGGTGAATTTCTATTTGTATATTGACAAAAAGTAAACGATACAAACTTAGTTTGTGTTTTCTCTTTGTTTAACTTACGGCTTCTTCGCCTTCTTTATTGTCTCGAGTTAATATATCCTGGTTTACACCTATGCTACGTACTTTGTTACATTTGGTCTGATATTTAGCATAACGCCTTTATCAATGGTCAGTTATCTTGTGTCTGCATTAGGTAGTAGATATTAGGACAAATAATTATTATAGGAAATGTTGGCAGCATAACGCGGAAAATATGTCTTTATGGCTCATTTACGGTCGATGAGTCTCACTGATGCTGTCGTAGTTCATGTCAACACCAAACGCCAACTACTAAACTCATAGCGGCTTACGATTAGTTATGGAAACGGCTTATGGGGGCTAAGAGTAACCGGTCTATGCGACAACTTTTTAATATATACATACCATTTGTTGCGTCTTCGAGCATTTATCTGTGCCTTTTCTGACCTGTATAGTTCACACAGCCAACATAATTGACAAACATTTTTGAAACCGAGAGGACATCGTTAGCACCTCACAAATCTACGCAAAAAGACGGAATTATTCTCTCCGTCCCGTAGGAGCAGGAGGGACAAAAGCTGCCACTATTAAAATAAAATCACCAGCAAACGCCGAAAAAAAAGAGCGGCAATTTGATGGAAAGTCGTCTTTTGTTTCCGTAGAGGCAAACGTAAAAACGCGATCTGCTGGGAACAAAATTCTGCAAACCGCCAGACCTCTCTACAAAATAAGTAAGGCAGTGCCTGGGCGGGGGTCTGTCCGGGGAGCGATTCTGAAAGTCAACACCATTACTGCCCTGCATTGAGCGTACCGATATGCCGTCGCTCACTGTCTTCACTGCGAGACAGTTTTTTGGAACAGAATGGGAAAGCAGCAGGTAGACGCTGGAATGAGGGAAGGTAGCACGTGCATTCGGAGAGGGTGGCCCATTGCCTTAATGCGCCTATCAACTTAAAGGTATTATGAAACGCCCAACATAATGGCAATAAGTTCCAGCTTTGTGGTTTTTGCGTTGCGAGCAATGAGGAACTTTATAGAAGACCGGTTCTCAACCAATGGGCCATGGCCTACTGCTGGGCCACGAAAACTTTCTGAGGTGGGCCACAGTCCTATAAAAAGTTTTTATTTTTGTCACTATAGTTAATTTTTATTGTGGTAACAATGAATGATGATGCTGTTTTCCGCTGCGGAATGCTCATTTTCATTTCAATTATTGAAGTGGAAGTTTCCATTTTTGCAGAAAGATTTATGTTTTTCTTTTAGTTTTTCCCAACGACTAACATACCGGTTTTTCCCCTACAAAAAAATTATGGGCCACTAAATTTTTGTGCAACGGAAATGGGCCACGAAAAAGCAAGGTTGTGAATCATTTCTATAAGAACATATCCCAGCTCGGAATCGACATCAGCAGTTGCAGAGACTCGCTCTATCTAACGTGAATTGTGCTGGATAATTTATGGAATTGTGACATTCAAATATTGTCGAAAATTAGTCGCGTAATCGAGTATCACTTGACTAGAAACGTTGTGTTCTAACGTGGCATCTACAAGAGATGGCTCCTTTGTTTAGCTTTGTTTTACGACTCTCTGTGCTGATAAAATTACCTGTTTTTCGGTTGGAGTATTTATTAAATAGCATTAAATAATATATATTCAGTCGTCGTGATGTTTTATCTGAGATTACAGACTCAAAAAAGTGTGAAAGCAGCAGATACAATATGCAAAATGATAACAAGTAACATTTCTTCATTATTATTTAGCAGAATATTACTGAATGCTTCTTTTTGTCAGCAATATTTACACGCGATCAGGCATTCCGATCAACTATTACTAAACGATAACCTACATAGTATCATTTTACCAACTAAAGACAAATGAAAGAATCGCCAATGGAATATTTTTGAGCATGTTTAAATGCTTAGTCTCGTTTTTAATGATGATGCTGTAAAAGAGTCACTTTCACAAGTCGTTTGTGATATTGGGTGTAGATGATGATAAACCACCAATTCATATTATTGCTTCTTTTCCTCATGCGAGAATATACCCACCAAAGCGCAGAGTTATAAGTGTATAAAAATAAGAATTTGAAGAACAAATATTAAACCACAATTTTAGCGAATAATAATAAATAGCATAAAATATTGTAAAAAAGACACAAAACAGTGTATTGGAAGCTATGGAAAGTAAGTAATAAAAGACATCAAAAGCTTGAAAGCTTCGAAAGAATATTTGGAATGATTTTATACAGTTGTTGTTTAAGTTCGAACTTGATGAAGCTGACTGACTTGATGAAGCTGAAGCTGTTTGATAATCTGTAGTTGGTGTAATGAACGTAACTCGAGAATCCTACGCAAAATTTACGTTTAAATATTGAAAATATTAAATTAGAATCGCGTGGTGCAGCGTACATGAAGCATGTCCATTCTTTCTGTGTAAGATCAACACCCCAATCATGACACAAAAGTGCTAATTTGTGGACGTTTCTCCTAGCAGGTAGAGTGAAATCACCCCCAAAATGGTCGTATATAACTTAATATCCAGTCTTCATAATGAGAGACATTCACGTAAACTCCAGGCCACCCCCCTCCACATGGTTCTTTTCCGAATGATGTGACACCAGCCAGATACCAGGAACAACCGTTACCCTCTTCTGCTTGACACGCAAGTGGGCCGCCAGAATCTCCCTGTAAAAGTAATGCTTGAAATATTAAAAACGCCATTGCTACCATATATCAATCAGGTACCCCCCTTTCAAATTAAGTCTTGAACAGTGGAGTCTGCGTTTTTTAGTTCCGGAACAAAAAATCATGTGATTCCAAGTAAGTTTTTTTTAAGTTTCCTATTCCCACTGAAGCAAGTTCGTATTCAAAGTTGTCGGAGAACATTCGATATTTTTTTTTTAGAAAATCATATGCTATATATATACCTTGCAAGTATCGGTAGAATCTTTCTCAGAACTTCCAGCGCAAATATTTTGTATTGGATTTACTCGATCGCCATAAGTCAACGCGCATTCTTCGGTTGAAATGATCGGAAGTTCTGCTGTTTGCAAGGTCACAGATGGTTCACCTTCCGGAGCTGCGTTTGGAGTAGAATGGTTAGACATGGTATATTCGTGTACAGTGAACTAAGCGAATAAACATAAAATTACAAATCACAACTTAACAAAAAACTAGCGAGAGAATGACACCACACACCACATTCTGAAACAAGCATTAGTAACTTACAGTTGTACTTACTTTTTTTTCCAAATCCTGTTATGTGACAATTTTTAGCAGTTAGCAGTTTGTTCTTCCCCGGAAGGCAGAGTTTGCGGATGCTATCGCTGTATTCGAGAGGCTCTTTCAATTGAATCAATGCAATGTCGTTTTGAATAAAGTTATCTCCGCGGGAGCTAAATGAAATAAAATTATTTTGATAGAAAAATTGATTGTTTTTTAAACTCTACTATAACAAGCGAGCTATGCTCAAATATATGGACACGTAGAGTCGCATAATTTTGATGAAGTCATAGCGAAAAAAAAAGTAAAAACCTCTTGGAGAAAATTATTATCTTTAACCACTAAATATTTCAAAGCAATTGGTCCAGTATTCGAAGAGAAAAGCGATTTCTTCAAAACGTGTTGACGGAGACAAATAATAACAATAACAACAAAATTTTGAAACGATCGTTATGTTCACTACGTGTCCAACAACTGTGGTCTATTATTATCATTTGGTTTTTATCCGTAGTACAAAACAAAACAGTTACTTGATTATTATTCTTGGGTTCAAAATGCGAATGTGCTAATTTCCAATTGGGGTCATCTGTTTGGTAACAGCTCAAATGCGAACCAATGTAAAAAATTTCATATTGTTCTCATATTTCGACCAGAATCTCTTTAGCGATGGTTTAATATTCATTTAAGTTTGATATGCTTTTATGAAACAAGCGAGATATTCTCAAATATATGGACGCGAAAACCAAATTTAAGTAGTACGGGTATGTAATCGTCACAGTAGAATACCGGTACCGCAGTCTTCGCGACTTCGCTTGGTCATCAGATTGTAGCGAACGCCAAACCGTCACAGGGTGCGCAATTTTTCATTTTGATGACGACATCTCACACAAAAAAATTGTTCCCTCAGAGCACATCATAACTTACTTGAAACAAATAAACTTAGTAGCGCCCTTTTAAATCAATTTGTCCCGTCAGTGAAGAGAAAAAAGAGAAAATAGTTTTATAACTACAAGAAGAAGAATACCAACAAGAACAACAGCCACAACTTAACAAAACAATCCACAGGTACGCTTCTTGTCTAATAACTGAATTTGTGTTTTTTTTATCCTTTTAAACCAAGTTTTGGTAGAAAAATTGAGAATGATATTCCAACTAAAATTCCACAACGTTTGCATGTGGGAGGTACAAGCGTTCCGCAATCATATATTGCCGTTTTGACAAATACTTACTGAAAAAGTGGGTGACGAACAACTCTTTTCATTTTTCTTGTTGTTGGGTTGGATTGGTCACGGCGAGACAAACCAAGATACACGATATTTGATGGATCACTGTCAGTCACACCGTCGATCAAACTTTAAATATAAAATAACTATTTCGTTACTGGGGTTGTTATATGACAGATGTAATTTAAAATAATACATTGAAGTATTCTTACGTGAGGCAATGTGCAGCTGTTAGAATCCACTGCTTGGAAATGATTGTCCCCCCACAAAGGCGCTCGCCATGATAAACAACGGCATGCCATGGCCACGTTTCTGCGAACGTAGTTTGTCCGCAATATATACGTGCAAGAGGCTGTAAGAAATTGGGTTATTATTAAAAATGTGAATGAAGTACAAGAAGATGTATGAATTTGATAATAAAAATGACGTGATATCATGAGAAATGACGTCATTTGCTCACCATAAGCCCACATCTGGCTACCTGACGATTTACACATCCGCATTCTTCCTCTGAATCCGGTTTGCCAAGAGTCAGTATGTCAATAGACGGAAATCGGAACGGATTGACGTAATCTGTCAGAAAATATTTTCATTTTATCACTGCATGCCAAAAATTATGCGTAGTGTGACAACATAGGTTTCAATTTTAAAAATCTGATGTATATATATGCATGTGTCCCAATGACTCTTCGGTGAAATTCGTAGGAGGTCGGTCGGGGACATTTGAAGTCCCATGAAAACTTTGAAAACGAATTTGAATACGGAGAATTGCACCCTCGATTGCAATATACGAAAAAAGATTAGGTTTAAAGATGCTGATAGTAATCTTATATAAATAGATTTTCAACGTTCGATTTAGTGGGATGCATTGATGTTATTGAGTAAAAATAACTATACCGTGAGCAGGAAATCCTGGAGTGGGTATTACTTCTTCAAATGTTGGAGCAGGTCGCATTCCGCGAGTATTCAAACGTTCTAATGTGGTGACCGGATATTTGGTAGTCGACTGAAAAAATATAGAATGTTAGAGTCCAGTAACGTGTCATGTAATCGGCCACCTTTTCTGCAGGCCACGCAAATAAAAAATAATCAAAGAATTATAGATGTTACACAGAATTTTTAATACAGTGTTAATGTAGGTTCTAGTTTTCTATCATGGCTTGATTGTTTATCATGTTATAAATGCCTCACCTTTGTTGTATAATTCATGGGAGTTGGTCGACGATTCTTCTTGCGAAAACACCATTTTGTGTTTGGGACCGATGCATCCCAACAACAACCTCGACTCTTGCATTCATTTGGTGGGATGCCTCCATATCCACAATCCACTCGTTCTTTGTGGTTGACAGAACATTCGGAAAAGCTGATATACTTTAGCGTAATAGGCACAGATTCTGGAATGATTTTCAAAATATCAACTGAATGAAGATTAGGTCAAACAATACCAAGTCGTATATTATATTTATCTTCGTTCCATTTCCTCAGTAATTTGCTATAAAATTTTTCTTGTGAATTATTTATGTGTGTCGTCAACAATTTTATTCTCACCAGATAGACTTATGAGCATTTCCTCCATAAGTTTTACAATCTCTTCATCTGCCTTTTCTTCATCTGAAACTGTAGATTCATGTCTTCTTGTCGATGGAGACGCTCGATTCTTGCTTACATGTCGTTCGAGCCTTTTGCGAAGTTCTGCCATAGCTTCATCGACGGTAAGATTATCATCCTCCATCAAGCTTTTCACGGCATTTCCGACGTTTTCAACTATACACAATAATATTTGTATTTTTAAAATGACGAAGAGACGTTTCATATAACTTTCGGCGTTATTTTGTTTGGAGCTCCGTGTTACTAATATCAGTAACACTACTTCTTTATTAAATATATATACTAAAAGCGATACTTGATGATGGTACTCGGATTCATAACGATTTTGGATTCGTATAAAACCTACAGGATACAATTAATAACTTCTTAATTAATAACTAATTTTACAATACAAAGTACAATTTTACCTAAACATTTGAATGGTTCCTTTGAAACCCACTTCTTTGACCTATTGCATGATCGCGAGTCAGGTCCAACAGAAACGTAGCCTTTATTACACTTTGCTGTGCATTTGCTGCCAACTTGAGTGTCCAATACACATGACACTATTCCGTTATCCAACGTATAAATATCATCTGGGCAAACATCTAAATTGCAAGAAAGCACTGTGGTTATAAATATTTTACTTCAAATAATTTTCGTAAAAACTCAATGGTTACAAGAGTCTGTTCGTTAAAAACTTTTATTATTTTGTGATTATTATTGTATTTACCAATTTGTTCTAACAGTTGATGATAATTATACGTGCTTTCTCAAATGATACAGTATTATCTCCAGATCGGAAACGATGCACTTTCGTGTATATTTAGTAGTAAGCCATTCTCTTGCATAATTAGCCTTACTACACTAATAATCAATAGGGAGAATGTTTGTGAAAGCAGATGTCAGTATTTTACTATACTGTAATTATTATGCGATCCACGCTCAATGGAGTTGATGTTTCATTATGAAAGCCAAGAATGCTATTTTACGTTGAAGAATACGATTTAATGTAATAGAGTTTGTGTAGAATCACCTCTGCACGATGCAAGAACAACGTCCGCACATCCAACACTAAAGAATGATTTTGAAGTCGGCATGGTATAATTTCCTGGTAGTACTGATGGCTTTGTTCCCGCGACACAGTGCGTACCACAAACTGGAACAATTCCATAAGCTTCCATAATGGTTCGAGCTGCAAACTGTACAAAATTGTTCAATATTCTTTAAAATAATAGTAAACAGTTTCAAGATCACAGTATGATACTACTTCGAAAACTATTTTTACGAAAACAGTAAAATGTGTTTGTGAACCGAATTTTTTGTTTCTGCTATTTTGGTAGATGTTTAGACATATTTACGACTCTCAGTCATTTGAACAGAAGTTCAAACAGATTCATTGTTGCTTTATGTAAATAAAAGTAATTTCAACTTGAAACCTGTAAAAAGATAAACCATATAAAGGCTTACCCAGCCGGTTGTTGGTTCGCCCTGAAGTCCTTCTTGTGGAAGAAGTTGGAAAAAAACTGACATTAAATAGTTATCATTCTGAACACAATAAAGATCTGCATATCCGTTGTATAAGCCAAAGTTTTTCAGCTGTTTCAATGGTTTTACAGTGTCGGCGAACAAAAATGATCCTAAAAATAAAAATTGTATGTGATTCGAGTCTCAAGCTGTTTTGATCTTTGAAATATACCACGAATATCAAGTACCATTTGTTTTGTGAAGAAGAGGTATGACTTTAAAACGAAAATATTTCATATCATTTAATTCGGCACAAACTCAAATTTTGCCTGTAACACCGACCGATAAATAAGAACCCGTCCGTTTATTTCATTATTCGAATTTTATACGAACAGTCCATTTAACCAATAGCATCAGCATTCTTGCCCAGATCAAGGCGGTCTGTCAAAATATTTGATCAAGATTTTGTAAATTGTCCAATCTTGTGGCATATCTATATTTGATGGTTAAATTATAACGCAATTATTGACACATAGTAATTTATCTAAATGTTCTAAATTATAGATAACGATTGCACTCCTACGCAGCCAGGATAATATCCTACGAACGTGCAGTAAGCAGTTAACCAACTGATGTATCGAAGTTAAAAATCATTTTCAATCGACATTATAGACGGTTTATCAGTAACTCATGCTTGAAAAACAGAAGTATATATATATCTATTTTGACTTTGCGGATTGATGGGATCAAATATATGCCAATATATGTGCATGCATACCGATTGGTTATTTATTACTACTCGTATATTTCATAACGTCTGACCTCAAATAACAAGCCGGTCAAGTTGCCAAATAGTCGCGACAAATAGGGCAACGATGCGTCATTAAAATTTTCTCTGATTATTTTCAACATCAAAATCAGAAGATCAGGTTGATTGCGAAAATATGAAGCCAATTGATTATTAATCATAATTACGTCAAATTATGCATATTGGTCTAACCAGTTTAACGTGCTAACGCACGAGGAAACGAGAAAATGAGATGAAATACTTCAAACAGAATGTTCAAATATGTTACAAAGTATGTTTGATTTAGGAAATTATAGGCTCCCGACAAATTACCTGACACATAAATTATTTACCCTGTCAGTGTAAATGTATACATTATTTTTTCAAATAGAAGTACGGGTGAACAGTCACCATGTTGCACGGGCGTCAATCTTTACACAAATGATTGAGGTGATTGACAAAATATTTTGTATGATATACCTAGAGATTAGTCTATTCAAAGATGGGAAACCCCAATTACTCTGGGATTTTGAACCATTTGAATATTTGAAACGTAACACGGATGGAAAATATGGATACGAACACCTTGCGTCAAACATGACGTTAATTACATTAAATAGAATTTGTCTAGACAAGTTGGATAAAATCCACAAATAGATCAAATCAATCAAACGATCGCACTTCGACCTGAAAATGTAATCAAAAGGCAGAATTTCTCACGACATTTAATAGGAATTTTCACCATAAGAACTTCACTAAAATGGCATAGATGTCTAGCCCCATTTTTTAGCAAAACTTTACGTCATAAATAACTTGAAAACACGACTTTTTGCAGAAACAAGACAGATTTCGTTTAATTGATGTCTGTCAGACGCTTGACTTTATGAATGGGGGTTGCCACGTGCGTAACGTGTAAATCAATATACGAATTACGCATTCATTAATAAATTAAACACAAATTTGACATTTTTGTATGGTTCAGGTTCAGATTTAACACTGTTTCAGGTATGTTAATATATATATTCATAACATTGCCGAGCTGACAATTTTTTTCATAACTTATAAAACGATAGAATAGCGATCGAATTCGATTACCCCTACAATTAATTATATATTTAATAATTTTTTATTATCGGAAACGCTGTTTACTATAAGCTCATTTCGTCACAAGTCATGATTTACTTCATCTCGTGAAGTATACAAGATTAGTTCATGACACAATCTTGACAACCAGGCAAGTTATCACAATCACCGATTAACCACGTCAAGGGAAAACAACATAAAAAACTTTTTGTACTTTGAAATTGTGGATTGTTGCCACATTGAATGATAATTAATAATTGTTTTATAGGTGTAACGTGTAGATAAGTAGATAACACCGTGGTTAGCGCACCAACCTACGCATTTATAATTTGTTTTGCAACATTCAGTGAATTTTTAACAATTTTCAGTTGATACATTTCCCCGCGGAATGGTATGAAAACCAGTCATCAACGTTCAACGAGTGTAATTGCTGATATAGAGTACCACATTATATTTAGCATTTTTATTTATATATACGTAAAGTGTTACCTTGAAACAAGTCTGATGTAGATGGTTTGTAATATCTTCCACCATGCAAACTCCTAATTTGACTACTTGCTCTTTCTAGTAAAAATTCAAAATTGTTGTCGACTGGAGTTTTTGTAGGTACATGCATCGTTGGCCTAAAATCTTGATGACCTTGAAGGTCGCTTGAAATCGTTGTTCTCAATAAAATTGACAAGGTGATAATAAATATATGCGCATATGCAAAGTACATCTTAAGTCAATATTCGTTTTCTATCTCCGTTCTTCTTAAATTCTGTGGAATAATCACCGCCGTCGTGTGAGCAGTGCTGCTGAGCAGTGAAAACAATTGCTTTATAAAACCGTTGGTGCAACAAATAGAAAAAATTACGAGTTCGTTTGGTTCGTTTAAGTTATCTTGAAATTGTTGTTGAAGTATAGCTCGTTATGCGTTATAATCGTATGCACTAGAAATTGTAACGTAAAAATAAAAAGTATAGATTAAGTATATTTATAAATAGATTTTTAATTTTCATTTTTTTTCTCGTATGGGCACTTACGACGTTTTTTGATATATCATTTGTCTATCACAGATAATAGCGTAACAATGGGGGTATCTTGAACGATCTACGTCGAACTCTTTTTTGAAATACCTGCCCAAGTGCGGAAGGATGGAAAGTTCATATACGATACGTCTGCATTGGCCGAGTGATTATATTTGACGCATTCGTTCGAACAAAGCTGTCACATTGACCCACAAATGCTCATGAATTTAACAACAAAGTTTACAGCGAATGTCACCTGGTTTGTCAACTAACATTTGCGGTCAAGGCGTGTTTCGATTTATAAATCTATCGAAAATCGTGACAAGAAAATTTCCACAACTTTTGCTGACTGCTAGATCTAGATTGACTCAATTCTTTTAAAGCTGACAAATCATTTGAAACAAAGCCGGTTATATTGCAGTATTATCTATCCCACTTTCGTTTCCAATGCTGATACTCAAACCATAGTTTTTAATCAGTTTTTGCTAACTGTCATTTTATTTACTGACATTGTGTAAATAGCTTTACAAACTGTCGATGTACTGTCATATTATCTATTGTAGTAACAGGAAAATAACAACATTCACAAAGCCTATTAAAGCCGTACTCTCTGTCACGAACCATTGCCTGCCTGAAACACATCGCATCGCTTTTTATATCTGCTTGACGAAGAAAACTATCTGTAATCGAATCTTGATGCTAAGAAATATCAGGCCATAACACCGATACAAACAGTAATGGTATATAGATACCATTTTTCGCCTCAAATGCACGATGCTTCGAAGTCTGATTATACCAATTTTTACTATAAAGTCCATTAAAACTTACAAATATTTTTGTGAATTTTTATCCGTCATATTAGATTACACTCAAATATGGTTATTATTGGCCGGTAATCACAATGCTTATACTATTTTATTGTTATACAGTAAATTATCCTCAATTCTGAAATACTGTTTGTAGTGACTAGGCCAAAGCTAAATTACACTTGTACTCCATATACATGCATGGCCCAATTTTGGGCTGTACATCGATTTATAATGTGCTAAAATAGGACATTCTGGTAATCTTTAGTCTAATTTTTTAATAAAGTTGGATTTTGTCCATATTTAGATTGTAATTAAATAATATACAGTTATGCCGAAACCGCTGTAATGATTATTAAATAGTATGTCCAAGCGCTTAATAACAACGACTTATACACGACCAAAGAAGGGCCATGAATGATATGCGTTTTCAATTATGACATGCCGAGGTCGACAAGTAGATATACTTTCATGACATAGATTTGTGAAACGCTGTATTAATATTATATATATAAACGTTGGGGAATACTTGTGGCGACAATCAAATGTTTTTTCTGAGCTGTATGCATGGAAATTTGCTACCCGATTTTATTTAGAATGACTACGCGAACATAAGAAGCACGCAGTATTGTCCATAATGTGTAACATTGGTGATTTGTGTTATCCATTTAATAAAAAACTAAAAAAAATACTGAAAAGTTTGCACATTTTTCACCATCTTGAGCAATTTGATCTAGACCGGGACTTGTAAATCTCAGAAAGAATTTATCTCCATTTCCAATATCATTTACTATATAAGTGACGTATATGACAATTGCTTCTATGAGTAATGTTATAAATCTCGGTTTCGATCCATTTTAAGGTGGTATATAGATCCCCACTGACAAAAAATTTTACGAATTAATGAAATTCAGCTTACGAAAGTCGTCACCAGACACGCGGAAATTTCATAAAAGCGTATATTCACAAAATTATATCATTGAATCCAAATTTAGATCAAATCCAAAACATTAAGTTTTTCAATCTTTACTCACTGTTTACTTCGCAGCATTATGACATAACAATTGCCTTTCCTTTCAAACTATTATATTGGGTGTTGAAATACTATTATCCGACGACATTAAAGCCAACATGTGATAAGGTATAAGATTTTACGACCTAATTGAGCTTGCGGATTATAAAACTGACAAGACACGATTTTTCTAATTCGCTTTTGACAATTGGTCACTGTAATTTTTGAATATGGGATTTGTAGGCATTGGGTTTCCTGATTATTTATTTGCATAGCGCTCTGGACAAGCTATTTTGTCGAATCAGATCAATTCCATTTTTATCGAAAAGTCCGGAAGTCAGCACGGGTTCGTCTACCTGTTTTTACATCTTGTATACCTTGTTTTGGTATGGAAGGTTAAACATATGTTCAAAAGCGATTACCGGATTACGACGGACAAACGCATCTGACAACTTAATGTTGGTATAATTGGACAGATCAAACAGATTATCTCGATTTTCGAATCAGTGGCCGATTTAATATACTCAGTACCAACTTATATATTACTGCTTCTATCAGAATGAATTTCGATCGTTAAAATTATTATTATTTTTTTTTTTCAAATAAATGTAGGTTCAACTTTTACGATCGTCTGCAGCGTGTTGTAAATTATTAGAAAATTTTGACGTTTATACTTTTCTCAAAACAAGGTCACACACCTTTACCCAAGGGTAGAAACTTTTTTAGCAAATCTCTGCAAACGATCTATGAATCGATAAATTCTACGTATAAAAATCAATTTTTTTTGCAGTCTAAATGCAATTAAAAATATCACGAAACACACTTTCAATCGCATTGATGAATGTTATGGAAATACTGATACTGATACTCCTATCTTGTCTTTATAATATAACATTTTTGTGCGCAAAATACGAATATATAGGCTTCGCATAAACTCAATTTTTAATTGATAAGACCTCATAGAAAAGACCTCATATTTCCAGTTTTGGCAAAACCGTCTACCTAGATCTCCGGTCCGTGCAGCTTTATTTTATATCCGCCACACAAGAGGTATGTTCCTAAGTTGACTAAGAAACAGTATATAATGTATATCAGTTTTAAAATCTATATAAAACTAGATAGTTGATAATGAATGAACATAATGATATAATTATGATTATATCGATTTCACCAGAGTATTCTCGGAATATATATGAAATCATCATTAGCTCTCAAACAGTTAGCAGTGTTTCTCAAAAATTTTACAAAAAAGGAATATGCGGGAGATCGGATGTTTGACTCACAGCGTTAAATCGATATAACGTATATCTTTGATTCAAATTAGTATGTTTAAACTTAATTGATTGTAATCTTATTTACTTTGTTATTTTGCTGAGCGTAAGCAAACAATACTCATCGATTTCAAGCCGAACAAGAAATAAACGTGAATGATATTGTGACATCAACATAAATTTCCAAGAAAATGGTCATTTTGCCAACGTCAACTTTATTGCTTCAACTTGTTTTTACGAGTCCAACTTCAACTGTCAGCATTTCTTATTATTATTTTCTTTGAAAAAATCGACATTTCATTCCACAAACACGAATGCAGAAAAATCATAGTAAGTCCTTTTTAATCGTCAGAACCTTTCACTGAGTCACTTCTGAATTCTTATTACGCTACTTCAGCTTTGGCATATCTGAAGCCACACATTCGGCTTCTGGCACAATCTGACTATAATTACTCAAAATACTTCCAAATTTATAAATTTAACTTATAATTACATTTTCAGCGTTTTAAGCAACGCACTAATTTTTATTATGCTATTAAAGTCCTGCATTTCTAAATACACCCAGTTTATTTTTAATTACCTATAGACAACTTATGCTAAATCCTTTACCACTGATGCTTCATGATTAAATAGTATTAAAAGCACAATTTCTTCTATTTGTAACATTTCAGGTCTATCTACATTTTCACCTGAAATCCAGACTATACGCGATATAAATACTTGCAATGCGTTTAACTATTTACGTCAAACTATTTGCATCTTTTTACGTGTTACTTTATTTTACTGTACGTGCAACGTCGTTGCGTCAATTTGTATTTATTTTAATATTATCTGCGTCTGACACACTAAATATAGTTTGAAGCATCCGTATCGTTTCGGCGTATAATTAGTTTAACTTTTAATAGCCTGGACAGGTAATGAGTTCACTTAATTACAGACAAAACACCTTTTTAATTTTGAATCGGTTTCAAGAGAGCGATAATGGCTATTTTATAACTTTGCTAACTGGGATAGACCAAGTATAATAGAATTTTCATCCAATTAAGTATAATATATTTCTATAAAACTCGAAAATTGTACAATGGCGTTCAGACATATATGTGGCAGATAAGCCACTAAGTCAACAGTGTTTTTCTAATAATTCAAACCATGCATATATCGCCGACGTCTACAATTCCGAATATCTAACTCATTTTAATGGATTTTAATAAACTGTATGTAGTAAAAAGACTGAAGCATGAATCAATTAATCAAAGTCAATTTTGGACACAGATGAATGAATCTTTCCAAAAAATATTTATTCAACTTAGTATGGCTGCTTTTAAAAACAAAATTTATAAATATTAGTATACATTTACTACCCGTAAATATTCTATATTTCAGTCAAATTGCAGTGAAATTATAAACCATTTACGTCTTTTTTGTAAGTGATAGGACATCGAACTCTATATGTGAACGACATCATTGAATCGTGTTGTTTGGTTGTGGTCGAGTGACGTCTATCAATCTTGTACGAGCAAGCGACCTAATATGACTGTTCTTAGAATATAGATTACGATCATAGAAATCAAACACACAACTATGGTTAAATAATTCTTTACGCATTGATTCAGCTTATTTTGATGGAATTTTTCAGGAATTTTTATTTGGTACAACCACTAGTCAGAACGAAATGAATTTATTGACATATTTGTGATGTAATCTTTACCTAAAATTCATCTACATGTTTAATGCTTAAATGAGTTATGTATAAATTGAAATTTAATGAACACAACCACAGAAGATATTATGTTAGTTGAGTTCACATCAAGTACTCGGAGCTTTGTAAGC